GGAGAAGGGGGGGGGGGAGGTTGGCCTCACTGGTTTAATTCGGCTGATAGTTTGGCATAACATTAGCACTCCAATCACCAGAGGCACGAAACGCGAGAATGGCATATCCAACATGGATTGGAAGATGGAGGAGGTCCAAAGGTATGACATAATATGCGAGATATGTACAGGTTTGCTGGTTGGTCTCCCAGGACAAGACTCAATTATCCTCCTTCCAACATCATGACATCCCAGTGCAAAAGCCAAACGCCATGTTAGAGATATAAAAAACCAGCCCTTAAATGGGCAAGAAGAAAAAAAAAAAGAAATGCTCCGCCATGTATGGCTGAGACAGCGGCAACGGAGATAACTTGAGTTAGACCCTGACTCTAACTTGGAACACAGCATATCGGGCTGGCTAGTCATCGTGGGCTCTCACAAAAAGCCCGCTGTCACTGTCTCTGCAAGTCTTCCGACGAGTAGTCTGTCCATTCTGGCGGAGGTCGAAGGAGCGAAATTACCAAAGTCTAGTAGAAAGTAAAGGGGGTATACGGATAAAAACCATCATCGCATCGTGGTCGTTCCCGCCGGCAAGAAGGATCGCGATCGCGTCTTCGCAGAGTCGTCAAGCCCAAAAACCCAAAGACTTCTTCTTTTTTTTCTTTTTGTTTGGAAGTGGGGAAAAAAAAAGAAAAAGAAAGATTCAGGCTTAGGTATCCCGCTCGCCATCGCCGTCTGGTCCAGACACAAGCACGTAGTCAGTAACAGCTGAGCTCGTAGACAGGGAAATGATCGAGTCGGAGTCGCGCTCGACGAAGGGGGACGCTCTTGCTCGTCCTCCGAAGGGCGGGGGCTGTATCCGGGGAACAACGCGGGGAGCACGGGGAATGAAGACGGGCGTTTCAGAAGCAGAAGAATAGGAGGATGATGGTGATTTACCTTCACTTCCAATGGGGGTCGGCGGCAGGGCGCCGGAGACAGCCTGCTGACCTGGGCGGGTGGTGCCTGGCCTGCTGCCGGCAGCGGCGTACTTGTTCTCGGCCGCTTGCTCGCTCTTAATCTTGTCCTGACCGGCCTCCTGCTCCTCATCCTGCTCGCGGATGACGTCCTTCTGGGGGGTCGGAGGGGCGGTGCTGGTGCTAGCCGGGACAGGGGGAGGGAGCTCGCCGCCAGTCTGCATCTTTAGGCGACGCTCCATCTCGCGGATACGGGCCTCGAGGGCCTCAAGCTCGGAGGTTTGAGCGCTGATGCGTTTCCTCCTATGGTTTTAACGGGTCAACAGCTGGTTAAGGGACTCCAGAGGGGGAGCGTTTTGAAATGGCAGAACTACTAACCTCTTATCGACCTGAGCGTCCAAGTCGGCGATGCTGTTTTCAATACGGAAGATGTCCTGCAGCTCCTGCGAGAACATCTGAGCAATGGCACTGGATTGGCGTCGCGTAGGGCGCCGCGTTGCGTTAGCCTTAGCAGTTCATTTCTGAGGAGAGTTTGTGCTCCTGCCATGTCACAATCGGCGATAGGCATAGCGCAGCGGTAAGGAGAGTAGAGTATTCAATGAGAGAGTGAATTCAGGGCGAGCAGGGCAGATAGGGGCAACGCACGACTGCGGGCGGCGGCCGTTTGGCTTGAACTCGCGATCCAGTTCCTCGTCAGTCATTGTGGCAGCGGGAGCGGTGATGGCGGCTGACGCCGACGGCTTCCTAGAGAGTTCAGGTAGGTAATCTTTCAACGGCGCAGAGAGAGGATCTTGGACAGCACTGAGTGGGATGCGGGAAGTGGGATGTGATGTGGGATGTGATGTGGGATGTGAGGTGGGATGTGATGTGGGATGCTTGTCGAGCTTGTGCAGTGCAGCGGCGAGGAGGGGATGTACTGGTGGTGATGCCGCGATCGTGGATGCGCCGGGCATAATTAGCAGCGGTACATAGCAGCAATTAATCACGGATTAGGTGGCCCCCTTTTCCATTTCAGAAGGCCTGCGGCCGCTGCAGCCCAGTGCCCCGAGGGCAGTCCCAGACGGTGCAATCCGAGGCAGCTCCAGCGAGTCGCAGGCGTTCCAGCAGCATGGGCAAGCGGGCGCCGGCTGCACAGGGTACGCGTGCCGCCAACCGCTTTGGGGATGGCGTCGTAGGAAGGATGGCAGGACGGAAAGCCAGATCAGCGCTCGCTAGATCTCAGCATCAGCAAATAATGGGGTCGCGATGGCACGCGACGGCACATCCATCATAAAGCATCATCAAACGGCAGTTAATGCAGACTGTCGGCTGGACAGTTGCTGGACACACTGTGGTTGCACTCGGCCATCTACGGATAGAACTGGACAGTCCCTGAATCCATCCATCCTCCTGATCATTGACTCGGCCGTTCAGTTGTTTCAAGCTGTGAAGCTGCTGTGTTGTGGACTCGGGAATGTGCTGTTGCTAACCGCCAAATGCTGGATGCCCTCCCACCACTGAGTTCACAGCAGGGGCCAAAGGGTACCCCGTGCCATCCGCCTCACTCTGTCATAGGTACTAGGGACAGCCCTGCAGCCCTGCTGACGCGTTCTTCAGCACCTCTCTAGGCCAGCGTCGATCTTTGCGATCCCCCCCATTCGTCCACGGTCGGGCCAGCAGAACCTGCTGCAGTGGTCGCGTGTTTCCCGCGCGTCCTTGTCCTCTCATCATCATTTCCCTTCGTCATGGAGGGCCGACAACGGCAACCTAAACAGGGATGGCTGCCTGAAGATTGCTTTAAAACTCAAGACCCGACTTCAATAAAAAAAAAGGTACTTAAGGTAGGCAGTCTCATTTGATGAAGAGCGACGGGTGCTTCCACAAACGAGAACTCGCTGCGCTGGCTTTGCTTGCCATTTGCGCCCTCATTTGCTTGTGGTGGGGTCCGCGGGGTTGGAGCAGGCAAGGGCCACGGGCCAAGAGCCAAAGGGGCTTGTCGAAATGATCCAATGGATACATTTTTATTTGCATTTCGATTTGCCTTGGGCTGGAGTTGCGCTGGAGCTCCGCTGGAGCTGCTGCATGCGATCCTCGGTCTTGGCAGCCCAGCCAGCGGCTGGAACGTGGCAAGACTGCCCGACTGGCGGCTGCCGCCACTCCACTACTAGTCCACCTGCAGACCGCTGCCGACGATAGCCCACCGATAGTGCAGATAAGAACCATAGGTCAGTGCGTGCATCTTATCGAAGACATCCCCAGCTCCGATAAGATATTTCCGGTGGTCGGACGATTGCCGGCACAAGATTTCCTTTTGACACTGACCCTCTGCAAGCAACAAGCAGCAAGCCGCAACCGGTCACAGACCAACTGCCAGTGCCAACTGTCAACCACTGCCAGTGCCCGCCCGCCAACCAGAAAGCGCCGCGGACAGGGGAACCTGACTAGGAAAAGTGAGTGAAACGCCAAACTCTCGCCCGCCTGTCGACCGATCAACCGAGACGACGCATCGTTTTTAAATCAATCACGCTCCGCTGAACTGCATCCGCGCCCAACACCTTATCACGTGATTGAGACTGCGCGACTGCAAAATTTCCACAAAGCATCGCTGCTTGCGACGACAACGGGCGCGTTCCTCCCCCCCCCGCGGCATTTTCGACTTTGCGCATCGAGATTGGGCGTTGCGATTCGAGTGCTCCGTCTCAGGTGCGTCTCTGCATCGCCGGCCCCGCGAAAAGCGACGCGCGCCGCTGCTCAACGCCCGGCTTGCTCGCCGAGGACGGCTCCGACCCACGCTAGCCCAGTGCTTCACGGCCGACCGCTGCCACGTGTGTCGGGCACGCAAGAGTCGAGGAACGACAACAACAATAACAACAACAACAACGACGACGACGACGAAACGAAGACGACGAACAAGCCGATCCGGGTCGAGGGAAAGCAAACACGGAGAAAGTGCGTAGCGACCACGACGAGGACGAGCCACGATCCACGCGCAACGTCCGCGGCAGCGCCCCCAGCGAACGTTCTCTCCTCTTGTCTAATCCCTCCCGATCGTCCTGACGTATATTCGTCCCCTCGACAGCTTGCGAGGTGGAGTCTGGGGCATGAACTCGACGCTGACAGCCCCCCCTCCCTACACGCCGCTCGAAGGTCTGCTGCTCTTTCGCGGGATCGCCCGGTACGGCCTCGACCCCTCTGCCTTCGCGCGCATCGCCGAAGCCCTCCAGAGCAACGCGCTCATTAAGAGCAGCGCCACTTACGATGCGCGACGCCTGAGCCCAGAGCCGCTGCAGGAGCTCTTCCTGCGGCTGCTGTCGCAGGAGCTTCGTCCTGACGCCGCCGACCAGTCCGACCTACTTGCCCCAAACGGCACTCTATCGCCCGCGTCGAGAAGACGCAAGCTGCTAGATGCCCGCAAGCATGTCGCAAAGATTGAGGCGGCACATGACAAGCTGCAGGATGCCTACGTGCGTCAGACTGTGGCCGAGATCCGTCAGCTGGAGCAGCAGTATGAACGGGTGGAGGGAGAGATCCGGGAACTTGAGAGGTTGACCGCTCGCACCGAGGTAGATGGCGAACCGCGGCCACAGACTGCGAACGGCGTGCTCCCGGGAGATGCTGGTGCTGCAGGTGTTCCAGGTGCTACTGGTCCCGCGAAACCGTCGGAATCTCCCCTGGTGAACGGTGTTAGTTCGGCCCAGTCACCCGTACCCTCACCAACGCCGACGTCCCAAGCTGCTTCCTCACCTCAAATACCACTTCCAGTACCGCCAGCATCAGCACCGCCAGCGCCTTTACCACAGCAGGGGCCACGATCGTTACAACCATTACTGCCACATCCTTCCCCGCGTCCAGAGGTTCGCCAGGGTCCCCCTCTCCCTCTTTTACCTCCACAGCAACAGCAGCAGCAGCAAATTCAGCCACAGCTGCAGCCGCCATCGCAGCAGCAGCAGCAACAACAACAACAACAGCAGCAGCAGCAGCAGCAGCTACAGTCGCAACCGCAGCAACAACAACAACAACAACAACAACAACAGCAGCAGCAGCAGCAGCAGCAGCAACAGCAACAGCAAGTGGTGGTCGACAAGACTCTTCCCGTTGCTCCTCGCTCCCCTGCGATCCCATCTCCTCAAGCCGTCCCATCCCCTCGGATTGCCCAAAAGGAGGTCCCTTCCGCGGCACCGAAGCCCCCGGAAGTCTCACGACCACCAGAGGGAGCATCACCAGTGCTGCAGCCCCCCCAGGGTGTTCCTCCCTTTCAAGGGTCTCCCCATCCTCCTGCTCCTCCGGCGGTTCCAGAGGGTCTTCAGCGGCCGGGGCCTGTCTCGGCACCGCCTAAGCAAGCCCCTCATCCGGCCACTGTCCCGCCGGCCCCTCCTCCTATCCAGGGACAGTTAAGATGGGAACCCCCTTATCAGGGTCCGGGCTCGGCTCCTCCACGGCAGCAGCCGCCAACACCAGACCTTCAACATCACAACGTCCTGCAACCCATGTCATCTGTGCCACCGCCGCCGCCGCCGCCTCCTCCTCCTCCTCCCCCTCCTACTCCTCGTGCGGCTCAGCAACAACATCCTCACTCACCTCACGCAGGCCAGGTGCCATTCCAGACCCAATCTGGCAGGCCACTGCCTCAGCAAGTCCTTATTCCTCCATATACTGCGGGCCAGATTGCGCCCGTTGTTCATTCCCCCGTCAGGGCTCCACAAGACTCTGCTATTGTCCAAGGGCCGGCTAGGACACAGCAGCCTGTGCCTCCGAGCATATCAACAACCAGCGCCCCTCCTCCTCCACAATCGCCCTTCCATCCGCCTGCTCACCATGGCCAGTTCATCCCTAGCCCTCATGTACCCCCTCCTTCTGTCCAGCCAGTCCGGCAGCACGGTGTACCGTCGCATTCTGCCCCGGGATGTAGCCCGGTAATGTCGACTTCTCCAGCGCCCCCGGCACCTGCTCCTCCCCGGCCTGGCCAACCTCTAGCAGCCCCGGCCCAACAACGGCCACAAGCTGTAAACTTACAGCCACCGCATCCTCCTCCTCCTCCTCCTCCTCCTCCTCCTCCTCCTCCTCCTCCTCCTCCTCCACCTCCGCCTCCTCTCCCCCCCCATATACCCAACAGCCTGCTCCACCACCGCAGCCTGCGCCATCGCCTGTGCCGACTCATCCGGAATATGCCCGGCTGTACAGCTCACCTTATCAGGTGCCCCCGCGGCCTGCGGCCGTCGATCGGATTCATCCTCGTCCGGTCATGACGGCGACACCTACCCCGGCCAGGTGCAGCCCTATCCCTTCTGCCACTCAAACCCCCTCCATGGCTTTTCTTCCAAAACTTGCCGTTGGCAGCGGTACCAAGTGGGTATCCCACTCAACCCCTTCTACTCCCAAGCTTGGGCTTGAGTTCCGTCTCGGAGAGGACGTTCCAAGCCCAAGGTACGAGCCGACTAGCCCCGTCTTGCAACCCGCGGCTCCGCCGTCGGCCAAGGCGAAGGAGTCGATAGCGAAAAAGACAGATCAGCAGCACCCAGAGACCCCGAACGCGAAACGGAAGCTCGGTCGGACCCATGGCACGCCTCGGGGCCAGGCCGCCGACGCCTCTCAGGCAGCTCTTGTCGCACAACCGACAAAGGCGGCAAGCCCCTTGCCCAAGGACAAAGAGAAGCCCGCCGATTCACAAGCGCCAAAAATCAAGGACGAAGCGGGAACGCCCCAACCCACAGATCAAGGTGACACTACAGCTGATGAGAGCGTTGCTGGTCGTACACACACCACACGCTCTGTCAAGCGCAAACGCGACGAGCTCACCCCCTCGCCCGCCCCGTCCGCAAGCACGCGACAACCCTCAGCCGCTCCCTCTTCATCCGAGCCCCCCTCAGCGCCGGCCATCGTCCTCTGGACGCGCCACTTCAACAAAGTCTGCTTCTCCGCCATGGAGCAAATCATCCATCACCGCTCAGCCAACATGTTCGCAGCCCCCATTCGCGAAAAGGACGCCCCCGGCTATCACAAAATTGTCAAGCATCCCCAAGACCTCAAGTCCATCCGCACGGCCATCAACCACGGCAACCGTGCCGCGACCCAGATCGCACAACAACTTGCTGCCGAGGGGGGCGGCCCCATCGAAGGAGGCAACGGAAACGCGTCGTCGGTCTGGATGCCCCGCGTCGAGGATCTGGTCCCGCCCAAATCGATCATCAACTCATCCCAGCTGGATCGTGAGCTGGCGCATATGTTCGCCAATGCGATCATGTACAACCCCGATCCGCATCACGGCCCTGGACCAGCGTTCCTGCGCTCTGCGAACTCTTCGTCTCCCGCGTCGGGCGGTGCGGGAGGTTCCGGGTCAGGTGCTAGTGCGATCACGGGGTTGCATGATAGCGTGCTGGGGTATAAGGTGGATGAGTTTGGGGTCGTGAACGATACGAGGGCGATGTTTGTTGAGGTAGAGAAGTTGTTGGCTGAGTTGAGGTCGGCAGAGGTCAGGGCTGGTGTGCCCCCTCCTTCGGCGGCGGCTGCGGTTGCTGCGATGGGGTTGGTTAGGCGGGCGAGCGTTGCTGCCAGTGCTAGTGTCTCTACTGCTGTCCCCACTGCTGGGAATGGGTCGGGGAGCGGGCAAGATAAAACTACTACTGGCCCCACTACAGCTGGTGCTAAGGATGAAGATAGGGTTGGTCCGATAGGCACGGCGACGGGGGATGAGGCCACTGCTGGCGAAGGGGATGAAGCTGAGAGCACTGGGAATCCCGTCAAGAGGAGAAGGGTTGCTCGTTCCTAGGTTCAGCAGCGACATCACCGTCATTTTCCAGGAAGCAAGCTCTGACGTAATTGAATGGGATGGTAACGAATTATCGGGATAAGTATGGTTGGGCTGGTTTCTTATTTCTTTTTTTTTTCCCTTTATATAAAAAATAAGAATCAACGATGGGAACAAGGCGCGTAAGATGTGTGGATAGACTGCTTCATTTTTGCTGGCGCTTCGGTGATTATGTATGGTCAATGAGCCTAGGGATGAACAGAGGGGTCGGTTGATTTTGGACTTCTTTGATGGCTTCATCAACATCACTTGCTCACATCATACTGTTGAGGTGGACTGGTCTGCCTATTATCTGCCTAGACGAACTACATGCCTATCGGGTACATCTCGCTGACAGCTGTGCTTCGTTGCTTTTTGTTCAGTTCATCTGCCCGCTATGTAGTTCTGTAGATAGGACGCGGCTGAGATGACAGATATGGTATGCGACGAGATAGACGGGTAGATGTCGAGCGTGGTGTTGTATAATTGGTAGCCATGAGCTATGGTAATATAACAATGGATGATTGCAATGTGCCCGGGGTGGCTGACTCTCGACTCAGCCTTCCCTAATCTCTATACACTCCCTTTTTATTAGGTACCTAGACCAAAAGGAACCTACGGATGGAAGAGTTATATTCTGCTCAATGGTCAACGGATCAATGGCTGGCCCTACCGCTCCGGGCGATGAAAGTCTGAAGTAGCTGGAAGTAGCTGGTTGACATGCTCTCTCTCATGCCAACGGACTCCAGGGACCAAACAAGGGGAAGCCATAACCAGAACTTTTTTTTTTTTGGTTTTTTGAAATGTATATAGTTGACTGGCAGAATCATTGCTCTTTCAAACAACAAGCCCGGCAAGTACACAGCGCTAGCCCAATGACAAGCTGCATGCTGGCTCGGACATTCTTTGTTACCCAAGGGGATCTTCAGAAATTTGAATCCCGCTGGCAAGCGAAACCTCACAATCGGCCCTTCACTGATGCTCCACCAAGGTGAGCACTCCATTACTGTTGCCTGCCGTCTGGACGACGATACGTCTGTCACTTACGTCGCCAAGATACGCGACGATGTCTATTAAACCAAAGACGATGAAGAAGTACGGATGAAGTCGGCAGATGTAGATTACATCTGGCAGGCTGATGCATGCGGCCGGCTGAAGCAGGCCTACCAGCATCTTAGGCTAGAGAAACGGCCTGTTCCAACCTTCTACGGTGCATGGAACTTTGAGCTACTTAAGGACCACCCAGATGAATCAGATAAACAACGACCAGTGTACCTGATACTGATCCAATACGTCGAAGGCAAGTCCGTACGAGGGTACCTCAAAGAATCCGAGGGCGACGAGACCGAGGACAAGGAGAGCGAGCCGCCACGGGTGCATACCCCTCGACAGACGCACTGGCCTCATCCTGAGAGGTTTGTCGCGATGACCGTGAAGTGAGCATTTTGGCTGAGATGGAAGGACTGGCTACCACCGGAGTGGGCGAAGAACGATGAAGGGGATACATTGGTGGCACCTGCGAACGTTTAGTGATGGCGAATCCGAGTGGAATGTAAGATTGGCCCTTGCGCGGAATGGTGAAAAGGGCGGGTGCCCTCGGTGAGCCCAAAGCTTATGCATGAGTTGCAGAAGATGTGTCAAAGGGAGAGGCTGCCTGCTACAGAAGCCCAGAATGAAGAGCCAGGGAAGAAGAGAGAAAGACGATACTCAGGAGGGTGAGTGAGATCAGAGAAGGATATGAAGTAACGGCTGCTTAGCAGCTATGTTGACTATTGGGGTATCATTCTCCAAAGGAAGATAACGGACTTACAGTCGAGGCTTAAAAAATAAAAGATAAAAAAAAACAATCAAACTACAGAGAATCTAGCGTGCCGATACGAATGCACACCATTTACAGACAACGGAAATCGGAGCGAACTTCCTTGCTCCAGTCCCGCAAAGCCTTCGCTGAATATATAGCTTATTGATTCATCCCCCTCGCTAAGAATATGTTTAGGTGCATGGTCTAGTGGTATGATTTTCGCTTCGCATTCTGAAATGCGCTCTGTGAAAGGTCCCCGGTTCGATCCCGGGTGCATCCATATTTTTACTGTTTCTGCTTACCAGACTTGTCGTTGACTGAGATATGCCACTTCTCCAATTCCGGTCGTCAACTGAAAGCCGAAGCTAACAGAAGAGTATCAGCGGAACTTTTTGTTCATTTTACTTGATTGGCTGAGCATGGCCTTGCTAAGTGACCTTGCAAGCTCAACTCTGCTTAAGATGATGTTTTTGCTCCCAACCACTTGAATGTTCAATCGAAAGAATATGTGTTTTGGAATGTTGATGATAGAGCAGATAGCAGGTACATAGGTGAATATTACACACCACACGGTCGTCAAGCTACATAAGCACAAACGCAAAATTGCTAGCAAGAACATAGGAAGAGAAAAGTTCTCTACACAATCTCCAGGTTGAAGTTGGATCACGAAGTATATGTAAATACTGCATTTGAACAGATACACAACGTCGGGGAAGGCATGGTCCAGGAAGATAGCCATGATGACCAAGCAGAGCAAAGGCACCGAAGACACAGAGCACTATAGCATACCGAAAACACCACACAGATGTTTGTATTTCTTCAGAGCTAGTGCTTCTATTTATCATTACCCCCTCTCCTGAGCTTCGTCCACCAGATAATGACTGGCGCAAACCTAGAAGAGCTTTTCCACGAATTAGCGATTTTAGTCTTTCAATGTAGAAAGGCAAAGAAACCAGATATTGAACAGCTTCTCAGATAGCGGTTGGACAAGATTTTTCCACATAGTACTTCAGTACAGGTCTGTGAACATGTTTCTCTCATCATAAAAGCAAAACGTTTTGCAACATAGAAAAAAAAAAAGCTTACCAAATGGTATAAACACGACCTGCAGTCCTGAAATGCAAGGCTGCAGGCGTTTCTGGTAGGCCAAAATTCGTTATCCAGTTTTCGGTTTCTTCACCGCAGGGCCAAAGAACGAGTCAATAGTCCTCTGCCGCTTATCAAACTGGGCACTGCCTATGCCACCTCGGGTCTTTTTCAAGCCCTCGAGATGTCGCAAGACATTAATGCCGACAACTGACATCGACATACTGTGCCTTGCAGGCAGCAGTGACTGGTAGGTCTGCAGCATCCTATTACCGGATACCACGGGTTCACCATCGGGCGATCCGGAGGCCGAAGCTGGTGAGGGTTCATTCGTGCTTTCGCCAGCCATGTCATCCAAAGAGGCAGCTCGCGAAGCCCTCACGACCAGCTCAACATACCCAGTATTCCCCCAAACAACATGTTGCCACGTGCTAGAAGTCTCAGTCAGCCGGGCCAGCTCAGCCGGAGCAAACTTCTCCAGCAACATACGAAGCAACACGTCCAGGATCAAGCCATGGGCGACCACGACAACGGCCCCATTCCCAGTCTCAGGATCCATAAGTACAGGCACAAGATGCTCTCGCGCAAATTTCTCTGCCCGTGCTCGCATGCTCTCGCGAGACTCGGCACCTGCATCGGCAAGACCGTGTCCAGCAGCGCGAAATTTCTTGCCTTCTGCGCCACCAAAGTCGCGTTCCCTCAGCTCGCAAAGTTGGACAACCTCTAGAGTTCGAGCAGCTAGGAGAGAGGTGGTGGTGGTGCTGGTGGAAAATGCATCACCATCTTCATGACCACCATTGGCATGGCCTTCGCCATCCGTGGTCGCAGCAGCAACGCCGATATCCCCTCGCCGCTGCGCAGCAACTATCTCCCTCGCCGTATCCACAGCACGGTCCAGGTCAGACGCAAACACACGCTTCACCGAACCGATGCAAGATGCCTGCGCAGCGAGAGACACTCCCAGCCGACGCGCCTGCAAGATACCGTGAGAAGTGAGCGGTGAGTTGCGCGATCCTGCACTTGCGATATCGAGTCAGTAAGATGCTTCTTAGCTGAGCGGTGGCAAACGGGAGACGACCGTACTAAACACCTGCGACGTTGTCGACTGTTTCCGCGTGGCGGATGAGGAGCAGGCGGCACTGCCATCGTTGCTCCGGCCACTGCTGCTGCGCAGGCATTGAGTTGTGTTTTCCCTGCCTTGCCTAGTGTCCAGATCAGAGCATCCGACGAACAAGTTATGAGACGCCCATCATGATGACGGCGGCGTGGTTAAGTGACGGGAAGACGTCGCTTTGTGGTTTGGCAGGAAATGTTGGAGGATGAAAAGTGAGTAAGGGAGGAGGAAAAAGTTTGTTGCCGCACATATTTGCGGGTGTTCTCCCGCGAATTAGAAGTGGGGCTTAGTCTTGGCGTTTGGTTGTCTGGCCAGCCGCCAGCGGGTCTCGCAGATGGAAAAATCAATGCTCAGGGATTAAAGCATCTCACATGTCAGTCTAGGCTAAAAACCGCCTTTTGTCTACGCGCAGAGACAACTTCACAGAGTTAATGTCACGGAACATGATCAAACAACGGCCCTTTGGTAATGCAAACAAGGATGCGACAAGTACTCCATTTCCAGAAGCAACTATTTGCTTCACGTTGGGCATTGTGTTTTGAGGTGAAACGTCAGACCAGAGCGGAGAACCAAGTCCAACACCTCACTAAGCTGCGATGAGAAGACATATACACATATTAGCTTGAGGAATAGATTCATCCATTTCCTAACTATCTCTAACACCACCCTACCGCCGGAGATGCCACCAATATTCATCCAAAACAAAATGACTGCTCATTCCTGAACATTGTCCATGCTTCCTTAGCCAGTTCCATTCGTGCTTCATTCCGCCAGAGTTAAAAATAAAGTAAACAGCGGTAACAAGTATACACAACTCAAACCAACGAGACTTCAAACTTGGAAGCCAAAGAAACAGAACAGCAAATATGAGATAACCAGCCCCGAAGATGCTTCGAAGACCGACGTTCGCGAGAACAATAGTCCAAAATTTTTCGGTCCTATCCATACTCCTTCGCATGAAGCCGTGACCAAGGGCATCGCTGAAATCAAAAGTGTAACAATTGTCCCACCTCCCCTCCTATTTTTGCTTATATCGTTTGTGAATCCATCATTCAGCCCGCTACCCGCCAAAACACTTGAGAATAACCAATGTCGGAATCTAAATAAAAGCAGAATATGATAAAGAAGCAAGCTTTTGTGTCTTCAGATGGGCGTAGGCCCTTGCGCTAATTCTTCCTGTATTGTCTGTGCTTTTGTAACGTGGCTGGTAGTAGTAAACGGATTAAATGGGGTCATTGCCGAGACTAGGGGGGATATTAGTAATGGGTCTAGAGAGAGAGAGCCGTGGAAATCGTTCGGAGTAAGGAAGGATCATCTGCGAGCGTCGATATGCCGTCCGTTCTTTTAAAAGAAAATCCAGCGGGGATTCGAGGTGAGTTGAAAGATCAAGAGGGTATCATAAAGATATATGCGGAAGAAGAAAATCAAAGGACGGCAGGGTCATGTTGTTTCGCCACTGTGCTGATAGAAGGCTCTGACGAGATGCTAGAGTGGCATCGAGGTGCCCTAAAAACGAAAGCCGCTTACACATGAGCGGGGTGGCTGTTTCCTCTCATCCAGCCAAACATGCCGCTACCAGTAGCAGAGTTGGGCGTGGGATCGACCGGTGTGCGCAATTGCATCGCCTCGCGCGGCTCCAGAAGCAGACTCTTGCGGTAGTGCGAGGCTTGGGCATTCGAGCCCGGCTTGTCCTGCTCGCGACCGCGCTCAACCTGCCAGGTGAGCCAGTCTTGCAAGTCCGGGAGTTCAGTCAGGCGATATGGAATCTGGAAGCGCTGCAGTTCCCCAATGCATTTAGCTGTGCGCATATGCTTGTCAAAATTGATAACCGTGAGGCCGGTGTTGGTTGTTTTGGTCGCAGGGTTGCCGACGTCGACAAAGGTGAGGTCCGTCAGGAACATGCCCAAGAATGGCAGACAAGGAGGGACTTGACCGTGGAGCTGAGCGCGGAGAGCCTTGTAATTCTGGTTGATGTCGACGGTAGCCTGGAGAGACTTGAGCTGCTCCTTGCGCTTAAGGCTCACATTGTCCCAAGTGAACTTGAGCCGCTTAATGCTAGTATCTGTCAGGGCGCAGGTGATGGCCATCAGGGCGTCGTAGTTGCGGAGCGCGTGGCACTGATGGGCAATTTTGATCCATTGCTTGATGACCTGGGCACGCTTTTTGACTTCCTCGAACTGAAGGATAGACTCTGCAACGAAGTTCGACAGCCCAGTCGTGAAGGACGACATGGCCTTAACATTTGGCGCGCCGACGCCTCCCATCTTTGTCCATTTGGAGCCAAGCAGTTCATCCGGAGTGATGGAGCAAAACAGGGACATTTGCTTCAGAGTCAACTGACGGGCGATCTCCAAGGGGTCAAAGTCTAGAATCGAGGGAGGGTTGCCGCCAGCCTTCCAGTTGGACAAGGCATTAGCCTGGCTCCTTGAGAGTACAGGCGGAGGGAGAGGAGCATCAGCGGGAATGCAAGGGGAGATAGCGGCCGTCGTCTTGCCCATGGACGAGACGAGACGAGGGACTAAGGTGCCGTCGGCTACCGATACCTTCTGAACCAGTTCCAGGAGTCGTTTGCCAGCCGAGGGAAGAACAGGGGAGAGCTTCGACTCTGCGAACTGCTTAATCAAGGGCAAGGCATCACGATCAGCGTCCTCCCGCCAATGCGATTCCAACCAACACTTGAAAGCGTTATAAGTCCGCAGGCGAACTGGCTGAGCGATGTGAGGAGCCTCGCCGACATAATCGAAGCGATCAATGAGTGCTTCGGTAAACGACACAGGTGTACAGAAGAGACGGAAGGTGAGGTAGAAAGTCGAGACGAATATGGCATCCGGTGTGGACTCGTGGGCAGTAAGGCGCTCGACCAGGGCCGGTAAGGATCCGCCTGTGACCTGGCCTTCCTTATTGAAAACCAATTCGTGGGCATACGTCTTCTCCAGGAGCTTCGACTCGACCTCCTCATCTTCGGTGTGGGCTGTGCTGTCAGTCACGCTAAGATCAGACAGAGACGGCTGGCTCTTGGGCAACGGAGCGTTGTCGGGGGTTGTCGCCCGTGTCGACGTCTGGGATACAATGCTAGACTCGGAATCACGGCTTAGGTATGTGCTGCCCGAGCCGGAGCTCGATGCCGTCATGCTCTCAGAGCGGAATGAGCGGAATTCGGAGTCCTGGGTTGCTGACGGAGTAGCAGCGTCGTAACTTTCGGGAGGCAGCGAAGTAGAGATCTTGGGAAGATGGGGGAGATCGGGGCGGAGGGACGAAACAGTTGAGATGTTGCTGATGGGAGAGCAGGTAACGTTGGCATCGACAGATGGCGTCGTTGCAGGCAGCGAAGAAGCCACGTCTGGCGTTTCTGAGACAGGTGAATCGGCTTCTTGAGGAAGCTCGGGAAGAGGCTTGTCGATCGAAGTGGAACGTGAGCGAGAGGTATCCGAGCACGAAGCAGCCTTTGGAGATTCGGTGGTCGGTGATCGAGCAGCGCTCGGCTCAGGAACGCTTCCTACATCAGCAGTAGTTTGCGGCTTGTCTTTCGTCTTAGAGTCTGTAACGAAGGACAAGTCGTCCAAGCCGTCGAAGCTAATTCCCAGGCTGCCGTTTTCGAACTCGAACTCGAAGTCACCGATCCGCTCAATGACCCATCTCGTCTTTGCGACGCACTCGCCAGTGGCTTTGACACATCCAGTGGCTGCCCCCAATAGGCGGCCGTTATCATCAGGAACAATAACGTCGTCATCAACGTCTGAGCCGGGATGGGCCAAAATATCACGTGCTGTGTGCACAAGATCTTGGATTCGGTCGTACATGGCGGTACGGGCCTGCTCGAGGGCGTCGATGCTTGTCGAGGAATGACCACGAACGACGTCCACAACCACCAAAAGATCGCCGCCGGACGTAGCAGACTGCCTGATAGCGATGGCCAGACTAGGCCGCGACTGTGACTGCAATTGAAGCCGTCCAATGAAGGAGCCAAGGTGCGAGAGGAAGATATCATGGCATGTGTTGAGACGTTCCGAGACAAGTTTGTGAGCCTGTGTGTAGGACGGAAGTCCGGCCAAGCTAACACGATGGGAAATGGTTGATGATAATCTGTTCGTTTGCACCACGCTGTTTTGTGATAGTCGTCGAGCGTTTGCGCCCTGTTGCAAGGTAGCAACAGACAAACGCGAGGCATTCGAGGTATGGTTTCGTACCACGTCACGGGATGGAGATCGCGCTGGTCGACCAACGTAACCACTGCTTTCTCTCACGCGGGACTCTGCATTAAAGGTGTGGCTGCTGGTTACACTGACGACGGCCAAACCTGCTGGGGCAGTCCACAGATTGCCGCCTTCTTCCGGCAGCGTTGACAGGACATTCACTGCTGGTAACCGCGACATTCGGTCGTCTTCCAGTATGTCCAGGAACCTGACACCTTTGATGACCACTTTGAAAGCCCGCAGGATCATTTCGTCGACAAGGCTGTTGATCTCAACGGTAGTGACAATCCCTTGTGCATCTTGAAGTCGCTTAGCTGTTTTGACCAGGGATGACAGCTCTGAAAGCAAAGACTTTCGGCTTCGCCGGAGCTGCTCGTGCCTTTGCACAACAGGCGAGTCCCTTGTCAGGCATTGCGTCCGTTCCTACCGCAGGTATTAGCTCAAAACATCCGGCTGCCAGATATTTCCGCTTCGATGCTGCTGCACATGGCAACATACCAAAAGATAGCGGACACCAGCAATGATGCCCTTGATGAACTCCTGATTGCCAAACAGTTCGCTGTCATTGATGGAAGCGCTGCGCATGAGATCCCAGAAATCGAGCAGTGCTTTCAGCAGCCTGCTCATCTCCTCGGGGTCATAGGCCTCACAGTAGTTGGTCGGCAACCACCCTCTCGCTCCGTTCACCAGGAGCGTACCGTCAGCCCAACCATTGGTATGGATAGAATGCACCAAGACCACATCGCCCTCATCCAGTGGCAGCGTCACCGTCGAATCAGTTACGATCGATTCTGGTTGGAAAGGGTAGAAGGCACGCAAGAAATTGTGAAAAACAGCCGGCGCGTTGACGTCCATAGTTGCATCATCGCGGAAGGCACTGGGAGTCGCAGGAGGGGTAACCTGGGACTCTGTCTGAATGTTCGAGACGTCAACTGCTGTCTCCGAGCTACAACCAGACGTTGTGCTCCTGGCTTTGTTTATCGTTAACGGAGCCACTTGTAGGCTCGCTCGCATTTCGCGCTTGTCCGGCATCGTGATTGCCAGCTAACACCCGTCAATCTCAACATAAGTCACGAAAAACGAGCATGTATCGGGGGACAAGCCCCTCTGCTTGTGTTCTGGGTCGAGGTGGAGACGGACTCGTGCACAGAAGACTAATATCTATGCCCGGCCAGCGAAGAGCAAGAACCCCTCTGTTTAATACAGCTGCTTTCTCAGCGGTAACAATGGCCCCGAAGGTCTAGGCACTTGTTCGTGGGTATCTAGCAAGATTGACAGCACTGGAGTAAGAGATGAAGGTTAGCATCGAGATCCAGCACGCTTGACAAAGATGGCGAAGATGGCAAGGTTGTTTTAGAGGAGGGTCGGGCAAGCCGGCTTCTGAAGAATGTAGGGGGACAGCATGTGGCGGGAGGGGCAGAATGCAAGGAGCCCCTGATCCCAAATCCCAGATGCAGGGCAGTGTAAAGCATATGACCCAGCCAGGATGCCCGCATGTCGAGGGGGGGATATTAACTTCCCAAAAAAAAAATCAAAGTAGAAGAGCAAATGGCGACCTACAGAAGAGGTATATACAGATGGAGAAAACACAATCGCCGTGCCAGATCTGCGAGATGACGCCGCCGTCAAAAACGTCCAACTCCAGGATACGTGCCGCGGCGAGACACAAGGGTAAGCGAGCGAGACGGCTATCAGAGAGCCCAAGGTAGATCAACCCCCAGCTCCGGGGGGGGGGGGAGCAAGGCTATGCAATCTGAGAACACGAAAGATAAGAATACTGCGCCAGAGAACGAACCAGGCAGGCGTTTGACGAGTCAACCGTCGTCGCGGAGTCAGATGCAATTACTGGAGGACAGATATCGTCGACGTCGTCGAGACATTCGTGGACACTGCACACGCGCTGCGCAATAGCAATGGCGATGGCGATTTACTCGGGATGCGGTGAGGTGGCAACTTGAGATCACCGTGGTGTGAGTCGCCAGGAGTCGCGGCCCGGTGCCGATTCGAGTCCTGGCTGGGCGAGTCTGGAGTAAGCAGCGCAAGTAACTCGCAAGCACGGATAAATCGGCGACAACACGACACCTTGGGACAAGCCGAGCTCGAGCTTGATCAATTGCAGAAGACGGAGACGAGGGTGAAGAAGAGGTGGATGGGCGTGGAAAATCAAGAGACCGTTGTTGTTTCCCTGGTAGCATTTCCCTTTTCCTTTCCCATATCCAACGACCATGACTGCTTCCTTTTCTTCCTGGCCCGGCACCTTCCTCCCCTGGCACCTCTCCTGCGGTTGCCCCCTCGTCGAAACCCTGGGCAAGCTCGGACAAGCTTGAACCCCTGGCTCTGGACCTGCAAGGTTCTCTGCCCGGCCTGCAATATTTTTCGTGCATTGCCCATTGTGGTTCCCCGGCGCACGCTAGCCCGTGGGACATTCCCCTAGCCGGTGGGGCCATGGGTCCTTGTCAACCACCAAAGAACAGGGCCCGCTGACGTTATTTGCGTTAGCGCCGTCCGGTGGAGCGCCACTCGGGACGGCAGCAACGGGAGACAACCAGATATGCCCTGCTGGGCGTAGCGTACTGTAACGTACCGTCATCGCGTCCGTACGCGCGAAAAGTATCTTCGGTCAAGGCGGGGAACCAACCACCATGTTTCGAAGTCCGCCATTCTTTTCTAGCGTATCCGTCGTGTTTACACTACCTAATGGGTACCACTTATACTTGTGCATATATTACAGTAATGCGGTGAGGTGCAGTCACCTCTCTTTTACTGAAATCGGCAAGTTGTCAACTAATATGAACCCAATCAAGATCTAAGCGTTGGTCTTCTGGGGAGGGACGAAGGCTGTTCGGTTTGTACATGGATATTGTCTGTACTCCTGTCAAAGTAATCGACATGTATAAGCATGTTTGGCCCAAAAGACCAGCGATTGACATACGGCTTCATCCACAGTCCATGTCCCTTTTCTTCCCCACAATGAGCGCTGCAGAAGCGCAGAATCGAGATTCATAGCCAGTCCTGTCTCGGAATCACCACCAGTTTGGCTAACAAGCCTACCACGGTATAGCAAGCCTGTCCAAGGAGAATTTTGAAACTGCGCACAATATACGTTGGGGAGAAACTTGAAGAACCTATTTGATGGGTTTATCTTGTGGAAGTGTTCTCTTGATGAGTTGAACTTCCTCTTTTCAGTTGAAGTCAGGATGCACCATTATTACCCAGAAGATTATTTTTTAGGCAAGCCCTTCTTCTACTCAGATTTTCAAGCACCTTCTGAAAGGTAGCCTTGTCCATTGGTGCTCCTATGGTCTCAGTGATCATAAAAGCTAGGTTGAACTGCATGCTTGAACAGGTCCCTACACATCCATCGCTTGATGTTCCGCGACTTACCGGTAAAAATTGCATTGTCTGGATACAAATGCAATATAGAGGTAACACTCTATCTCATAATCGGTGGTTCCGTATGTGTAACGCGCGTATCGCTTGGTATGGAGCCCGACCCAGCGCCCCGGCTCTGTCGATGCAAATGCTCTTGACCCCGGAATGCTTTCCGGCGTGTTAGAGTCTGCCAATAACGCGAGTTAGTTTGCTTAACTTCATGCTCAAAGAGCGACCCAAAGGGCTGGAAAAACCTGAAAAAGAGATATCGCCAGAGGAGGATCACGTTCACCCAAGCCTCAGGCGTCCAGCAGAAGACTAGAGCAGGAGAATCGACACAACTTGTCGATCTACCTGGCTAGCATCATGGAGTTGTGTTTTCAAAAAAAGAAAAACACAGCTGCGCGAGTGGTGCGCGATTGAATACCCCTGACTTCGTGGGGGTCTGGGGGTGGTCAGGCCAAGAAAACCAGGGGAAAGGTGCAATTGCTAAACAGCTAGCAGCGATCAGATCATGGCGATTTCTGGTCTTCCCAAACCCGGAATCACTGCATGTGTGGTGCACTTGCAGCCCCAAGTTCCAGGGACGTCAGTGGCCACCAGGTGGGGAAAGATAAAAGCGAGCTGGAAAAAAGAAGGAAAAAAAAATGTTGTGACTGATAACTACGTATTGATCTCAATGCATATCGAGTCCGGTCTCAGGGCCGAGCACCTTGTTCAGGTCGTCTTCAAGCTATACATCAAGAGATCCGCCTCGTCAAACGGGTGCCGTCACCCGACATCACAGGGTCAAGTGCAGCCTGGAGAGGGGGGTAGCAAGTGAGCAAAGCAAAAGCGCTGCCAATGGTTGCTTGTGTGGACTACCCCGATCACCCCTTATGCAGCATGCATGCAGGAACGTAACAGTCTTGCTGCCGACAGTAAGGTTCGATACAGATTGGCAAGGTAACGTGATTCTGTACACCGTGTGGAGTGTGGACGCCTTGCCCTGCCCATATATGACTTTGGCACTGTACAAGGCGCGCATCGACGCCTTCACCCACAAAACTCCCGGAAACGAGTCCGCCATTTGCCATGGGAGTTGACAATCTGATTTCTTGAAAATGCATCTTCAACTGCACTGATCGTCTCTTGACTCCATAAGGCAGTTTCTCAAAAAGCAACGTTATTGATCCACTGAGGAAGACTGCGGGGCCGGTGAGATTGTGCACCTCTGTGCTTGTATATTACAACTGGTTATCCGTATCTTACGAAACATGCATCCAGGAGTGTTCCAGGATGATCCTCCTCTACGCCACACCTCGCATCATCGGCCAGCGGGAGCGTGCCGTTCCCTTTTGCCACTCAAAATTCCAACACCTAACAGGTTTCGCCGTAGATGATGAATGTGACATCCCAGCACGCTAGTACGCGTTGCGCACCCGTTAAGTGAACGGTCAAAACACCCCTAATTTTGCGGAGACACGCCGCGGCTGAATGATCAGAACGCCGCACGAGGGGCTCACCAGCAGGGGTTCCAGAGACCACAGACATGGAGCTTTACGGAGATTGTGATCTCAGCACCCAGGACTGCTTGGCGATGGTAAATCCTACAGGTTAGATGCTGTGACAAGGCCTGGATCACACAGCTGCCGAATGCCATCACACATGCTCGTCACGGAAATACCACCGAGTCCAAAGAGTAGCGTGCTAAGCTGAAGCAACGGTGCCATTCCCAGCGGCTAAGACACGAACCGTATATCGATCTTCAATGACCGACCGTAGTGTTGCTATGGAGCATGTTCTATTCCTAGCATTGTTTACTCAGCTTCCTACCTGAAATATTCAATCAACAATCTGCCAAAGCAATTTCTCCAGGCAACACACCCTGCCGTGACATCAACCAGTGCTCCTCCAAACCATTCACCATGAGGCTACCACATCAAATAGCATTCCGACCATTCGAGCCGATGCAAGCAGCCGGCAATCGGCATACAATATCAATATTCAGTTTAACCATACACTACCTTACATACGCTGCTTAAGCACATGCCTTACCAGAACATCTCCCGAAAACCCCCGGCAGCAATTTCGACCTACGTGATAGCCGGCGGCTACGCAACTAAACCGGCTACAAGACCCTCATGTCCAATCATCGCTTGTCACGTTCTTTGTTCACTATGTGCTGCCGAGTGACAGCCGAAGATGCTTGTTTGACTCCATCTCCAACTCCATTTTGCATCGAGAGCACTGCGGACCCTTTTCAACATAACGGCCCACCGAAGGATTATCGTGGACTTCATTCGACAGCTCCATCCGCCAATCGCAGAGCTCTGAAGCACAAGTGGAGCTTGTCGGTCATGCATCCTTGGCAGCAAGGGCTAGACCCCGGCCCCAGTTTGCTGTCTCGAAACATGGAGCCGGTGTGCAATTGTTTATTGAAGAAGATCACTGCTGTCCACCGTAGTTGGTGACCGGGGCCGGAGAGAAGTCAAAATCACCGAGAATCCTTCCGTGAAACGTTGACCACGGAACAATTACCATTTGTGTGGACGAGAGAAGCAGATCACGAAATGCACGTGGATATGGTCTTTATCCCCTCCTCTTTTTTATTTTTATTTATTTATTTATTTATTTATTTATTATTTATTTATTTATTATTTATTTATTTATTTTTTTTTTGCTGGCGTGAACCACCAACGCTGATTACTTGGGTTAATGAGACTGCTCTGGTTTTCTGGTCACATTTCCCACGTGACTGGATCGACATCTCCATGATTTTCATGCTTCTCTCCCCAGATTTGTATAAAACAACTTCACTTACTCGTTACCTTGAATGATTTGTTTCAAGATCAAGGGGATAGGTGTCTGATGGGCGGACTACTGGACGTGTGTGGTCAAAATCAATCATGTGGCTGGCATTTCATGGTTTGTCTCGAAGATCTGTCACCTCTTCTGGTTCCAGCCCGATGGGACTCATGCAAGATGCGGCTCTCAAGACACAGCAGACATGTCGAGTCAGTACCCTCCCAAGGTAAGATTTAATTGAGTAGGTTCAATCCATAGTCGATCAAATCATTTTGCTTGGTCTAAAACCTCAGTAATCCGTGCAGGAACTGCCAGTGACGACACCACCTCTTCGCATCCGATGTTCCCAGTCTTGAACGATAGTGTGGACTTCTCCAAAGCCTGCCAGTCCGAAGAGGAAGTACAGAAGTTGTAAACAGGGCAATAACATAGGCCAGATGTGCATCCATTCCATCGGCTACCTGCATAAACACACCTGCCCATCATTACTTGTCACATGCCTCGAAATCCAGACCAAGCACAGAGGCTATTCGAAGACATGCATGGGCTGTCGGGCCGGAGCCGATCGGGCACTGACGCTACCGAATGTGGGGTGCATGCAGCGGCGCAGGAGGTGGGGGCACCGGACCGATGAGGAGTGTTAGCCTTGCCGCACTACCTCCGATATCATCCACTCCAGCTTGACTCCGCTCAGCTATCATCATCCTGCAAGCTGCACACCTCACGCATATCGAACAAGATTTTCAAGGAACTGAGCCAGCATGCAGTAATCTTCAACCTTGAAAGTGTCAAGAATTGCATTCCAAACAGTGCCTGCATGCTGTTGTTTCAGATAAGTTGGGACTAAAACATCCAGCTTGGATGACAACCGGCGATCATGCGGCACCTCACAAGACATCACAGTTTCCATGCGTGCATGCATGGTTGCAAGATCTAAGCTTACTCCTTGTAAACGTGGTCAGGTCTTTGGACTAATGCAAGGGGACTAACGGGCTTCTACCATGGGATACGAGGTAGCTTTGAAGAAGGTTCCGGTATGTCGGGTTTGAAGGATATTCCATTGCGACGACAAGGACCTGACCGCTACCCAGATCCGCAAGGCGAAGTAATTTTCGAGGCTACGCTACAAAAGTCAAGCACTTGGAAAAAAAGATCGTCAGTCATCTGGGTTGCATAGAATAGCAAAACGGAAGAATAGTCTTCCTGGATTATCTCGCCATTGATGGAGACCAGTTGTTTCAATTTTACGTTACCCCGTCTCGCCTCTACTTCTCAGTCACCTTGCTTCCGTAAATCCTTCATCTAATCTATCCACAGCCTAAGTATAGATCCGCCCCAATCAGATACAATGACTTGAATCGGTTCAATGTACCGTAGCCACAGAAAGAGGTGCCATTGAACAAGCAATGACAAATGTTGTCGAAACACGGTCGTCATCTCATCCTCAAGGGCAGTGACTATTGCCGCTATCTTTTATGATGCCTACAACCACATACAGCCATTCCATTTACCACTCCACCACCCGTGAAGAACATACTGTTGCGCCAGGCAGTCGATAGGGCGCTACTAGCGATGATCGGTACCACTCAATCCCGACCGATTGTTTTTTTAAAAAAAAACATTCACTGTCCTTAACATAATTTTCATCCACGATGCCATGTCCATGATGAAGCCGCGGTCCGTTTCCCATCGCCAAGGTGCTGTTACGTTCTGTGGGTAAGCCATCTATCCTCGTTGGGGCGATCATGATCCTGAGTGTGACTGTTCCCGGTTCCGGATGTGTTATGGATCCATATCGCACTGCGGTAAGTTTGGCAAACTTGTTTTGTTTTCGGGGCCAATTTGTGCAACAGCATTCCCGTGCTGAACCACACTTGGGTGAGTTATGGATTTGTTTCAGCGCATGCGTGTCTGTCGGGGGATGGAGGTTTAACAGTCATTGCGATCGAAAAAAAGATCTGTTCCTAGGTCAAGATAACGAGGTGAGTGTTTGAGAAGCTTAACAGGAATATACACCGCAAAGTCATGATGTCATCAAACTGTCAGGAGGAAAAAAAAAAAAACTTTGATTGTTATGGAATCGTAGAATTGACGGGCACACACACGAAAAACCAAGCTGAATAGATCAATAAACACTCCATTGAATGCCACAGTGATATCACAGTGCGGGAAGAGGATGTAACGGCCTGGTGGTGCGCTGAAAAAGAATAGTAGGAAAGTATTTCCCTATCTGTCCAAAGTCCCCGCTTACTTCAACGCCCAATGCAACGATAATCTGCAGACGCAGGAGGATTCGGCTCGGAAGCGAGAGCAAGCTACAGGATATCGGACAAGCACCCGGGCACGATGGTCAATTAGACAAAATGCCATCTGGTAAAGTTTCTCGAGAAGACGTTGCGCTCGGGCACACCGATGGACTGAGTGGAGCGCGCAGGTGGCAGCGTCTCATCATCGCTTATACACAGGGACAAACGTAGCAAGAAGTGATGTACGGTATGGAATGAACACCATGACTATATTGACGCATCTCATTGTCGTTTCTTACGTGCAGATTTCCAACCGATTGCGCCCCGTCATAGAATAAACAGTCCGTAGCAGCCCCATAACACACACAAGATCTAACATTTAGAAACTTAAGGACTTGGTTAAGTTTCCATTGATAAAGTGCGAACTAGGGCTTCTTTTTCAAATCTCCACCGTTGATTCTCACCAGTATTATCAGATTGTATTTTCATGTCTGACAGTTATGCTCAGTATAGTCAGTAAACTTGACGTGAATACCTCGAACTCATCCGTCGTTGACGTTCGAAAAACGCTCGAGCACGCGTTTGTTCACCTAGTGTATGGGGGAGAGAATATATATAGCTAAAACACCACAATTGCCACAATTGCCACATTGGACTGTAATGGAAAGGGCTAATACAGCTATGTGGTGGGTCTGAGAGTTGCAAATTTCATGCAGAGACATCACATAGAGATCTCAAAGCCAAAGCACAAGCCGTATCCGGTTGTTAGTCGATCTATGTCCGGTGGTAGTGACTACCTAAACCTCGAGAGGCATGAAGAGAAACCTATGCTAGCAATGTGTTTGGTATCATCCAAGATCCCACGGTACCCAAACAAGCCCCATGACAGCGTCCCATACCCAGAAAACTCGTTATCCGACTAATCCATTATTCCATAACTCATCTCTATCAGGGCGGATGGCTACCTGCGTGACACTCGTACCCATAACTGGACAGTCAAACAGCAGACTCAGTCTTAGAATCCACAGTCTTCTTTTCCGGGGCCACAACATCAGCTACTGTCTCGTCACTAAACTTGAGATCCTCCTCAATGGAAACAGTATCCTTGATCTTGAGCCAGATCACAGGAGCTGCAAAGACTAAGGCGCCGCCTAGGAGACCCCACTGGTACAGGAAGCACGTGTTAGTCACCAAACGATATCCCAACAATCAGAATGCGGAGCGAAGTCGAGGTGAGACATACCGTAGCACCGAACATAACATCAAAAGGCTTCTTGAGCCCGTCCAGGCGCCAAAATACAGCAGCACCAGCGGACTGGATGCCCTTGTAGAAGCCAGCCAAGTTGGCAGCCTTGCGACCGGAGTTGCTCAGCGCGCCCATGTACCTAGAACAAGGATCAGCAGATTGCACTGTGAACTGAGTCAAGCTTTCGTAAACCAACCAGTAGATGCACGTCTGCCACGCGGCATCATAAAACCCATAAAACATGTACAGAAACATCGGCCCTATGTACCTCTCACCTCCATCTGTCCAGTCAACCCGCTGGTACTCAACTTCCTTGCTCTCGACCACCTCGCGAGCGACTTGCTTCCGTTGCCAGGCATAGCCACCGCCCCAGATGGCGAACGTCAAGATAAACAAGACCACGAAACTCGCCTTGGCGCGGATAGAGCGGCGCACTCGCGGCCAGTCGAGGGCATAGCCGAATACGACGGCACCAATGATCTGGCTGGTCCAGTACAGAGTGTTATTGAGGGCGCGGGTGCGAGTGTTAAAATGGGCGCCGTTGAAGTCGTTTGTTTGATACGTGTAGAATGTGTTCGATGCAAAGAACATAGGGAACAGCAAGACAACCCATGGCCCGGTAGTGATGGTCTCGAAGAGACCAATGAACTCTGTCTTCCAGCTCGGGTTCTTCATTAATATGACCTTGGAACCATCGTGACGACGGATGCGGTCCGCATTGCACAGGAACAGGGCCAACACGGCGCCGGCGAGCATCAAGACCATAAAGCCGACGTAGGTGCCGTCGGTGACGTTGGTGGTGCCAGTAGCGTTGATATTTTGGCCCAGTGGTACTAACGAGCCGATGACGGCGCCCAGGTTGAAAATGGTCCAGAAGTATGAGATGTACCGACCCTTGGTGTCTTCCGTCGGGTAGCTCATCATGATAGTCCCCTGAGCGGTCCAGAGAAGACCAGCACAGACGCCAAGCAATGCCCCGGCGAAGACAACGAACCCGCGGTTCTGGTTGTGATTGTAGCTGAGGAAGCTAGCGGCGTAGATGCAGTATCCGAGACCACCGAAAGCGAGGGTAGCTTTGACACCGAGCATGTTGGCGATGGTGCCAGAGAAGAAGGCAACCACGGCGAAAGTGGAGTAGAGCGCAGTGCTTGCATCGTTTTGGGCGGATGCGTCGACTTGGCCACCGCCGCCCAGGCCGGTCAGCGCATTGAACATGCCCGGGCAGAGGAAGCACACCATCGCGACGAGCAGGAGCTGCACGATCGGTGAGGCGTACCACACTTCTGTCTCTCCTATCCGGATCCCCTTGTACATCCAGCCGGGAGGGCGTGGAACCGGCGCGGTGCCATCCGCGGTTATGGGCGCCGTTTGCTTCTCGTCCGTCATCGAGGTTTAGTCTGGTCGAGAGGTTGCCGAGGCTCTCGATTTATATCCGAACGTCGTCGCTCTGAGGCAATGCCGACCGCGATGAGAAAGCTCAGCGAGAAATGAACAATTATTTTTATGTCAAACAATCAGCGAAAACTGGCCAGCCGGCGGGACGGGCGGGTAATATGGATCGGCATATAAAGATTGAAGTGCGTTCGAATGCAATGCCAGCCCACAACCTGCACAGACAAGCCATTGGCGGATCGAAGGATTATGGGACGGGAAGCAGCAGGGAAGTCTGGGACAAGGATGCAAGTCCGGGACACGGCAGGTGGGCAGCGAATGGCAGTTGCGGCAAATGTTGTAGCAGGATTATCAACATTGTTTTGTTGGCCCCCAACTGCCATCCAGCCTGCTACCTATTTCCAGCTGCAACGACAGATCACTACTCCTACCACTATCCCAACTCGTTGAGGATTCTGAGTGTTGACAAAAGTGATTCATAACCGCAATGCGATGCAACTCCCGACTAGCTCAATGGATGAAGATGAGAGGCAGTCTGACATTGTTGGACACGGGGCTGATGGGTGATCATGGAATTCCGTCCTCGTGTTGGTTGTTAGGCTGCTGCTGGAATTCAAGGGCAATACGGAATAACGGCGATGAGACAGCCCGTGACCTGCGCAGGGCTATCACCCAGCTGAAAGAGAGAAGAGGAAGAGTCAGACTCAGCCCGTTGGTTATCTTGTGTGCTGCGTGTTGGAGCACGTCCTGTTGGGTTGGATGCAAGAGGACTACAGTGAAACAGTAGGTGAGTTATTCGATCAAATCTGATGTTTATCCCGGATCCAAGACCGAAGCATGATCAGTCGACCTGATGGATGCAGAAGATCAACGGCAACGGACCGAATCGCATGCGGGAGTTGTGCGTTCGAGATGGAAGGGCTCTGAAGACAGGCAAGCGGTTGGAGCTTGGCGGTGGACAATACCCCACAACGGTTGTGGAGGTGCTAGAGCTGCCTTTTGCAGCGGCTTATGCTGATTGGTTGAAGAGATGCCTTACATGACAATTTAGGAAGGAGCCAAGGCGGTGAGGGCCGCCACAGTTTCCACTGCGCCCCGCAAAGCGACAAGGCCGGGTAGTTGGCGGAGAAATTTTGCCAAGGCTGAGCTACTGCCGGCTTTTGCCGTGGCCATATAACCTTGATCCGTCCACTCTTTTATCATCTCCATCCTCCAAAACATTACTTACTCGCCGGCCGCAGTCAGGGCTGGGATACACGACCTACGTCGCTAGTCTCAGTTCTATCTTCGAGTAAACGATTGCAAGATGAAATTTCTCTCGTGACCCAGGGTGCGGCTCAGCAATTAATCAGGCGAAAAACTTTAGCGTGCACAGCTTCGGTAGGTTTGGGATGAAATGAACAGTCGTCGGCTCATTGCCTTATCAGCGTTTGCACCGCTGTTGGTAAAAAAATACGCTGACAGTGGTTGAGATACGGATATTATGTTGTTTGCTTCGGTTTGCGAGGGAAACAGACCTCAATCTGACTTGCAATCGGAACCGTCCGTTTGTCAGCTGCGACATCCCATCAGAACGACTTGCGAGGTCCCAGTCCAATAGAATGCCTCTCCGAGTTATAATCTGGTTCAGAGCAATGGAAAAGTGCTGACAAGAACTGGGGATTCAGCACATGTGGTTGCTTGCCTAACTATGACGACTACGGGACTGGTTACATCGGGTTCCACACACTCTCCCAGACTCTGGATGGATGCGACGGCGGCGAGTCGGCAGGTGGATGATCTGAGAGGGGTCTGATCCGGCCGCCTGGTTTTTACATATATGTGACGGGCGGATGGTGTGCTTCTCTGCCGCTACGCGGCTCCCACAGGAACCTGGTTGTCGGGTCTTTGGTCTGACTCTGTGTCGTCCCTCGGAGGAACGTTTGCCGGGGGGGGGAAGGGTGGGGGGCGCGAGCTGAGAGCTCTGTGGGCATTGAATGTGGTTCAGTTCTGATCCACAATGTCTCAAAGCTATCTTGCCAGGATCTGCCGACCTGGCAGAGTCCAGTCATTTACCGAGTTCTTTCTTTGCCTCAACGCAAAATCTGTTCCCTTCCACGTGCTCTCGTGACGCGGAGAATGAACGACAGATGTGATATCTTGCCAACGGAAGCTGCCGTGATGTGTGGAGGTGGAGATCCGGGGCGAGCACGCGGCGAGCTGTGGGCGCAGTGCTCAACCCATGGAGGTAAACCCGGGGACAAACCGACGGAAGTGGGGATTCGGGATCTCTCCCCCGGCAACCCTTAGGCTTCAGGACGGGCTGGGCATCGCCGATGGTTGAGCCAAGATGGGATGTACATGGGGCAGATCTCCGGCCGTGTGCGGGATCTCACGGCACCTTTTGTCTTTTCCAACTTTAATATCCGCTGAGCCGCCATCACCTACAGAAAGACGGGCACAAAACAACACGGGAACTCGCTTAGCCCTCCAGTAGATCCCCAATATATTGTCGGCCGTGCAACGAAGCTTGTAAAATTTTTTTTCCCCTGGCGGAGCAATCAATTTCCAGGCCATCATCAGCTCATGTTGACATGAAGCCGAGTCTACTTTTGCAAACAGGCTGAATTGCGTCGGGGGACGCCCATAGCTGGCCCCAGCTACGGTCGGTGATGGCAACTGTCGGGGATGAGGACCGGGTTGCCGGTGCCAGGACCCACTGTTTGTCGACCATGAGCACCGCTGCGCGTGCCTGTGGATGGAAAGCTGTTTTTGGTGTGGGTAGACATGCTCCGTCCTCCCCGCAGCGGGCGATATTCAATGTGACGGGAAGCTTCCAGATAGTATCCATTTTGAGCCGCTTGGAGGAGGGGAACAAAGGCGGTCGATTTAGGATAAATTGAAGAGTGGACATGGCGATGCTTGGCGCCCAGGGACAATGTAACGCTCGTCTCCAACACCAGCCGGCCACAGATTCTGCTCCGGGAGCGTACGGGACAGCTTCACAGGCATTTATCATCCACCGCGTTTAGTATATAGACGGCGGGGAGGACCTGCCTGTCGTCTTGGCTATGATGCAACGGCACCCCAACTCAGTCTAATTTGCAAGTCCCCAACCATGCGGTTCAGCAGCCTGTTGTTGCTCGCCGCCGCCGGCCTCGCTGCCGCCGAGGACGGCCTGAATGCCTGGCTGCGCTATGCCCGCATCCAGGGCGCGAAGGGCTTCCATAACAAGCTCCCTTCTGCGATCGTCACCCTCAACGCCACCGAAGGCTCGCCCGTTTACACGGCCGGTAAGGAGCTCGTCCAGGGTCTTGATGGCATCTTCGGCAAGCAGGTCAAGCACCTGGATGGCAGCTCTCGCCAGAAGCAGCCCGCTACGGTGGCCATTGTGGCTACCGTCAACGCCTATGTCGACGCCAATCCGGCTGCCGCAAAGAGGATCCCTCAGTTGGCCGATGACGGCTTCTACCTTGATGTCTCTAATGGAAACGTCCTAATTCTCGGCCAAAACGAGCGCGGCGCTCTCTATGGCGCCTTCCACTATCTCAACCTGCTTGCCCAGGGCAAGGTCTCCAATTACAAGATCACTTCGAACCCGGACGCGCCAATTCGTTGGGTCAACCAGTGGGATAATATGCAGGATGGCGGCACACACGGCAGTGTCGAGCGTGGTTACGGTGGCAAGTCAATCTTCTTTTGGGATGGGAAGGTCCGCGACGACTTGACGCGTGTGCGCCTGTACGCCCGGCTGCTGGCATCTATTGGAATTAATGCTGTTGTTGTCAACAACGTCAACGCCGACCCGAACCTGCTGAAGCCCGAGAACATGGACGGGCTGGCCCGTATTGCCAATGAGATGCGCCCGTATGGCGTGCAGCTCGGCCTGGCGCTCAACTTTGCCTCTCCGCAGACGCTGGGCGGTCTTGACACCTTCGACCCGTTCGAGCAGAAGGTCGTCGACTGGTGGCAGAACATCGCCGACGAGCTGTACAAGCGCATCCCTGACATGGCGGGCTATCTGGTTAAGGCCAACTCGGAGGGCCAGCCCGGCCCGATGACGTACAACCGGACTCTGGCTGATGGCGCCAACATGTTTGCGCGCACAGTCAAGAAGTACGGCGGTGTTGTGCTGTTCCGTGCGTTCGTCTACAACCACCAGACTCTCAACCAGGACAAGGACTGGAAGGCCGATCGTGCCAATGCCGCTGTGCAGTATTTCGACGGCCTGGACGAGAAGTTTGAGGACAACGTCGTCATCCAGATCAAGTATGGCCCGATCGATTTCCAGGTGCGCGAGCCCGTTTCGCCTCTCTTCTCGCATCTGCGCAAAACGGCCACCGCCATCGAGCTCCAGATCACGCAAGAGTACCTCGGCCAGCAGGCGCACCTCGTGTATCTGGCGCCGATGTGGAAGGAAATTCTGGACTTTGACTTCCGTGTCGATGGCAAGCGCTCTGTGGTGACGGACATTCTTAATGGCAAGCGGTTCAACCGTAAGCTGGGTGGCTACGCTGGTGTGGCCAACGTCGGCACCAACACGACCTGGCTAGGCAGCCACCTGGCTATGTCGAACCTCTATGCCTTCGGCAAGCTGGCGTGGAACCCGTCGCAGACACCGGTCAGCATCCTGCAGGAGTGGATCAAGCTCACTTTTAGCGATGACCCGAAGGTGCTTGACGTCATCACCAAGATGTCGATGGCCTCGTGGCCTGCATACGAGAACTACAGCGGCAATCTTGGCATTCAGACGCTGACGGACATCCTCAACGGACACTACGGCCCCAACCCGGCCTCTCAGGACGGCAACCCGTGGGGCCAGTGGACACGCGCCGATGCCGATAGCATCGGCATGGACCGTACCGTGTGGAACGGTACCGGTTTCGCGGGTCAGTACCCGCCGGAGGTTGCTGCCAAGTACGAGAAGCCCGAGACGACCCCGGACAACCTGCTCCTCTGGTTCCATCACGTGCCATACACCTACCGCCTGAAGTCGGGAAAGACGGTCATTCAGCACTTCTATGACGCGCACTACGAGGGTAGTGCGACGGCCCAGACATTCCCCAAGCTATGGGAGTCGCTCAAGGGCCGGCGCGGCATCGACCAGGAGCGCTACGAGCACGTGCTCTTCCGTCTTGTCTACCAGGCGGGCCACTCGCTCGTCTGGCGCGACAGCATCAACAACTTTTACTTCAACAAGAGCGGCATCCCCGACGCCAAGGGCCGCGTCGGCAACTACCGGTACCGTATCGAGGCCGAGAAGATGGACCTTAAGGGCTACCGGCCGTACGACGTTCACCCGTTCGAGTCGGCGTCTGGCACCAAATGCATCGTGACGGAGACGAACTCGACCGTGGGCGTCGCGTCGACCGTGCTGAGCAACATCAAGACAGGCCGGTACGATGTCGCGGTGAATTATTATGACCTTGCGATCGGCAACTCGACATGGGAGCTGTTCATTGACAACCAGCGTGTGGGCAAGTGGAAGGGAGATCTCGAGTATACGTTGGGCAAGGCACCGACGTTATATATCGATGGGCAAACGGCGACGAGGATCACGTTTAAGGGGGTGAAGGTTAAGAAGGGTAGCGTGCTCAAGATTGTGGGCACGCCGGACGGGCAGGAGCCGGCGCCGGTGGATTATGTGTCGATTCTACCGGAGGGGATTGTTGATTGATAGCAAGGGGGAGATGTGTGTGTGTGTGTGTGTGTGTGTGTGTTTTTCTGCGTAGGGCTCGACGTTAGTGCAGTATATTAATAGTAGTAATCTTGTTTGTTGGACATATTGCAGAATCAGTCTCATAAATGGTGAGGTGAGGTGCATCCTTTTTGCCGCGTACGACGTTGGACGGGTGGACTGAAATAACTGGAAGAAAGAGGGGACTGTTAGTGGAAGCCTAGTGGGAGAGTGGTAGCACTAGCAGATGTGGAACCCCTGCTGTTAACCCCTGCTTCCCCATAATTCGTCAAGGTGAGCGTGTATCAGATGGCCGCTTGCAGAAGCGCTTCTCTTGGCTTCGGCAGTTGGCCCTTCTAGAATTGGCGATCGACCTTCTGGCGGACCTTGAGGAACGCTAACCACCAGGCTATCCATGGCCATTACCAAGCTCAGTTCTGAGGTTTCTGCTGCCAATTGATATCATGCTGGTGCCAGTTGATCACCTGAGGATTACGTTAAGCTTGTGGTTACTTGGGCTTTGACTTTGGCCGTGACATGACACGACACGTGTTGTATACAAACAGGGCAGCTCAATTGCAGATAAGAGCCACTCGAGGTGATAACCCAGTCCAATGGGATCCCATCGCTTTCTTGGTCCCTCTCATCCTGAAAAAAAAAAAAAAAATTCAGGGTCCCAGACCCCCTCAAGTTGTTCCCACCTTCTCCTCCCCTGGCAATCGACGAGTTGCGACCAAAAGCACTCCCCTATGCGACCTATGTATCAAAAGATAGCCGGTTAAAGCTCGCCTATAGGTAGTCAGTACAGGCAAAAGTGAGTATGGACGAACGGAAGTCATCTCCCCTGCGCCGAGAGGGCAATAGCCGAGCTTAAACGCGCATCCAGGCGCCGTTTGCGGCTCAACGGAGGTCGTGAGGTGGGGCAGCGGAAGCCCGAAGTTCCGCCGTCAGCCAGGGGTTATGCGCAGTGTGATTGGCTGCGATGTGGGTGGGGCACTGTAATGACATCACTGGGAGGAAAGGAGCTGTTTTGGAGGAGGGAGGAGGTCGTACGAGGAGTTCTGGTTTCCATCCAGTGATGGAGAGATTGGGAGCAAAATCGATCAGGATCACGATCGAATTGCGGAGAGAAGTCCGATCGGAGATTGTGGGATGGAGGGAGGGATGTATGAGATATAAAGAGTTGAAATCCAGTCCTCGAGAGTTGTTTTAGTTCCCCTCTCTCTAGCGTTAGGGATATTTTTTTTTCTCCCTTTCCCTATCTCACCAATCAAGCCCCAACCCCAGCAGCAACACCCGCCCGCGCAGCGCCCGTACCAACGCGGTGCCGCATCAACGGGCAGGCGGAGGGGCGGGGCACGGCAGCCAGGGTTGGTCCCGTGGCTGCCGAACGCTGCTCGCTTCTCTTCTAGGTTGCTCTTCTGGGAATGGGAGTTGGAGAAGCCACTCGGGTGATCTGACCACCGACCAATTGACACAGGGTGACAGGCTTGGCCGGCAGATAATGCGGCTTGTCGCTTGCTCTCGCTTGCTCGCTTGCTTCATTTTCTGCCAGTGCCACTTTTCTTCAGGGAGTCAAGCAGGAGGAGAGGAGGAGGAGGAGGAGGAGGAGGAGGAGGAAGAGGAAGAGGAGAAACCGGGGCTCGAATGGGGCCCAGCGGTTGGGGTCCGTCATGTCAATTCCAGTTTAGACCACTCAGGTTCTGGCTTGCCTGCTAGAACAAGCCGGGGAGAGCTTGTCCGGGAGCCACGGCGATGGATTGCATGAATAGGTGTGTTGTCTTACATTGCCACTCCACACGGGGACAATTTAAGTGGTCCCATTGCCCGCCGCTGGGGGGCATCATCTGGGGTGCCATCTTGCGTCTGAAGTTGTGCACAATTTTTTTTCTTAATCCGTAATTTTTTCCCCTCATCCTTCCCCTCTCCCTCTTTCCTCCTGTCGACATCAACAGTAGCACTTGGCAGGACACCGACCAAATTGCTGTCCTCCGATCCTGTGTGCTGTCGTCGCTTGTCCTGTTCTTGTTGGACCCTCTCCACTCCCTTCAGCTCTTCTTCTCTCCTTGTTCACTCAGATCCTGAGTGATCATACCTCATATCAACATGTCGGCTATCGCTTCGGCCGCGCTTAAGGCGCGCGTTCACCGGCCCTCGCTGCTGAAAAAGTTCTGCCAGCCCGAGGACCTTCTTCACCACTTCCCCAATGGCGCCTACATCGGCTGGTCCGGCTTCACGGGCGTTGGCTATCCCAAGTACGGCTTCCTCTGATCTGGGTTTGCTTGATGCGCGAATTATGCTAATCTCGTAACTTTTTACTCTTCGCGCAGGAAGATTCCTACCTTCCTGGCCGACCACGTTGAGAAGAACGGGCTGCAGGGCAAGCTCAAGTACACTCTCTTCGTCGGCGCGTCGTCCGGCGCTGAGACGGAGAACCGTTGGGCTGCTCTCGACATGATCGAGCGCCGGTCGCCTCACCAGGTCGGCAAGAACATTGCCAAAGGCATCAATGAGGGCCGCATCAAGTTCTTCGACAAACACCTGAGCATGTTCCCTTCGGATCTCGTCTATGTACGTGGCACTTGTTCCTGCCCTCGGGCTAGCATGGATGCGATATTGACTGTTTTATTGTCAGGGTTTCTATACCAAGGACAGGCCGACCAACAAGCTCGATGTCGCCGTCGTCGAGGCGACCGAGATCAAGGAGGACGGTAGCATTGTTCCCGGTGCTTCCGTCGGTGCTACACCCGAGCTGCTGCAGCTGGCCGACAAGATCATCATCGAGGTCAACACTTCGCTGCCCATCATGGACGGTCTGCACGATATTGTCATGACCGACCTGCCCCCGCGCCGCAAGCCGTATCTCATCACGGACTGTGAGGACCGCATTGGTACCACCTCGATCCCAATTGACCCCGAGAAGGTTGTCGGTATCGTCGAGTCCGACTACCAGGACCAGACCCAGCCTAACGCTCCTGAGGATGAGACCTCCAAGCGCATTGCTGGCCACCTCATCGAGTTCTTCGAGCACGAGGTGCGCTTCGGCCGCCTGCCGCCCAACCTCCTGCCCCTGCAATCCGGCATTGGCAACATCGCCAACGCTGTCATCGGCGGCCTGGACAACTCCAACTTCCGTGGTCTCAAGGTCTGGACCGAGGTCATTCAGGACACCTTCCTGGATCTCTTCGACTCTGGCCGCCTCGACTTCGCCACCGCGACCTCGGTCCGCTTCTCTCCCGACGGCTTTGCTCGCTTCTACAAGAACTGGGAGTCGTACCACAACAAGCTGCTGCTCCGCCCTCAGTCCGTCTCCAACGCTCCCGAGATCATCCGCCGTCTCGGCATCATCGGCATGAACACCCCTGTTGAGGTCGACATCTATGCGCACGCCAACTCGACCTGCGTCATGGGCAGCCGCATGCTCAACGGCCTGGGCGGCTCGGCCGACTTCCTGCGCAGCGCCAAGTACTCCATCATGCACACTCCGTCGACGCGCCCGACCAAGGACGACCCGCACGGCGTCAGCTGCATCGTGCCCATGTGCACGCACGTTGACCAGACTGAGCACGACCTGGACATCATCGTCACGGAGAACGGCCTGGCCGATGTCCGCGGACTCAGCCCGCGCGAGCGCGCCCGCGTCATCATCGAAAAGTGCGCGCACGACGTGTACAAGCCCATCCTCAAGGCCTATTTCGAGAAGGCCGAGTTCGAGTGCCTCAAGAAGGGCATGGGCCACGAGCCTCACCTACTGTGGAATGCCTTCGACATGCACAAGGCTCTTGCTGAGGAGGGCAGCATGAGTAAGGTTAAGGGCTGGTAAGGGGTTAGGAGAGGAGGAAGGGGTGTGTAGATGTGGTGTATCGTAGGATGAATGATGTCACATTTCAAGGAGGGGAAAGAAAAGATGGAAGAGGATACCCTAGGGTTAGGGTTGGCGGTAGGCGAAAATTTTGGAAAATACTTTTACATTTGTATATATTTGGGAGTTTTGGTTAGCGATCGGCTCGGCGTCTTGTTGGGCGTTGATGGCTATTGTATACAATCTACATGCTGAAGATTACGTCCACATTGTTTTTGTTCTTGTTTTTGGTGGAGGGGGGGGGGGGGAGGGGTTGGAAGGGGTGTGTGCTCTGGAGTTGTGGTTCGGGAAGATATCCAAGTCTCGCGAGCCGTCAAGGTACCAGACCCTGGCTTGTCTGGGTACGGGGTCACATGACCGCACGGGTTCTTCCGTCCCTCATGTGGCCATTTTTTGATCAATTTTTTATGATGCAGCGCAACTGTACATTGAATCAAACGTCAAAGACTGCATCAATTGGCCTCAGATATGCATCAGTTGTCACTTTCATATCACAAGTTCCAACACAATGGCAGCCGTTTCCCCTATGACGCAAATGGCCTGCCCAACGGCCGAGCTTAGTCATCCTTCATAGTCAGCAGTCACGCGATGCGGGGTACAGTCTTGGCGGTCTTGGCGGTCTTGGCTCGGCTCTCGACCCCTCGAGCAACGGCTGTGACAGGCGGAAGCGACGCAGCTGCCCTGCAAGACCGGGCACTAACACGGCTACTGTCGGCACCGAGGAGCGTCACCAGGACGATCGGAACCGACGCGAGATCAATGCCTCCTCGGATGCCCCTTTTCTCTTTTTCTTCCTTCACTTTCATGATTGTTTTCTCTCTTCTCGCCATGCCATCGGGCCATTGGGACTTCCAAGAAACTACCTGACCCCAAAGTCCAAGTCCTCTATCACCACCATGCGCTCCCTCAAACGCAGCTCGCACCGCCTTCGCCGCGTGCCCTTTTCCGGCCCGGCCTCCTCCTCTGCCTTCTCCCCATCGCAGACCGTATGTCGTACCCAGCGCTCGCGAGGTTGCGCGAGCGCTGCTGCTGCCCCATCCTCATCCTCATCATCCACAGCCCCGGCGAACGTGGTCCCGATCAAGTCCCTCCTCATCGCCAACCGTGGCGAAATCGCCCTCCGCATCGCGCGCACCGCCGCGGCCATGGGCATCCGCACAACAACCTTATACACCGACATCGATGCGCACGCCCAGCACCCCAAGTGCACCCCGCACAGCATCGCCCTGGGCGCCTCGCCCAAAGGGTACCTCGACTCGGCGCGGATCGTGGCTCTGGCCAAGCAGCACGGTATTGATGCGCTGCATCCAGGGTATGGGTTCTTAAGCGAGAACCCGGATTTTGCGCGCCGGTGTGAGGAGGCCGGGATTGTGTTTGTGGGTCCGCCGGCACAGGCAATGGCGGATATGGGAGATAAGGCGAGGAGTAAGGAGATTATGACGAAGGCGGGGGTGCCCTGCGTGCCGGGGTACCATGGGGAAGAGCAGGGCGTGGAGCAGTTAAGAGCATACGCGCGGGAGATTGGGTATCCGGTGCTATTGAAGAGCGTAAAGGGCGGTGGTGGGAAGGGGATGAGGATTGTGAGGAGTGATGAGGAGTTTGAGGCGCAGATTCAGAGCGCGAGGCAGGAAGCGAGGGCTAGTTTTGGTGAGGGAGGAGAGGTTATGTTGGTGGAAAAGTATATTGAGCGTCCGAGGCACGTTGAGGTGCAGGTGTTTGCCGACAAGCATGGTAACTGTGTTGCGCTGGGTGAGCGTGACTGCAGTGTGCAGCGCAGACACCAGAAGATCTTAGAGGAGTCTCCTGCCCCGGGGCTCGACGATGCCACGCGCCGCGAGCTGTGGGACAAGGCGCGCACTGCGGCCCTCGCGGTCGGGTATGTCGGCGCGGGCACGGTCGAGTTCATCTTTGACAAGGATACGGGCAAGTTCTACTTCATGGAGATGAACACCCGTCTGCAGGTCGAGCACCCCGTCACCGAGATGGTCACCGGCACCGACCTCGTCGAATGGCAGTTCCGGATCGCCGCTGGCGAGCCTCTGCCCCTGACCCAAGAGGAGATCGAAGCTCGCATTGCCGAGCGTGGCGCCGCCATCGAGGCACGTATCTACGCTGAGAACCCTTCGCGTGGGTTCTTCCCTGATTCGGGCAAGCTCGTGCATCTGGTGACGCCATCGGGAGTCGGCGTTGATCCGGACGTACGTCTCGATGCTGGTTTCATCGAAGGCGACACCGTTAGCGAGGCCTACGACGGCATGATCGCGAAGTTGATTATCCGCGGCCGCGATCGCGAGACGGCCATCCGCAAGATGGAGCTCGCGCTTAGGGAGTACGAGGTGGTTGGGTTGAGCACCAACATTGAGTTCCTCAAGCGACTGTGCCGCAGCGAAGCATTTGTTCAGGGTGACGTTGAGACTGGGTTTGTGGATAAGTGGAGGGATGAGCTGTTCAAGAAGGAGGAGACCCCCGATGAGGTATTTGTGCAGGCTGCTTTGGGACTGTTGCTTGCCCCAGGAACAGCCGCCATCTCCGGACCGCACGCCGGCGGATCCCTGGGCTTCGGCGAGGAGACCGCCATGACCCAGCGGGCATTTACTTTCCGCCTTCCAGCTGCCGACGAGACCCAAGACGCAGAAGTTGTCCGCGTCGAAATCGCTCAGCAACCCGCGTCCGGCTCGGCAATGTACACCGTCACCATCTACCGCGCCGGCTCTACCGAGCCGACTGTCATCCCGAACGTCATCGCCGAGCCGTCCTCCCTCCCCTCAAACACTGCAGCCCGCAAAACCAAGCTTACATCCTTCCTCCCCACCACCCGCCTCGACACAACCCTCGTCCACGATCCCTCCCAGCCCGACAAACTCACCCTCTTCCAGCTCGGCACAAAAGCCGAGCTAGAACTCGTTCCTCCCGCATGGTTCGACCGTGCCCTAGGCGCACAGCAGCACGATGGCGCCGGCAGCGCAGGTAACACCGTGACAGCGCCAATGCCGTGCAAGATATTGAGAATTGAGGTTCAGCCGGGGCAGGAGGTTGGCAAGGGCGCACCGTTAGTGGTGATCGAGAGTATGAAAATGGAGACGGTGATTCGGAGCCCAAAGAAGGGGGTCGTGAAGAGGGTCGCGCAGAAAGAGGGAGAGATTTGCAAGGCAGGGGCGGTGTTGGTTGTTTTTGAGGAGCAGGCTACGGAGGGGGATGCTAAGGAGTAGGTGTGAAGTGTCTTTATGGTTAGACAGGTTGGATGGGATGTTTGCGCATGCCTTTTAACTGTTTGTGCTCGTGGGATGAGATCTGATGTTGGATCGGGCCTTTCTATATATAGTCTGCTAGAGAGGACTTGAGGCGACTATGAGCGGGAGCGTGGCGTTTGGAGTAGACTCTCTGTCTCCTAGTTCAGTGTCACAATAGAGTTAACTATTTCGAAGATCAAAATCGATTCCTAGTTAGACAACAAGTTCACAACAAAACGTCAAAAAAAAAAAGTTCCTTGTTTCAAGCTCTCAATGCCTATCTACCTACCCACCTCGACGGTTCCATTCGACTGCCAGCCAGGTCGAGGCCGGGTTCGCTCAGTACTTGAGAGATCCGTGAACTTCTTGATCAGGGCTTGCTTTCATGGTCTGGTTTTAACCTCTTGAGTCCTGATAATTACCTTGAAAGCTAAGCTGTAAAGAATGCTGTCTCCGATTAACTGTTAGAGCTATGACGTGACTCGACCACGTACTCTGGCTAAGGGGATTGTGATAGCTCCATTGTGTTCATCTCAACCCTTGACTTGGACAGGACCTTTTGTAGGTCGCTTCTTTCTGGTTGTTGACCAGTCTGCAGAGCTTCAAGATTAGATTCTCAACTTGGGCCGTTTCCCTGGATATTTGAACAATCAATTCTCACCACCTAGCTTCATTTTGGGACTTTCTAGGGAAATGAAGATGAAGAAGAACGCGGCTACTGCTGTTTCCTAGGCTGCTCAGGCTGCTCAAGCTCGGGGTGCTGTCAAGCCCGCATTACCACCTTTCACGGCCGCACACTCCGATCCCAATACAGTTGACCAAGCGGCTCCTGAAGCTACCCGATGGGAACATCTGCGGTCAATCGGTTCGCTTTAGGATGTAAATGAAGCTATAACCAACGCCGCTTGACGCCTACCTCTTCTTCTTTTCTTCCACTTTCCCACCCACTACGATCGACTTTCCTCCCCGCATCACACAAACTATCCGTCACCGCGCAGCAGGATTGAAAAAAAAAAACCTGAGCGATGACCACGCCCACATTTGTCTGGTCATGGGGCCTGAAAACTACTTCATCGTCAGCATCAACCACTCCGATTACGAGACGATTCCAAACCGCCGCAAAGAGGCCTTCCGCGCGATTCTAGAGGCCAATAACTTTGAACCAGCCGCGTTGCGTCACTACCTCTGCCCCACGATAGACTGCGTCGTCGGACGGGCTCTGGACCGACGGCCACTCTCCCCTCTCCGCGAACTACGTCGCCTGTTACATTGACCACAAGCTTTGGAATGCTTTCTCTAACCTCGTGGAGAAGCCCTTTCCTTTCCCTGACAAGCTCGATGCCCACCAGGTCGCCCAGTGAGACATCTTAAAGGCTTACAACGAGTCCATGCAAGCGCTTGACAAAGTCACGACTGAGTTCCCAGGCAGGCATCGAGAACAGCTGTCCCACAATCTGGCCACCTGCTTTTCGGTTTGAGGTCCATACTGCGAATGAGAATGTGGATGACTATGATGATAATGAGGTGAGGAAATATTTGGAGAAGCAGAAGGAGGAGCTGGAGATGAGGGCTATTGGCGAGCTCTCGCAGTTCGGGGAGCTGTTTGATGAGATGGATGATTTGAGCAGGGAGATGGCCCTCTGGGATGCTAAAGCGAAGGATTACGGTCTTGATATCTTTGTCTAGGAGGAGGTCAACGGCCTTATGCTCAATTTTCATAGTTCAAGCTGCAAAGGAATGTACTTATCAGGCTACCATGCAAGCACATGGTGGAGCATCACTTCCTGTAGTTGACCAGAACCCCAACCATATACTATTCTATAGAGCTTTTGACTACGATTATCTGAATTGTCAGAAGCAAACTCATTCGCGACTGATGAATTATTGATTTTGGTCACTCAGGCATGGAGCTATCGTCAACGACCTGCTTCTGTATCCATGAAAGACCAAAATATAGAACACACAGAGCCAAGTGAGTTTCCTACATACCTATAACAGATATCTTTTCCATTTGACCATGCACATTCAGTCAGGGGTGGCCGAAGGGGATACTGCAGGCAAGTTTTATTTTCACGCATGGTCCTCTGCTACAATAAAGTGAATGTTGGCTTTCATTTCAGTGATTTTCTTTGCGTATACCTCTCTGTTTAGTATCTTATAACCTGTCCCTAATATACCTATCCTCTTTACTCATTTCTCATTCACAGCAACAACAGCAACATATCTGCTTCACCAAAAATCCATTCCTCCATCTTCTGATCCTACTGGTGAAACTCAAAATGGATGACTCGCAACTTCCACCTGCCAGAGTCCCTCTTTTGACCCGCCTCATCCGGCAGATAAAGACACTATAATCCACCGTCGCCTAATCGTCAACGCTATCCTGGATGCAGTTGGTAATGATGTAGGCCGTCTGGGGGACAAGCCGGGTCACGCTGAACGGGAAGTCCTCGAGGCACTTTTGGATGAAGGCAGTGAGCGTGTTTCTGTTGGATTTGTTTTGGGGCGATTGAGAATCGACTTTGGAACTCGATATTTCATGGCTCGAAGCCTTTCCCATATGCTGATGCTTCCAGCAAGGGCCAGGACCAGGACCCGGAGTACCTGCTGCTCAGAGAGTATCGCGAAGATTGCATCGAGGAGCAGAAACTTGAAGTGACCTGGGATCTAGAATTCGAGCAGCAGTTTGACTCCTATGACGACGAAGAGAATGAGTAGGGGGAAGAGGTGAAACTGTGGGGCATTGAGACCAAGGATGATGGTATTACCTCTGGTTAAGGGCTTTCAGATGAATCTTTGATCTGAAGACCCATCGTTTTGATCAACATTGAGAGTTAAGAAGCATGGAAGAGACGGGTTAAAAGCAGTGTCTGGTGGGCTTCTGGGGGGTGGGAGGCGACATCGCAGTTTGGAATTAGAAACACTATTCTCTGTATTGCTGGCTGACTGGAAGGAAGCATAGTGCCGAAGAAAGACGGCAGTTATTTATTCCAGTAACACTGAAGCGTCGATGGTGTGTGCAATGTCTCTCCGTCCAATCCTTTTTTGGTCTGATATTAAATTTGGATTCGTCTTGATTTGATTTCACGGAGCTGCTGGGAGGACGACGAATCGTGGGTTTCCATTGCTGCCTAAGGCACGAGGCAAAAGAACTTCGTATTACTCGTTTCTCGTCGCCGACTTGCCTATCTACCTCGACCACTCGACTTTCTCGTTTCAAAATTTTAACTTTCTCCCAAAGCACGCCGATCTCTAGACTTCATTCGTCATCCTTCTGCCGTCGTTTCAGAGTGCACAGCCGACTTCCAAAAAAACCACTCTCTCCATTGACATCAAACTACGTTCTATTCCCACTCTTGGAACGTTTGCAGCTCTTTGCTGTGTTATCTCTGATCACAAGTCTCTAATCGATCCAACCGCAGAAGGTGTGCAGCAACAATGCTAACCGACTTTGAGCCCCCCTACCTGCTGACCCTGCCTGACTTAGGTGCTGGTAGACCTCTCGCAGGTACACTATGAAGAGATTCTCTGGCGCCACAAGTACGATGTCGACCGCATCATGCCGGTATTCAAGGACAAAGAGGCCATCGTCCTACGCCTCTACTGAAGCATCCGGTTCCTGATGGTTGACATGCTGAGGAATGCCAAGTGAGACTGGTTAGCGACACTCGTCACCCATTTCTGCGACCGCCACGGGTGGTAGATCCCCTTCGGCGCCAGCTATAAGCCGTTCCCGTTCAAGGGCCGTTACGACTTCGTGGAGGGCGTGGCGGGCGAACTGCACAAACTGTGCTAGTCGCACCGCCTGAGCGAGGCCGCTTGCAAGGTGAATCGCATTCTGGACGACGAACTTCAGAGTGCAGCTTCTCGGCTTTGTTCGCCAAGATGGAGAATGAGCAGAAAAAACAGCGGGATGGCGAGCAGGAGATGTGGACGCTGCGCCCGCTGATGATGACGGTGCTAAGGAGCAGCTGGCCGGTCAGCCCAGCAGCACTGCTCGTGGGCCGTACGAGATGGGCCATCTGATGTGACTCGCTGCGGCTGTGCCAAATACACGTTTCTCGGCTGAAGAGCACGGAGGAGTGTCTCAGGGATTAGGCCATGAACTTCCCCAGTGGGGGAAGCAAATCAAGAAGTCTTGGGGAACTAGCTGCTCTGAACGAGTGTTCCGTCTTTACGCTCCCCTTAAGAATGCCCAACACCTTTATTTTTTTTTAAAAAAAATACAACCAAGTATTGGAAATGAAGGAAACTTATCCCGTGAGAGGGGAAATCGTAGCAATGGGAGTGTTATGGTACAGGGTTCATACTGGACGTTGATAGGGGATACTGACCGGGTATGAACTCTTGTACATAGGCAAGGAGCAGATACCGCACATTAAAACAATAGATGGAACCCAGCGCACACAGCCAAATGCCGTGTTTATTTATACTCAACTATATACATTTCCCTTTTGCATCCTAGAGGCGCCTCGGGCGCGTCTAAAACCAAGACCACAAGAACAAAAAACCCCCAGGACTCAGGAAAAACTTGTCGGTGCCCGACTCTCGGCGTTATGACGGGCTGACTTTAGGCTGTGCTCTCTCGACATCAACCGCTCAACTCGGTCCTCTTCTCAAGCCTCGGCGTCGCGGCGGCAAAACGCATCAATCAACCGAACCACATCAAGCCTGACGGGGCAAAATGCCGCACCGCGGCGATGTGTGTGGGAGACACGGCCATAAGTAGCGACAAGCCTCAGCGAAAAGATTGCATCAAGGAGCAGGATGGAGAGGTAACCCCAGGCACAGCGGCCAGGATTGACCCTCGCCCACGAGGCTGCTACAACCGCCTCACATCAAGACCGAGCTGGGCTCAAGGTCGACTCCGGCAGGAGACCGCCTACTAGCGAACGAGGGGTTTCGCTCAACGCTTTGTTCGTGTTGTCGAAGGGATCCCCATCTAAAAGGGGGGGGGGGAGACGGAAAGTGTCGTCAGCATCCAAAGACACTGGCAACATTTTCCACCTCGAGGAACGGCAGGGGATAGAACGCGGCGGAGCGAGGATATGCCCACTAACTACAACCGCCTCATGAAGACCGAGCAGAGCTCGAGGCCTCCTCCGGCAGGAGTCCGTGGGGGCAGGATCGCTGCGGGGCCGGGGTGGTTCCAAAGTGTCATTTTCTCCAAAGAGAACGACACTTCAACCAGGAGGAAACCCGGCAAGCTAGGAGAACGAGGTCGTCATCCTCCAAGCATCGATATGGTGTGTTGACATGGTCGATATCGCAGCGCCTGCAATACAAGGGGCGGCATCCCAGCTCAACAACTACAACGGGGAGCAGGGCTCGACCCGGAGTCGGAACCGGGGAACACCCCTTTGGCTCAACGCTGATAATGTGTTGTTGTCCTGCGGCGACACAGCCACATTCTGGCGAGTGGAATGACGTGGTCCGAGAATGGCGATCAAGCCGCAGTGGGAGCGGAGCCGAATGTCTGTATAAGGGTCAACGGTTCTGCAACCCCCATAGCTGGAAGGGGTCCGGGCCGGGTCGGAGGTAAAGCGGGGTGCAAAAAAAAGGCCCGGAGCGGATGAGAATGGAGTCAGCCACGGGGGTCCGACACGAAGACCGGCACAGCAGTGTCCAAGCCCGACGGAGAATTTTATGGGCGAGGGGCTGGGGACTCTGGGAGTCAATTCCGGGACAAGGCAGTCGGATGTCCAGAAGGAGCACTGCTGGCGAAGGGTACGTTCCCTCCTTGTCCGGCTCGACCCGGAGAGGGGAACTCTGGATAAAGGAGGGAGGCACGGGGGAGGGAAGGGAAACCGAACAGGACATTTGAGGAGTGTTCTGCCCTTCTTATACACTTCTGCCTGTGTGTCCGGACCTTCCGTGCCGAGTAAGCCGCTACGCGATGCCCAGGGCCCCTCGTGGTCACCCTTACTACCTCCCTTCTTGGACTCCTACCTAGCCCCTCCATGCCCCCCTTCTCCCCCTCCCCCCCGTGCTGCCAAGTTTTGTGCAAGATTTTGGCTGTTGCTCGTGATAACAGCCAAGGCCGCAAGTGGTCCAGCGTGGCCCAGCATGTTCCAACTTGTCTAGGCTTAACCAGGATTGTCCACTTGGTCCGTGCCAGATCTTGCTGCATGTCCGTTTTGTTTTAGCTGCAGACTGAACGGCTGCATGCAATCTGAACACTGCTGGATAGCCGATCGTCACCAATCCAATAACACTCCAGAGCATCACGAATCGCACGCCGATTGGCCGTGGCAGCCGTGGTCGGCGTGGGCAAACAATCGAACTGCTGCGAACTGCTGTTGTGCACAACGAGTATGAGCGTGGGTAGGCGCCATTCAAGGCTAATCGCGACTCACTAAGCGCACCCCGTGGACCCCATCGGTCCCATCTACTCTCTCCATCGCCATCCCACCCTGGACGTCCCGCGCGTTCCCTGTTTCATCGCCGACCTCCGCGCCGTTCTCCGAGCTGCCGATGAGCTGATGTCCAGTGCGCTGAAACACCGTCTCGCCCCCAAACCGTCCGATTCACAAAACCCAAAATCCGTCCCGAAACGCTGCCCCGTCCAAGCTACCGTCGATTTCTACGTTGCTCGCTCTCAACCCCTGTGCTCGGACACCTTCCATCAGCCCAGGTTGCGACACCACGGTGAACAGACATCCATACGAATCAAAACAAAAGCCTCATCACATTTCATCAAGCTCGTGAGGGGAAATGCCGCCCCCAAAGCCCATCGTCGCGCAATGGATCCTTGACACGCGGTCTTGGTTCCCCGACGCAACAGAGACAAGGCATCTCCAAACCCACGTATGCACTACCCCGCACCCGAACCCCCCCACACTAAACCCTAACCCCAACCCTTACTCCACTCCTCTCCGAATCCCACCATTACACAAACTTTTGGGTGGACATCGATCTCTAAGTTAAAGCCTGCTCGTGACGACAGCCCAAAGCCTCTCAAGCGCTCTCGTTACTCCCGCCGCCTGAACAGCATGCCGTGCTGCGCTACCTACACGTGCGAGACGCCAAGATGGCGCTTGCCTCGTCCCTGCTGAAGCACTACGCTATCGCCAGGCTATCGACCATGATAAGTGACTCTGGCTCCGATAAGAGTGTTGGCGATAGCGGTCACGGGCAAGGAGGCATCCCTTGGGACCGCACGATCATCACTCGCGACTCGCTCACGAAACCGGTCTTCGTCGACCCCCGCACAGGCCGCCAACCCGTCAGTTTCAACGTGAGCCACCAGGCTGGTATTGTCGCCTTGGTGGCCGTTGCAGGCTACGAAGCTCCCCCAAACCCAGTTGATGCCAACGCCCCGCCGAGTACCCCAGCCCGCGGGCAACGCAGACAGAAGGTGCCTGTAGAGGTCGGTGTGGATGTAGTCTGTGTCTCAGAGCGACGTGAGCGAGATCTGGCAATGCTCTGGGACGAAAGCGAAGGCTGGGAAGGCTTCGTCGACATGCACGCGGACGTCTTCTCCCCCTCCGAAGTTGCCTATCTGAAGGGTTCAAGCCCTCCCGCGCCGCGGCCTCCTCCCGGCCCGGCCTCAGCTGCACGACGGTCCAGATCCCGCTCCTCTCGCGGCTCCGAGCAATACTACCAGCAGTCTCCCGAGCAACAGCGCTACGTGCGCGAGCTGTCTCCCGAGAAGCAGCGGCACTACTTGCAGCACCTAGAGGACCTGCGGCGGAGAGCTGAGGAAGAGGAGGACGAGATCGAGGAGGGCATGGCGGACGGCAAGCTGCGCATGTTTTACGCGCTGTGGGCGCTGCGTGAAGCCTATGTCAAGCTGACGGGTGAGGCCCTGCTGGCTGAGTGGTTGAGCGAGCTCGAGTTTAGAGACTTTCGGGCGCCGAAACCGACGGCTGCGTGGGAGGTGCCTGCCTGCGAAGAGAGGGGCGAGGTGGTGAGGGATATTGAGATCTACTTTAGGGGGCAAAGGGTGGATGATGTGAATATGTGTATCCGGTCTATGGGCCCGGATTACATGATTGCCACGGCTGTGAGGACGCCGGGGAGGAAAGAGGATGGGCTGGCGTGGCAGCTGGGGCCGTATGAGATTTTGAGTTTAGAGGATGTGTTGGATTTTGCGGCGAAGAGCCGGCTCGGAGGTAGGTGAAGGAGTAATTAGAGTGTTGACTTCGGGTCTTGATCCACGGCTTCTAGGCACTTATGAGTGTTCAAATGACGATATGACTTTCTCTACTCCTCTATCATAGAGCAAAAGGAAAGAACTTGAGGTTTCAAGAGTCAACCCCCTGAAAGCAAAATGAGAAGTTTATTGCCCCGTCAAATATACCTCAGGATAAAGGTCAGGATATCGGTCAAAAATTAATGCTAGCTCCTCCGGGAAGGCTCGAACTTCCAACCTCCTGATTAACAGTCAGACGCGCTAACCAATTGCGCCACAGAGGATCGAGGTTGTTTAATATGGCACAGAGATGTGCCATTTCATGGACCCCCGTGGTTGCAGTAGATGTGGAGCCAACGGGGGGTTAAGAACCTCAAGACTTCTCAGCACAGAGAGTTTTCCCGTTAAAAATGACAAAACGCTGAAAATGTTCACATACCAAGTACCAATTAATACGCCAAAGCTCAGAAATGAGCTAGCCAGTTGTTTTGATGAGATATTCACCATAAGACCTCCTTAATCGCAAGGTGTACACCTGAAGGCCAGAAGCAGCTGTGCATCTCAATTCTCAAGGACTCAAACTTACTGGGCAAAGCAAGTCCAAAGGATTAGGAAATCAGTGGAAAAAAATGCTATATGAGGCCCATTGTTGACACTACCTCAAGCAGGGGACAGCATCTTGCTGCCAAGCATACGATGAGGGTGTGATGTTCTTGTCTTTCAACTTCAGCCTCGGTGGTGCGCGACCTAATTAATGACGGCTGAAGAGTCAGCTACCCTCGTGTGGAGATCGGTACGGCCGTATATTTACGAATTTTCTGCCCCTCTGCGTTTCTATCTGCTAGCGCCCTTCTTTGCAAACTACCAATCCGCTGCAGCTGCTATCACTTGAGGTGTGTAGAGCATCCAGCAAGCGATCCTCTTTGCGTCTACAAAACTCGCTATGAGCAGCTGGATTTCCGCAGAGATTTGCCGCAAAAAAAGTGTGGAATTAAACCAAATTGTACTATACTTTCTTGAAGAAGACGATTCAACCATTATCTCTATCGGCTACTTGACCATTCCAGGATAATATGAGGGTGATCCAGATATCGCCGGTTTTGGTGTAAGTACATGCGTTACAATCGACTCAGATCACCTAAGCTGTAACAAGTAGTCTAGAAAAGGCAAGTTATGGTGTCTTTTATAGTTATAACTAGTCTTTTTGCTCTTCGGACTGCTGTCTATCTGGGTTACGTTTTACTGATGTTCCTTGCACGCGAGCTTCGAGAAACCTTGAAACTTAGGTATATAACTCCTGAAGTTTAAACACGGTCAACGATATCTATGCTAATGAGGTCAAGGATATGATGTGTCCCAGACACCTTCCTAGACAGCAAAGTCTTAGATCACCTTAGATCATGGGTTTTAAAATGCAGTGATCAGCATGCCTTTACCATCACTGCCTACCTTTTGGTCTTACGATTTGAGAAGTGCCGCAATCTCTTAACAAATCAATACACCACCCTTCACAACCTTCTAAGACGTGGTGTTATCAGCCAATTGATAGCACCCCTGATATCAGAAAAGATGCATTGGGAACCCTTCTTCCTGGGTTACTGCGATGTTCGTTATGCACTTTTAATGCCATTGTCATTTTTTGGGGTGATAACAATTTTCTGGTTTCGTTTTCTGCAGCGCTAAGCGTCCGTACTTTCGAAATGATGTTTGACGAGATGGAAACTCTATCTTTGTCGACCAGCAACGGAACAAGTATATCAGTCACGCTCTTCAGCCTACATCATAGCTCTGGTCCTTATCACCTGTGCATTGGGGGTTGAAAATGTTACAACGACAATCGTATTTGACGTGAAAGAAATTCGAGAGTCACCATACCGCATTTTCTTTTTTTTTATCTACGCTCTGTTCTACTTTGCATCCTTCATGACCCTTTCAAGCAATATTGTCAAGCTTGTTGATTGGGCTATGATCTCCTGGGCTTCAGAAGGAATAACCATCACAGAAGAGACTGGGAAATGCGACTACAGAATCACTTCCGAGTTTAAATAAATGTATTCACTGCTGTGACCTTTGTTTGGTTCGTGGTTTGGGTAGTTCCTGCCGCATATCTTAGTGTGAAAGATCCGGCGAATGGTTCATAAATCCGGCTGATGCGTATGTTTGATATCCATCCATGTCTCAAAAGCAATATTAATTCTTAGCATCTTTGTTTTATTCGAGGCTCAATTGCTGAGCATTGTCCATGCTAGGATGGCAAAAAAAAAAAAAAATGTTTGGGGTGAAACCCCTGAAGATGAAGTCACCAATTTCGGCCAACTAGCTCCATTATCTTTTATGGCTCTGACACTGTTGGACATTGGCCGGTCAGTGTTATGTAAGTTATTCTAACAATAACAATGATTGTTATTGCATATGTTCAACATTGGAGCAGCACAACTTCTCAAGCTTGCCTGGGTTAGGGCTCCTGATAGAGTCAAAAAGTTTGGGAGAAGCTGGATGCCGTTGAGAAGCATAGGGAAATTCCTAGCTAAGGACAACACGGTTTCAAAAAATGAAGAAACGAAGTGAAATTTACTTCTCCCGTCGAAACACCATCTAATTGTCCATATAACCCATTTCTACCGCATCGCTGCATGTCATATGTAAACAGAGCTACCTGCCTGGGAAATTGCAGTGCGCTTTTCAGTCCTTGACAAGGCTGTCTTGATCTTGACTTCTTGAGTGGTGTGATACGCAGATGTGACTTACCCTGTTATGTGGTGTTGGATGCAACAAAGTATCGAGATCGCCCCTGTGAGGACTGTATTGACTTTGACAGCAAAAGAGAAAGCTCTTGCTATAGAAGTTTTACATCGTGACTATGTATACACAAGATCAAGAGATGCAGCTCTGACATCGTAACAGTACCATAAGGCCCTTGGAAAAATTGGGTTCGTGTTGCTGCAGTCATGTGCATGGTGTTGCCTTCCCTGGCATGTTGTGTAGCCTCTCGGTAGTTACCGGCTGGCCATAGGTTGCAGGCAGCATTGAAGCAGCGCCCCAAGTCAAAAAGCAAGTCCTACAAGTCACATCGTGGTATGCTTGGGTGCGTGATGGCTTCAGACTCTGCCGAGAGCCATCCCCTCTTGAGAGTACCTAAGTATGACAGTGACATTTAGCAGCAAGAAATCGCCGAGGACATTGGGCTGTTAGGTGACAATGTCGGTGTGGTCTCGGGCAGCAAGCCAATAGTAGCTGAGCAGCTGCAGCCAGCAAACTGTCCAGGAAACCAATGGCGGGGTGCCAGCTGGAAAGACAGCAAGCCCATGGGAAGAGACCTTGGGAAGGACCAACGGATCGGTCGATCACAGCGCATGGCATCGATAGCCGTCGCAAATTTCAATACTATTACCAGATCACCACGGGGTGTTGCTGGGATAGCCTCAGCAGACACAGCAAAAGCACCATGCACAACCCACAGATCTTCAGCAGCAAAGGCATGGTTGGCATTTCAGAGAAACACAGCCATTGTGGGATTCGTGTCGATCGCAGCTTGTGTAGAGGGGCTGGACAGAGCGATGACGTCGGCGCTGGGGATGTGTGGGAAACCGTTAGCAGATCTGATTGGTCATAGAGCACAAAAAGCGGGGATTCAGTGTGTGCGTCAGCCAGGGCTCAGCTGCAATGGCAAGGCCCACCCAGCTTTGTCTGTCAGGTCAACCATCTTCCGTGCATCTGGTATCCACATGTCATACTGCCGAGCCTGAACAGTGGTTGAATGAGGCAAGAACAACCAAAATTTTGGGGACAAGAATTGGTCAGGCCAGACCAGAAGCGGGAAGCTGATGGAGGGCGCATGTGCGTTGTAACGCCCATCCTGGGTGCCAGAGACGACGTAGCTATGCCCTTTCCTGGTCCCTTTTGACTTCTTTTTATTAATGCCGACCCGGGCCATGTCACCTGGATGCGACGCCTGTCTCCCAACTCCCCACCAGTATCACCCTCCTTGTGCTGAGTTTGAGTAGAAAAAGACTGCACCTTCATAGCCACAACCGTGGATGCATTAATAAGATCCAGTGCTGTTGTTGGCTGCGGCGTAATTACGAACGACGCAAACGTCATCAGCATCGTCACGAAATTGCGGTGCTCGGCTTGCTGCTGCTGGATCGTGGTCGGAGCAACCCGCCCACTTGGTACACCGCCACTGATGTATCACCGGGCGACGCCATCTCCTCGAACCTAAAGCAGACAGCATATATCTCAGGGGTTTTCGCTAAATCCCAGTCAGTTTATCCAGTTACCATCAAGTTGACTCAACAACTCACTCCTTAGGCACTGCAACATCCAACATGGCAGGCCGTACGTCCCCCCTTTCCCCCTGAGCCTCTTAATCCCCCACGCCTAACCCCTTCCAGGCTTCAATCCTGCGCCTCTGGCGCTCCTCCTCCTCTCGGGCTCGCTTGTGATGCTCTTCTTCGTCATCCTCTCCGGCGAATCGCGACACACGCCTCTGCGGCAAACCTACTTCCTGCGCGCCGAGACTGCCGGCATGTCCCCGGACGCGCGGCCCATCACGCAATGGACCTTCTTCCGCGTTTGCGGCCTCAACAACCAGAACTGCAGCCCGGCAAGGCCGGCGCGGGCACTTGGTGATGCTTGGGGCCGTCTGCGCGAGGGAGATGTCGATGGGGCGTTTGAGGATCTTATCGGCAAGCATGGAGGTGGGTCGACGAGTGATTATTACTGGTATATGTGGCGCTTCGCTTGGGTTTTCTACCTGATTGCGCTCTTCTTTGAGGTGGTTGCTTGGTTCACCGGCTGGCTGGGGTTCATCGGCCGGTTGGGCAACGCTGTGGCCGGGCTGGTGTCGACTATCGCGCTGGTGTTCTTGACTGTGGCTGTGAGCTTGATGACGTGAGTGGCCTCTATAACTTTTTTTTCCCGGCAATGAGTTTTGCTGACATTAAGCAGTGCTACCTTCGTCAAGCTGCGTAACGCCTTCCACGATGAAAACCGCGAGGCCGCCCTGGGTCGCTATGCCTTCGGTTTCAGCTGGGGTTCCTTTACCGCGCTATTCATCGCTACCATCCTGTTCTGCATGGGTATGCGTAAGAGTAAGGATGGTAGCCCACGTAGCCGCTTTTTCAACCGCCCTGGGCGGGTCAAGAATGAGTATGCTTAAGTGACCAAATATTTAGGGGGCTGATGCTTGAGAGGGGAGGATGTCATGACGATATGAATGACGAAAATTCCTTTATCTTGGTCGAAATTACGGTCGGGATTCAAGGACATGGCATGGCTAGCTACTTAATGATGTAGGAAAAAGGGGCAAGGTGTCATCATGGTAATGTTGCTGATTGGTGACAATGGAGAAGATCGAAGCCAGTTTTTGTGCTTGTCTATATTGCTCGCTTCACTAAGATACCACACAGTTTATGAAAGACACTCGTTCATGATGAGACAGGGAATAAAATGAATGAGCATATGGACACAGTTAATAGCATTCCAAGCTAGCGCACTTTCGAGAGGAGAGGAGCAGTGATGTTATGATATTGAAATTATCAACATAAATTTGACATGCTGCTAGTTATCCATAGTCTCTGATTCATCAACACGTCCGTCCAGGTTCATAGTGTTGAAGTGCATTCAGATTCCTCAAGTCTTCCATTTCATTCCTTTTGTTTCGTGTCTTCTCATGCTGCCATAATAACCTGCCCCATTTCGCTCAATGAATCAACCCGAAGCCCAGTTTCTCTACCCTTCCCCGCAAACCCGTCCATAAGAAGTTAACAAACCCCCAGAAGCCGGATTATAAAATCATAGGGATAATGTAAGTAAGGCATATATATATATACAACAACCAATACAAAACTCTTGCCTCACTTAACCCATTTCATTCCCCTTCCTAAGAGGCTTTCGTCTCGGACATGCTATCGCCGCCACCACTGCCGATCTTATTCAGCGGCGCGGCATGCAACGCGGGCTTGTTACCCCCGGCCTTTCCAGGCTTCACTCCCTCACTCTTCTTCCTCTCCAACACACTCTTAACCCACTCAGCGACCTCATAATCCCCCTCAGCCAGCTTCCCACCAGGATGGTTGAGCTTGAGCCCCTCAAGACTCTTTTGTGCAGCCTGCATTGCAGCAGCAGCGTCTTCGAGACTGCCGGAGGTCTCTGCCGTTGTGGCGGCGGCCTCGGCCTCAGCGTCTTCGGCGATGGTTTCGGGTTTGGTGAGGGATGCGATCCACGGGTGGGCGAGGAGCATGGGGTAGGTGTGGCGTTGGGAGGGAATCTTGTTGAGGCAGCAGCGGACGAAGTCGTGCGCGGAGGGGGAGTAATTCGCTGAGGCAGGGATGGAGGGGGGAGGACCGTCGACGATGGCCTGACAAGATGTTAGTGATTTGTAGTCTCACAAGGGCAGGGGCAAAAGGGCTGCTTACGCTCAGCTGGCCGAAGATGGTGCTAGAAACTTCAGGAGGATAGGGATACCGGCCCATGGCACACTCAATTATGGTGAGCCCCAAGCTCCAGATATCACTCTGGACGCTGTATGTGCCATTAGCAACACCACCGCCGCTGATGCGTTCTGGAGCCATGTAGCTCTGGCAGCCGATATTCGTCTTGGCCATACTAGCAACCAAGTTACCCGACACGCCAAAGTCGCAGATCTTGACCTGCCCGCGGGTGTTGACAAGGATATTAGTTGGCTTAACATCGCGATGGATGATGTTGTGATCCTCTTTCAACGTCTTCAAACCGACGACCGCCGCATACGTGATCTTGCGCAGAACGCTCTCAGGTATGCCACCAGCATACAGCTTGTCGATGCTGCCTCCATCCATGTATTCAATACACATGTAGACGGCTCCCTCCTGGAAGAAGGCACCATAGAAGTCAATAATATAAGGAGACACGCATTCGTGCAGGATGACAAGTTCCTTAAGAATTGTTGTGAACTTGGCCTCATCTAGCTCGAGGCGGATCTCCTTCATGGCCATGACCACACCCGAGGTTGTACGGCCGCTTCCTCCGCTTGTAGAAGTTGCCGAGGAGATCTCCCGGGACGCGGCATCGGCTTCTTCAGATGGCGATTGCGCCGAAGGTGTCTTTCGGAAGCCACTCAGCCCCTGCCCGAAACGCGGGGCCTTGGGTCGAGCATGTCGCACTTTGTAGACAGTACCGTAATTGCCCTTGCCCAGCTCGTCAAGTACCTCGATCTCGTCCAGCGAGATGGAGAAGGTCTGGCCATTAGCAAAGTTGACCCCCGTCCGGGTGATGGTCGCTGCGCCCTCGAAGGTGATCCAACCCTTCTCGGTGTCGATGTACTTGGAGAAGTCGCTGAACTTTGAGCCTCGCCCTTCGCCGTTGAGAGCCGGTGCCTTGGATACCTCGCCCAGGTCAGCAAGCTTCGGCGTGGGAGCTGGTGATGGACTGTTGGAACCGGACAGGCTTCCCAGCTTCATAGCTCTCCTCTCACTCAGGCCAGGAGCTTTTCTAACAGCTCCTGGCACGGCTGGAGCAGACTTGGGGAAGCCGGGATGTATTGGCCTGCCCATTCCGGGGGGTAACTTGAAATTGGCGGGAATACCGCCCGGGCCGATGGGCTGCGGCATGTTCATGTGCATATTCATGTTGACGGGTGAGCCGGGACCGCGAAAACCCATACTCAGACGTTGCTCCTGCAAGGCTCGTGCCTTTTGGAGCAGGTCAGATGGGATGCTGCTCGCGCTTGGTGTTGGTCTTCTGGCAGTACTGAGCAAGCCAGTGACGCTGGAGCTTGGATTGAGGGGAGCACCGGTGTTCTGAGGATCGGATATGGCTCTGAGGGATGGGACTCGACGAGGCGGCTGCTCGGAGCTGGCATTAGCGGTGCTGCCGGCGCTACCAGCACTACCAGTGCTACCCGGAGAGACACCTGGAGCAGTCTCTGAGGCGGAGGTAGAGCTAGGGGCATCGAGGGGAGTGCTTTCATCCGACGACTCGGGAGAGCTAGGCGAGGTCGGCTGGCTCGGGGGAAGCTCCTCAGCCGGTGTGGCCGGCTCTGAGTCAGAGGGAAGGCCGCCCATGATGGAGACGTCGTGAGCGGCTATCAGGGAAAAAAAAAGAGACGAGTAGGACCTCCTATCGCTTACATGCGGCAGCGAAGAGGAGCATATAAGTCGAAGAAGCGAAGCGGCGGTATGTTGACGTAGCGATGTTTGATGAGACGCACAGAGGCCACAGTCGGCTGTAAGTTGCCAGACTAGCACGCCAACGAAGCAGTGAAATCACAGATCGTTGAAAAAAAAGGGGGGGTTTGGGGGAGAGGGGAGACAGAAGAAGCAGCTGTCAGAGCTGTAAAGTCGCGGGAAGCTTGTGCCTGCTTTTCTATAAAGTTGACAGCCACGCGGCAAAATAAAGAAGAACGATGAGCTGGCGGCGGTCGACAGGGGATACCTATTGCACGGGCCGTTTAAGTTTCTTTCTTCCTGGTATCCGGGTGCGGTGAGCTGGCGTGAACGGGATCGGGATGGGAACTTGGCCGGGAGCGAGAGACGAGTTGCAAAGTCGCAGAAGCAGAGAGACAAAATCAAGAATCGGTAATCGGATTTGACAGCTCTAGGCTTCCTCGACAGGCGCGGAGATGCCGAAGGGACAGAAGCTGCAAGGCTAGCAATTGTCGGGGCCAGGGGATTGATGCCGCCTTCAGGGGACACTTCTGGAAAAGCACGTCTCCCCGACTCTTGCGGTGCCGGTGCGCTGCTGTGCTGCTGTGCTGTAGAAGCGCAGAAGGGGAATTGTTGAAGTGGCAAGCGGAGGGACTTCTGCACAGCGACCGCATGGCGAGTCGTCGTGCTGGAGGTTGGCTTAGGTGAGGCTTGATTGGTCCTTCGCGGGGACTGGATGGGCCTGATGGAGCCCCATCTGCGCGAGTGCGATTCCCCGGGCACATGCAGCGGCTGCCAGCGGCCAGAATCCACAGTGGGAATGGCCGAAATCGTGGGAACAGCTGCCGGCGAGCAGCAACAGTGGGAGCGAGATAGACCAGCTTCTTGGGCGCACTGGCCCATGCAATAGAAAATGACGCCCGGGTTCGGTGGAGGTTCTGTCGATTTGTGGCACCTTGTCGTGCACTCCCGGTCATCGTCTGAAATGGGAATTGCGAACTGTAATTGTTGTGTGCTGTCCTTCCCTGCGTTGACGATCTCTTGATTCTCGGCCCTTCCTATGCCCTGAGCTTGGATCTTTCTTGCGAGTTACCTTAGCTGGGTAAACCTCACACTTTTGTCATACAACATCCTTGGATCCAAGTCTGTCAGCGAGCACTTTTTATTGTTCTGATTCTGCTGCATGCATCTTTGAGACTTCTGCATCACTGATACGCCTTAAGTCCCATCAGGTAAACAGTTGCCTGATTGATGCACATGCGTATAGGAGCGTTTCTTCCGCCCCTCGTTGAAGCAAATGACATGCAGATACGGCATCGTAGTGCGAAGCTTGGCTGCCAAGAATGGTGATCGACGCGGCCTGGCGATGCCATGCTGCGGTGCTGGGCTCTAGCGGCTTCCCCGGACCAGCTTCTCTGGAGTGGGGCCATTCCGTCCAGACGGTCAAGATGGCTTCACCGATACCCGGCTCGTAGCTCAGAGGACAACACTTATACCAGCTCCAACCTACCTACCTTGTGATTTGTTTGTCTACATTCAAGAGCTTTGATCTGAATTTCTGTCCCATCCGTCGCAAGTTGGGGTTGATTGCTTTACCCTTCACCATTACTGTTGACTCTTCCAGTGTTTGCGATTAATACAGTGACGATTAACTGATCCAGAGTATGAAGACTACGAGTCAGTCCGAGGACACAAGACGCTTTCAACCTTACCTGGATCAACATTAAGCCGCCTGGTCCGATGTTCAGCCTCTTGATCCCTGACAGATACCAGAGCACAGGTTTTAGTTGTCAGCCAGCTGCTCAGCCCAGCATCTCCAGATTTAAAGTTTGCCTGGGTTCTTCCGAACACTGGATATTTGCCGTTGTAAGCAGACTTCGAGGACCTGAAAGGATACTACTGTAGTGCGACTCCAATCGCTGCTATCAGTGATGTGCATATTAGCAGTTTGTTTGTTGGAAGCGATTGGCTTTGTTGGAGACCTCTTGCTTCTTGACTCAGAGAGCCTGTGGGATCAGTGGCATGACACAGCCAACCAGCGAGCGACGCGGCAACACGTTTTTTCTGTGCAACATTGCAACATGCCGCGGTTTGCAAGAAAACAACTTCATTTTTTTTTTTCTGTTGCATATCCACCTCAGGCTTGCTCAAGCTTTCATCAGAGTCATATTCGACATAAACAAACCACCAGAATCCCAGCTCATATTTTATTCCTATCCCTTTAGTTTCGCGGTTGTTTCGAACTTCGACAGTGCTAACAACGTCGGTTTAATCGCTTGCAGCGTTTCAAGCGGTTGAACCTCTGCCGACGTCATGACTTGAACAGTGCCCCACGCTGCTGTTATCGATCTGTTTCGCCTGATTCTTGGCGTGGGTCAAAAGAGTGAGCCAAGGCAGTTTGACAGGGGCCATCTGCTAGGACGAGACGAAGGCCTGGTCACCAGCAGCCTTCCTAGTGATGACATTGCATCATTTGATTGGCTGCCCTGATAGATGGCAGGTTTCCTGTTAACAGCTTGTCCCAAGTGTGCCTGGTTGCAACCAGCCTGGTGCAGCGGTGGCTGATCTTATCACCGCCGCCATTTCGGCTCCGACGTCTTGATGGCAAGCCAAGATCGGGCGTGCGAGAGGAAGGTAGGCCTTATCGTCGGAGAGCTTGTCTCCCTCAGCCCTAGGCGCAAAATGCAAAAAACTCATTCAAGAATGAGCTCAGTCCCCTGCTGGCGGCAGCGCTATGCAAGATCCCCATCCTTTGTCGTCCCCTGCCATTGTAGAAAAAGGACTGTAGCAGCCCTACCACCAAGTATCGTGCCCAGCGCCCCTTGTGTCCTATGTCAAAGACCGCTGTCAAAGCAGCCCATCCACACAGTCTCTAAAGTGTCTCAGCACCGGGACAACTCCGAGAACCAACCAAGCTCGCGCTCCACCAGCTCCGCCTCCGTGTGTTCGACACTCGCCGCCCAAGCCGAATGACACCATTGCTGCGCCCTTGATTCAAAAAGAAGCTGACTTCTCCGCGAATACCCTGGGCTGGTCCCTTCCTCCCCTGTTTATCAACCTTCTTCACCATCATCACACTCTTCATCCTCGACCAAGCCCAATCGTGCTTGAGCACCTGGCTGACCACTTGATGGGTCTTTTTGAAATACGGGCGCCGACGTTATGGCGCATAGCTTCTGGGACCACTGCGTCCTGGAACCAAGTTCCTATGACGGCGCCCTCCAATTTCACCACCTTTCAAGATGTACAACCGCATGATGCGCATCCGTCTTTCGGCCATCTAATCCTGCTGGTCTTCGGCGCTGTGCTGGAAGTTGTCTGCGTTAGTTTGCCAGGCTACATCATTGCGCGCTTGGGCTACTTCGATGCCGAGAAGCAAAGATTCCTCGCAGACCTTAATATGATGCTTTTCACTCCATGTCTAAGTACGTTCCCCTTCGATTCCGAGAAAACTAGAAGAGTTGGAGCTAACGTGATCCAGTCTTCACGAAACTTGCATCTCAACTAAACCCCGACAAATTGGCTGACTTGGGTATCATCCCTATTATTTTCGTAATCCAAACAACTATCTCATGGCTGGTCTCTCGAGGAGTTGCAAAATGCTTTGGCTTTGGCCGACGTCCCCGCAATTTCGTCACGGCTATGGGCGTCTTTGGCAACTCGAATTCTCTGCCTATGTCCCTTGTCATTTCATTATCGCAGACACTCAAGGGACTTCATTGGGACAGGATACCTGGCGATACCGACGATGAGGTAGCCGCGCGTGGTATCTTGTATCTCCTAGTCTTCCAGCAGTTGGGCCAGCTGGCCCGGTGGACGTGGGGTTTAAAGGTTCTGCTCGCACCGAAATCTGCGTACGAAGAGTACAACGACGAGGCAGCCGAGGAAGGTCGCTGTCACGAGGAAGCTCAAAACGACGGAGAGATCCAGTGTTTGCTCGACGGCGTCGATCCCTCCCAGGAGACGGACGAACTCGACCGCTTTGTCTACCAGCACCGTCCTGACAGCCCAACGCATACGGACAACGCACATAGCATTTACGAACCAGCCGGTAGTACACCGATCGCAGGCGGGTCAAGAGCCTCCCCGAACGATTCGGAAGATGACGAGCACGGATCTGTTTGGAAGAAGAAGAGCCTTAACGGCTACGGCAACACCCTCGGTGATGATTTGCAGCCTCACTTCTTCCCCCGCCTTCGCGCCAGCGACAATCCCGAACCTCCGGAAGGCATCAAAAGCGTTCTGGTACGCATGCGTCGGGCCCCGGGCAAGGTCTGCGCCAGGATCTGCCAGTCCATCAGTGCCGTCTGTTGTTGCGTGTATGACACGCTCCCGCGGCCTCTTCAGGTGTTGATATCTTTCTGCGCCCGGATTGTCCGGTCTGTCTACAGTTTCCTCGTCTGGATCATGAGCCCTGCCCTTTGGGCAATGCTTATCGGCGTGCTCGTTGCCTCGGTCCCCAAGCTTCATTCTATTTTCTTCGACGAAGAGTCCTTCATGCGCACCAGCGTCACCAGCGCCATCCAGCAAACTGGTGGCGTTGCTGTCCCCTTGATCCTCGTCGTGTTGGGTGCCAACTTGGCGCGCGGAACGGAGATACACGAGGAAGAGTCCGAGATCGACCCTGAAGAGAAGCAAATCGGCACGAAGCTGCTTGTTGCGTCGCTGATTAGTCGCATGCTGCTGTGCCCTCTTATCATGGCACCTATTCTCGCCCTATTTGCAAAGTACGTGCCGGTCAGCATCCTGGACGATCCAATTTTCGTCATTGTCTGCTTCCTGCTTACGGGCGCGCCGAGCGCTCTGCAGCTGGCGCAGATTTGCCAGTCGAATCGTGTGTATGAGACGGTTATGAGCAAGATCTTGTTTCATAGCTATGTCATCTGGATCATGCCGTCGACGTTGATCTTGGTGGTGATGGCGATGGAGGTTGTGGAGTGGGCGGCTACTTCGTGAAGCCTTTTGATGTTCAGGAGGCACTTGTGTAACTGTAATGAGAGAGTCATGGTTATGGTAATGATTGGCGTTTTGGTGTCCTTTTTTTTGGAGAGGCTGTGGTCACTTTGGATGGGCAGGGCAATGTGGTAACAGGATGTAGATGGATCATGCATGTCACGGTGTACAACAGAATGGCTCTTCTCAGTATTGGGTCTCGGGCCGGGTAGGTGATTGGTTTCCTTGGTATCAGGTTGGCTGTATCATGAGATGGTTGTGATGCGGTATACATGACCTGCCTGGGCACAAATATTTAGCCCTAGGCTCTCTTGAGTATGACTACTATTGTTTTGAGTTGCAAAGACTTGTCCATAGTCTCCTTGCCCTATTTTTTCTCCTTTTTGTGTCACAATGCCCACAGCACCTTGTTTTGAAATACCAGACCTTTAATTTGATTAACTGTATTAACTGTACAGTTCATTGCGTTGAGCAATAGAGTACATGAAGACAAAAGTCCCACACCCGCGAGTGAACTTTACCGTATGTCTCTTTCTCAGACATAACCCAGTGTTCTAGTCCTTCCCTCCAAATACCTAGTATCTTGAAATACTGGACTCTCTTGAGTGAACTAAGCACGTGCGCGGAATATCCTGTATGTGGATCTTTTTGTCCTCTTGGCTGACCCAAATTGACTTCCGAAACTCTGCCTCGAGCACCTCAAGATCCGCCTTGAGTTGCTCTTGTTTCTTGAGAATTCCTTTATACTTTCTGAAAAGCTCCTTTTGGTGTTCGACGTAATCCTTCTGTTCTTTAATGAGGCTATCTTGCCGCTGTTTGAGGTGCTGGAGTTGGTCGATCAGAGCCGAGTTCATCCCGGTAGGCCTCAAAGTCGACTGAGTCGCTCCGATCTCAACGCTGGTAGCCGCCGTAATTGGCATGACCTCGTTACTGGTATCGAGACGCTTTGCGGCAGGCTCTCCTTCGATGGGGGAGCTGGGAGTCGTCATGTCGAGCGGACGCTTGCTTGTCGCTGACGACGAAGTAGCAGCAGTACTTCCAGCAATGCTCCGCTGAGCGGCAGGCACTTGCCTCATCTGCTCCTCTTGTAGCTTGCGCTGGTAATAGACCTCGTATTCTTTGCTTAGAAGGGGCTCAGTGCGCTTCGGAAGCTCAGGGAAAGGGAATGGCTTCGTGCCCTGGAAAACAGTGTCCCAGACCGTGGATTCAACGTGGTAGCAGATGTATTCGAGAGACACTTCGGAATAGCGATGGGCTGCCAAGGACCTCATGAGCTCACTATGCGCTGCCTCGAACTTGGCAGCGACCCGATGTGCGTCATTGTGCATGGAAGCCATGACGGCGTTGACCACTTGAGCTCGACGATTGACAATCGATTGGTAGATGAAATTGTTTCGAAGATGCAACTCACCCTCTGGGTATAAGATATGGTCAAGTGGACCAGAATTCATCTTGCTGATGCTTGGTTAGTCATCGGAGTCAACAGGCGAGAGGTGTGCTGCTGGAGATGAAGAAATGGGGGCAATTTACTCGCTGTGGCTTGGGAGGGGAGTGGTTCAGGAAAGTCGGTTGCATAGAGAAAAGGCGAAGTAACGTGAATGGCTAAAATACTGGGCCTTTCTCTGCTGCTATGGAAATTTAGATAAAAAGTGAGAAAGCAGTGCCGAGTGTTTGCAATGCTGGATTTGTACCTCTTACGAATCAATTAGAGCCTGTAGACTAGGTCCGATTTACATTCTCTTCTTTGCTACTGTTTTTGTGTTCTCCGATTTCACCACGATAGTTGCTATTGCATGAAGAGGCAAAAGAACACATCTCGTAAAGCATCCTGTATCACTACCGACTCCTCAACGAGGTCATTTGCCCCCAAGTGCCCGGTTCCCTATCCCTCATGAGCTCTTCCAGATTGTTGAACAAGCTCGCCCGAGTAATAAAAGTTTCCTCAAAACCTAGCTTCCTCTTTTGGTGTTCTTTGTGCTTCCTCCTTATATCGGCCTTTCATCGCCGCGTACTATGCTGTGATTATCGCGAAATTAGTTCAGTTCTTCCTCGATCTTTACGAACTTCGATCCCCTCTTCTAAGGCTCCTGCCCCTCTTCTTAGGAGCTCTTCATTTTCTTTGCAGATATCCTTCTCCAGGTCAGAAGCTTGGAGCAGGACTTGATACGCTTGGAAACTTCTGCCTCTCGCTTATTCAGGATTCCTTCACGTTCACGAGATCCCACTCTTTCTTGAGCTCTTGCTCCAAAATGTCAAAGTGGCTTCTTTCTTCTCTAGGCCCACCTTGGACTGCGTGAAGTAAGCCAACTCCGCGCTCGTGTAGCTGGCAGAACCCATCAGGTCCTCGATGGGGCTGTCAAGGGTGGCACCGACAGCAGGTGGAGCGACTTCTAGCTGTCCTCTGGACATGGCCAGCGGGGATTATTGTTGAACAAAGTAAAGCCCAGTGTTCTGAGTCTGGCTACTGTTCAGCGGCCTTCAGTACCTAATAATGCAAATTGTTCACTCTTAAAGCACGTCATGGCAGCTTGGTTCATCAAAGAGGAAATGACGTGAGCAACCAAAGGCGGGATCCCACATTTTGGCGTTAATCCTCTAGCACACATGGTTGAAGGAGAGTTTTTTGTGCCTTTCCTGCCACAACTGTTCGAGGATCTCACCCTTGGCGACTTTGAAATTCTGGCACGAGTCCTGGTGAACTAAGTTCTTGAACCCAGAAAGATGTCTAAGATGGCATCAAGAAACTGGAGTCGGCAAGAACAAGCACGCCGGTAGTCTGGATTGTTTGGATCAGATACCAAGACATGAAAGCCTAGGTTGGGGATGTGGCCAGAGTTCTGTTGACGTTTCGTGGGCCACTGGGTCGAACCATGAAGGACAATAGAAAGGCAACTGCAGCGCTGTGCTATTGAGGATGCGTCACCAGTGTGAAAACTTGCGAATATGGACTCAGAAAACGGCGCGTGCCTTACGTCCTGCCTCCCCCTGAACCTCCTCGCTGCCCTTTCCGCGCTGTCGAACGCGAACCCTATGTGTTGTGTTTCACGTATTGTTTTTTCTTCGTATAGAAGAACCGGAATGTTCTGAACTCGCACGCCGAGGAGCATGGTGATTGCATGACCCTGGAATTGAATTATGCCTATGATCTAACCATCTATCCCATCTAACATACAGAACCTATCCGCTATGATGCAAATTCCCGCTGAAACAGCTAGTCTATCCTTGCGCCAGTCACCCACGCCTATTCAGTTCGCTCTTTCCTCTTCATGCTCTCCGTTGGCCATCTCGTCCTCGTGTACCCTATTGACAGGCCCTCTTCATGTGTTCCACTGATCAGTCTGTCCTTATGACATGCCAACTCGACCTTCTCTTGTGGTGGAGGTGGCACATTCGGCAGCACTCCCTAAGTGGCAGATAACCTCATCCTTGGAGCCGTGATGGTGAACGTAAACAGTTCATACCACTCTTCATCCTTTTTGGCTTTACCACCGCTTCCTTCAGTGCTGTTATCAGCACCATTCTTATCCTTCTGCCCCTTCTCGTCATCCTCTTTCATCTTTTCCACTTCCTCTTCCCCAATCTGCTGAATGACATTGCCTTTTCCATCCACCTCAACAACCACATCCTTCACGTCTAAACTTCCATCCTCAGTATACTCCCACATATCCTTCAACTCGCCTCTGATCAGCCCTGTCAGCCAGAGAGACCCTGTTACACCTGGCACCAGATAGAGCAGCGCAGGCTGGGCGTGGTTGAACACCACCATCACCAACAGCGTGGATACCATGCCGAAGGTGTACCCAATGAGCGAGGCATAAAAGTAGGGCTTAGGGAATGCCGTGGCGGAGATGGGTTCGTAGGCCTGTGGAATGGGTGATAGCCGACCGGGAGGGGTCGTCCAATAACGGTTGCCCCATTGATTGCGCGGCGAAACATAGGGGACTTTGACGCGACGGTGGGTTAGTGTTGTCGAGACGGTACCGTCAGGAAGAATGGTTTTGAGTTCGACGGGCTCGAGCTTGATCTGCTTCTTGTAGTATTGATACTGATCAAAGCGGAGAGCAAGGCAGATGATGAAACCTGGTACGACAATATCGCCTAGACCAAGGATGCTGCCACTTTTGGCCCCCTTAAAGACAAGTTTGATAGGTGCATCAACCTTTGAAGCAACAGTGATCATTAATGGCCTAAAAATGAAGGTAAGCCTGTGAATATTAATGGGGCCACGGGGAGCCATACGTGTAAAAGACCATGACAATATCATAAACAAAAAGACCGCCAAGCACCAGAGTCCCGATGGCGAAAGACGTCGGCGAAATTAAGCTGAAACTCGAGTAGCACAGGGCTATGGCGAGGAGGTTAGACACAAAAATCCCCTTTGCAAAATGGTAGGTGATGGCAAGAGCTGTGGCGATAGACACTTTGACGATATCATTGAGCCGGACGCCAATTTTGACGCGGGTCTTGCCGTAGGTAGCAAAGCGAAGAGACCATTCCTGGTTGAGAATGCCACGAACACCCCAAAGTATGTCAACTAATTTTGGGGAGAATCTCCATTCTGACAACTTGCCAGGTAAAGGGTTGGTCTTGTCAGGAGTCGGGACTTTTTTCCCAGTCTCCTTCTCAACCACAAGCTGCCGACGCTGGTTTTGGTCGATGTGATACAGTCGTCCGGTTTGGTCTGCCCACATGTCGGGAAATATTAGACTGGTGTAGATGTCGAGCGCATCTCCAATCAAGGTGCCGGTGCCAGCAATACTCATCACAGACATGTAGACACGAAGGATTGAGTTGACGATGTCAGCGTACTGGAGGACTTTGATCACATAATACATGCCCGCCAGCGCGACTCCAAGGCACAGGGGGAACAGAATCGCATCAGAGAACTCCAGGTTCTCTCTGGGTTTCTCTTTTTTCTTCTCCTGTTTTGTAGACTCGGTTGGGGCTGCTGAAGGGGGGCGGCGCAGAGCACTATGTGCACCAATCCAAAGTAAAGTTAAGGAAGACAGCATGAGAAAGAGCAGATGTGGCTCAAGGACTTTGACGAAAGCGAAGACGCCAAGGGGACTGCCCGGATCTGTTGCCGTTAGCTCGACAGTTGGTGTCGGCTGTGAGGGAACTGCGGCCACCCCGCTTGTATCGACTGTTGACGGCATTCCGGACGATTAGCCTAGAGAAGAAGAGCAGCCTTGAGAATTTCGGAGGTGGACATGTAGATCGAGTTGGCAGTTGAAGATGCCCGACACTCAAGTGATCGAAGTCGTCAAGATGCTACGCAAATCTTCGTTTGAGCACAAATTGATGCTGTTTATGCTTGATATGTGAAGATAGCAAGAGTCTGATATTGGTGTCAGGGTGTTCAAAGGCATAAACTTCGCCAGCTGGTGGGAACACTTTCAGCCCAGCAAGCGATGTTGGAGAGATGGTTCATGAAAGGACAGTGTTGCCGGCTGCGGAGTTGAACTGTGTGTAAACGCTGCAGATCCCTGTTTGTGGGGAAAGTGGGTTGTGGGGCTTGTCGCCTTGCCAGATACCCTTGGGGCACCATGATGCTAACCAGAAACGGAAAGGCCCCGCAGATCGCGAGCACAGGCGATCACGGGCTGGGGCTTGACATCAACCTCACGCGTTCCAGACAGAGTCAGGCTGCCTCTTGTTCCTGCATATCTTAGTGAGCTGCATCAGATATCCAGGAAATAAATACCAGCCTCATAGATTATGGCATCAGAACCGATGTCAGTGGACAGCTCGGGCATGGAGCCACCACCGCTCCCTAGTGATGGACCAGAGGAGCCGAAGCATGGCGGACACACTCGTTTTGAGCTGGAGCTGGAGGTGAGTATCGTCACCGTCTCCTCAAGTAATATTCTCACAAATACTGACTGCCCACAGTTTGTCCAAGCTCTTTCAAACCCCGAGTATGTCAACTGGCTAGCCTCGCGCAAATACTTGATGAATCCCGCCTTCGTCGCCTACCTTGACTATCTGCAGTACTGGTCGCGACCGCCGTATCTCAAGTACCTGACATATCCCACGGCAACGCTCCGAATGCTGCAGCTCCTGCAAAGCGAACGGTTCCGTCAGGAAATCCTTGTTCCAGACGTGGCGTGGCAATTGAGACTCGAGGGCATGAAGGCTGCAGTTTTGTGGCATAAAGAGGGTTGAAGGGTAGGGTCTGAGAGAAGACGCTAGTATACGAGAAACGACCCAAACCGCTATGTCGAGTCTCTTCCCATTGTTCATTGCGATTGCGGAAAATTTGGGCAGTGAGATCCATGATACAGGCGCTAAACACCTACCTCGACAAGGGCACGCCGCCCCTAGCGGCATTAGGAGGGCCGAGGAGAAGCCATGGATCTCTAATAAACCACATGCGAAGTGGAGGATTTGACGGGACAGAAAGATCCTGCGCTTTACGGTCTGCTAGTTATGCTGATAGATACCCCGACAAACGAACCAAACGATACTCGTCTATGACCGAAACGCCACGCAATGCATTCTCGTGAGATTCAAGCCGCCCAAAGTCCATCATATCCTCTCCAGATAACCATCTTCAGTTTTCTCTCCATCTGTGACCACAAGTCATGCACTATGAAGGTTGTTAGCAACAGCCCAAGTTGAACATCGAGAACATAAGGAGCAGACAAACCTTATAGAACGTGGTCATCGGCTCATCAGCACTGCGAATTTGAACCTGGAAGAAGGCAGCCTCATCACCGGGGCAATCTGCCGTCGGACACTGCACACGGCCCTTTTGCGCATTGTCCCATGCACCTGGTCCGCCGAATACATCTTCTTTCTCGCGGCGCGTGAAGTGCTTCCGCGAGTAGATAGGCATCTCGATCGGATGTTGATAGGGGCAGGTGCGGCACTCGAGCCTGTTGCCGCCTGTCTCCATGCGGGACAGTATCAGCATGTTGGCACAGTAGGGGCAGACTGAAGAGGAGGTTAGTGCTGATTTTGGCAGGGGCCTGGAAAAGAATGAGGGACGAGGTTGTCTTACAGAGTATGGGCATGTTGGTGAGTAAGAAATTGAATAAAGCGCTAGTGCAGGGCCACGCTCAATACTCTTTTAGATAATATTGGTTACTGTTTGTGAAAAGAATTATGAGCCTGGATGGCCTTAGTTGAAACTGGACGTCGTAATGAAGGGCGTTGTCTGCTTAATGTAAGCCTTGACAAAGCGTGAGAAGCAGCTCTCCATGAATCTTGAAGGTGGGGCTCTGATTTTTTCGCAGTACAGTCTATCATCAACTTATGACACTGTGCTACAAGTTCATTGCTCTCAGATTCCAGGCTCCAGGACTTCATCAGGTCATGCAACTCCTTGAGATCAAGAACGCCGTAAGACCGTTGCTTGCCTGGATCCTATCAGATAAGATAGTTTGATTGACTTTCTTGACTACAAACCACAAATAACAGGGAGTAATCCTCGAGCGCTTTCGCATCCAGCTTGATACTGGGATAGCCGATTGAGTAGTGACACCCTCATTACAAAGAATGACGAGGAAACCATAAACAATCTAGGTGTTCACTAAAACGTGTGTGAAGAAAAACATCAGTTAAAGATGGTGCTAGAAATTGGAACTTTGTCCCTTTTTGGGATTGAAATCAAGCAATTGATCATTGGAAGAATGAGAAGAGGGGGTCATCACTTACAAGACTCTGATAGTCTGTTTTGCTTATTCGCCCGATTTCTCTGATACGCAGAAAGCAGCTTCTAGTAACTCGTTTGGTGTACACAGTTGATACACATGCACCACCGCTCACTTCCTTCAGCTTCCGTGGGGTGAGAAGTAAGCTATGATGCGTAGATAGCTTTTTGCACACTATCTGAGCTGTAAGGCACAGGCTAAATCTCTTGCTTTGGAAGCATGGAGAATGAAACATTGAGGTGACGCTGAAGTTGACCGAAGGTTGAAAGATTAGCAACGTACCTAAATAGCCTAGGAATTATATTTAGGCCTGCGCGGACGCGACTCATTCTCGAACTATGCTATGGAGGAAGTGTTTTTGTAGCTGTCTAGAATTGTTCATGGACAGCTTGAAGAATTCGAGCCGGAAGACACAAAGTTAAGATATTAGCACCTTATAATTTTATTCCATGCTTTGTGGATTGACTGATCGAGGGCTAGTCCGGAGCTGGCATTTTATTTTGCACTTCCTCGCTGCTCCTACTTTGTTTATTGTCCTCTATCTCCAATCTCCGTCCTACTAAAAGTTCGCTCAATGACCCCCTCATGTCTTGTTCTTGTGATGTTGATTCCATAACAAGATCGATGGGGACGTTCTGCGCTTTCTGTGGGACAAAAGCTTTGAGAAACATGTCAGCCAACCACTTCGCATGGCTCATTGAACTCAACCTCTGGAACTTTTCATAAGAGTTCCGGCCTTTTCCAATTCACAGTCGAACCTGACCATATCCGCGGCCTGCAGAGCAAGCATTTTTAGGAATTTCGCCAGCAAAAGCTACTCGACAAAGCACACAAAAGCCCACAGCAAGACATTTTAAGCATCTTCAATAATACTGCGGCCGCCTGGGCGAATGCCATCTACAAGCACCTCGAGGTCGAAGCCCGTGTAGGCAGCTCCATCACCGCCATTCCAGTGGGATCTACCTACAGCAAGTCAGATGCTAACTCCTCTTCTCTAATCCCCTCATTTCTCAATGACAAAAGATGCGCCAACCAGGCGTGAGGCGGAAGTCACCAAGAGAGAGCTTGGGCTTTTTTATTACGAAGCCGAACTTCAAAGGAAAGAGAAAAGGAGGGAGCTCGTATTGGAGAGCTAACTGAGCAGCTGATTTCCTCCGAAAACTTCAATGAGTTCATAGCCAAGCTTCAGTACTTGCGAGGAAAGTTGGAGGAGGAGGCATGAGATCTGGCATCAACGAAGAGGCAGATAGCGTTAGCATTATCATAGTGCTGGCAAAGTTTTGGGAGCATTGACGATGCAGAATCTTCAATGTCGTCAAGAGGGTTTCGGTCCATGGGACAAGGTTCCAGCATGCTTGTAGCAGAGACTCTAAGTACAGCCTTTCACCCAGGTCGAGTTAAATGCATGAGACAACTAAAAGCAGTCATCAAGTGATGATATCCCGGCAGTAGTCAATAGGTCCAGTGTCGTGAAGTTGAAGAATCGTACCCATGACGCGCCTAGTCCTTGTACATGCCTCCAAGCTATACACGAAGTCATGTGACTTTGCACCTTTTGCGTCCCTTGCGTCACGTCGCGTTGTCGGTTCAGCCCACAAGGTTTTCTCTTAATGTTTTTTCCTTCAAACAACACTATTGAAGATGTCTGGCTGTAGTCATCTTTCAAGGTACAGGGAATTCATGGCCCAAAATTCCACCTATATTTGCCTTTACGTTGGGCTGGGAAAGTCGGGATGTCTCCAGTGACATCAACCATTCGAACAAGGTTTTGGGGGTCTAGGAAGGAAAGCGTTGGAAGAAGTAGTTTAGATTGTCCCCGAAAGAAACCCCGCCTGTTTTTTTCTTCCCTCACTTTCCCATTGGAAAAATTCTCGCCCTTGTTCCCATGACCGTACTTCAAATACTTGATACCTCTCTTCTTCCGAATTTGTACTTCTCCCTACGGTTTCTCCGTCCCAATCCCCTCTTTTAACTTTGTGTCATTGTTTTCAGCCCATCGGCAACATCGACTTCGGCCAATCGAAGCCATGTTCAAACCATCCATTCCTCTTCCCTCGTGGGCAGAGCCAGCGCTTAACCACGAGGATGCTCAAGGCCATCCGGACTACTCAATCATCGACTATCGTCGAAAAAAAGTTCTCTGGAGCGTCATGTGGACCGCTGGCAATGACGAGGAGCTTGTTCGCTTCCAGTTTGAGACGGCCAAAAAACTGGTTCTCGATCAGCTTACAATGGACGGCCCCAAGACCGCATCAGCTAACTTCATCAACTGGATGATTGACCGCAAGTGGTGGATGCTCATACATCCCAAGTTGCCTTTTACTTTTAAGCAGCCGCCACATATGTACCGGGGTCTTCAGGGGGGAGAAATCGAACGGTATTATCAACAGCGGGAACGGAAAGCACGCTATAATTACGATATGTGGCTCGCTGCTTACAAACACCGAGCAATCTCTTACCAGCGCTTCATTGTATGCGCTCAGGCGTCTAAGCGCAAAGCCGATTCCGACTTCGACATGCGTCCAAAAAAGCGTATCAAGTTAAAGCAACATCCTGCCCGTGTTTCTGCTACCTCCATGCTGTCTGCACCCGGCAGAACGGGTTTCGACTCTCTGGTCAGGTTGATCAATTTCAGGCAGCAAGACGCCATTTTCGCGATGTTCCACAAACGAGAGATTACGCTTGCCTACAAAGAGAAGGCGTTAAAGGAAAAGGAGATGGATCTGGAAAAGAAACGGATCGAGCTCGAGGAGAAAGAGGCAGAGCTCGTGGCATACGCACGCGGCCTTAAGAAGCGCAAGGCAGAGTTCGAGCACTCGCTCGTCTCCTGGACAACCGCTTTTAAGCTCTGGGAGCAGAAGTGGTCTAAACAGGACAAGGTTATTCCCGACCCTGAGCCCAAGAATCAAAATCCCTCCCAGTGGCCACTCAACCCCTGACTAAAGCCAAGTGGTCCCAATGTGAGTTTGAGGCTTGCTGATGGGTCTTTGGAAAGTAAGAGCATGCTGTATCTCAGTGTCCAAGTGGCATGTGGCATCTAAGATTCACCATGTAAGCTTGAGAGTTTGGTGATTCTTGGGCAGGACAAGGGAAGAGGACTAGAAGTTAAGCCATATTCTGAAAAGCCATTGTAGCTCTCACTTAACCTCCCAGTGGAGGAACGATAGCTGATTATTCAGTTTTATTGCTTCGATTCTCTCCTACATTTTCTTAGTCTCTACTTGAATTCGTAGTTTCATGATATACGTTCGGTTCGATAACCGAAACTATCAGGTCCTCTGCTGTCTTATTGCTAGGCTAAGAACTGATCAGGGCGGTAGGTTCGTTGCTTGAGCCACTTCGCCGCCCGGATGTGGTTCATACCCAGGATGTTCGTGGATGCTCGTGGAATAAGAGTAAGGAGAGATATCAAGGTTGAGCTGCCAGTAGAAGGGCCTGATACTCATTATTGGACTGAAATGAGGGGCTTTTTAGGCCCGGAAGTTGTCAGGTCCGCTGTTGTCTGCGACGACCAAGCTTCCCAGCCCGGAGGGTTTCCCGGACGGCAACTCTGCGATCTTTTCCATTGGTCTAGTTTTTCGCATTTTCAAACTTGCGCAACAACTTCTTCGCAACTCCCATAGCTGCTCCAGAACCCACAGTTGATTCCCAAATTCAACCGCAAATGAGCAATAAAGTTTTCAACGATTGGCAACATGATTAGTCGCCATGTTAATCTCAGAAATCTTAATGCGGGCGATGATTTGCTGGAGGGATGGAACTTCCTCGACAAGCGGGTGATTCCTGAGTTTGGAAAGCCGGTCGAAGTCAAGCATCCCGATTACAAAATTCTTATCGACCGTCACCACGAGATTTTCAATGCCTTCTCGGCGGCCACCCACAACGGAAACCAGTTGGGATAGTATAAGTGCTGCAAGGAGTTGGGCTTGAAAAAGATCTTGAGAAAACATCAGGCCCCTTCTATCATCTCAGCCAACTACTTGGCCTGGAAAGTTGATCTTGAGGTTTGGAAGGCGGTCAAGAGCCAGAACTCGGCTTTTCCGTTCCCTCCCACCATGGCTGCTGGGGCCTTCAGAGCGAAGATTACCAGTCCTTCCTCTCCAAGTGCTAGAAGGAGAGGTAGGATCAATATGCTATTTAGATTATCGCTTCTTCGACAATCCTTCCTGATCAAGATATGGATGTTGACGGTCTAGCGCTAATAATATTGATTAAGTGGCTGAGGGAAGAACACAATCAGAAGCGCACTAGACGGTCGAGGAGGCATCTAGACAAAACATCACACTTAGGGAACACTGGAGATATGAGTTTGAGCATCTCACTGCTGGGACAAAAGAATGGGAACCCGGGAGGATATTGTCGGCAATGTTTGATCATGCTGTAAATCCTCCAAACAGTGTCAGGATATATAAGGAATGGAAGGAGATTATTTATAAACAAGCTGGGTAACTTAAGAGCTTTGATGGCTAATTTCATCGTCATACAGACACCTTAAGCGCCCTTGGCTGTATAGTCGCCGATTTTCTCAATGTCACCTCATTCTGTGACCTTACTAGCACCAGTGACGCCACTTTCAAAACACAGCCGTGCAATGACAGACTAGACTTAGATTCTCGGTCAAGGGTGTACTACTCTCTGTTGAACAAATAATCAGAGATATGAGTGCTGCCGGGGATGAAGTCATGATGGCTTTATTCCTCCTGACTGTATGAGAATTTGATAGAGACTTCTATTTGTCTGGTGCAAAAGAACAAGCGTAACAAGTGTGTAGAAGAAGCTCAGAAAGCCCTGTGAAACAAAGAAAAACATCACACGCCAAGGATCTTAAGAATTCATGGCTGAGCCAAAGAAAGAAACCAAGGACCAAGAGCAGAGGGTAAAGAATAAGCAAGCTTCTTTGGTTGTTTGCCAGCCGTATATTATCTTCCGTCTGGGCCACTGTCGACTCTCTCCAACAGGCACAGCACCCTTCTGGGCCCTCCTCCTCCAGCCCTGACTTTGCATCAAATTTCCGTTAGGAAAATGTCAGAGCTTCCCAGCAATATGAACGATTTCCTCAAGGATGTTTGGCCTAAGGTAGAACTCACTTTGATCCCCGAATCGGAGCTGCTAAGCATCAGTGACGATAAAACGATGCATTCAGACTACCAGGTTCTGATGACGCGGCGCCTGAAGGTTGTGCACGCCACCATGGATGCTGTTGATAACGATATCAGTCTTGTCGAGTTTGAGTTTTTCACAGCAAGGAACGAAGCCATGAGACAAATATTTGAGGCAGGTCATGATAAGGTTTCGGCAAATTACCTGTCCTGGCATGTTGAGTACAATGCTTGGGAGGCCATCTTCGGCGACAGCAAGCCATTCCCGTATCCTATGCCTTCGCTGTCCGAAGGTCCAGAAAGCAAGAGATTTAAAGAATACCGAATGAAAAAGATCCTCGAGCAAAAGAACAAGGAACGCTGAAATGCTGCTTTTGCACGTCGTTTGGCGCCCTCTTATACCAAGCGAATTTGCTCTAGCATTTCCAAACCGTCTCTCGGCCAGGATGCCCATGATGATGGGAAGGCCGGAAACGCATCCTCCCTCAACCGTCCAGCAGCCGTCCAACAAGTTGACCCCGAGTATGGCACGTTCAAAGTCTCTTTTCTCAAGGCTTGGGAACAAGACCTCGACAAACGTGAGCAGGAGCTCATGAAGCATTTTGAAGAACTCAAAAAAAAGCGAAAAGAGTTCGACAAGCGACAAGATGACTTGATCAAGAACATGGAGCTCTGGAAGCAAAAACTTAGGAAATGGGAGAACAAGCTGATCTCTCAGGCCAAGGACTCCTCATCTAGACAATGAGCGCTGCTAGGGGGTGAGTTGATCTCGATTGTCGGCCCCCCCAAAAAACAAGGGGATTGGGAAGCGAATGCTGGGAAGGAACTGAAATATCTGGGTCTCTTGGGGCAAAAAAAAAACACGAATTCTTAACTGGTGCCATCTAATCAATCATGAAACGATAGCCATGAATTAAACTCGCAGTTTTATTTGAACAGCATCCCTCTGTCCAAGGATGCTTCTTTTGTGATGATATGAAGTGGTCCTGCTGCTTCGACTCTAACCCTCATCCTGACTTACACGTAACCGATTGTAAATTACATATAAACTACCATCTTGCCCCCGCTTGAAACACCGCCCCGCAACACCCCCTGATTGGTGGGGCAGGTGTCGGCGACGGCGGATGTTGCGCTAGTCAACAAACTCCCGTCAACAACACTGCCACGACGCTTTACCTCCTTTTCCCGTTCACTCCAGCTGCCGACGAGGTTCTTCCTGACAGACGCTGGCTGCTCGTCTTTATTGGTGACATCGCGACGGCAACGCATCTTGGAGATTATCCTAACCTCAGGACTCCTTATTCCTACCTGTACCCGCCCAAGCTGCTTGTACATTTTCTCCAGCCAGATCACAAGGCATCAGGTCTGTTCCACGTTCGACCGAACGACGCTGCAATACGAGTTCGAAGTACCCATCTGCTTCATCAACGCAACTCACCATCTCAACGAAGCACCTATTCTTATAAACATCACCATGGCCAGCGATGAGCACGAGGTTCGCTCCTTGCCCCCCTCCATCTCACCCAACCACCCTAACTAACCCCCCCTCCCCTTCCAACAGGGTGCCTCAACCGCCGAACTCCTCATTGAAGCCTGCCGACGCAACAACACAGACCTCCTCCATGAGATCATCACCTCCCTCGAAAAAGAAGGCAAGTCTGAAGACGATATCGCCGCCATCCTCAACAACACGACTACGGTCCTCGGCAACCACCTCTATCACGAAGCGGCTCTCCGCGGAAACTACGAAATAATCGACATGCTCTTGGACCAGCCCGGGTTCGAATGTGACCCCGTCAACCGCGTAGAGGGCGACACCCCGCTACACAGCGCTATCCGCTGGATCAATAGCGAGCCGAAGGAGAATTGGGAGTATGGCAATGCGCTGGTGGAGATGATGCTCGAGGCAGGAAGCAATCCACGGCTGAAGAATAAGGGCGGGTTGACGCCGCTGCAGCTGGTTGATCCCAAGAATGAGGGGTTGAGGGAAGTGATCCGGAAGCATGAGTATGCGGAGATGAATAAGGATGATTTTGTTAGTGTGGACGAGGTAAAGGGGAGTGCGGTCCTGCTGGATGGGGCTGTGCAGCAGGATAGTGATGAGGAGGCCGAGTTTAGCGGGAGTGATGAGGAAGAGAGAGCGGAGTGGGAGCGGAGGAGGGGCAAGAGGTGATATGGATGGGCATAATGAGGGAGCTGGGCTCTGTCCGGTTGTTGATATGGCATCTTTCGGCTGGATACCGGGTTTGAAAGCGTGCATAGACTCGTCAATTCGTGTCTGCAGCATGGACATGGCGAAATCATATTTCTATTTGACATGATTCTGTTTTCCAGGGACGATGATTTATTTCCAGGAACCGTTTTCAAGCTTTAGGGGACTTTTTTTTTCATACCAACAACACAACCACAATACCGACAAACCCAATTACCATACCCCATGCAACCGCCCCCCTGCCAGCATGACTCTGCCATCCCACAAACGCCCTCCATCCTCCCCAACCAACCCCAACATTGCCCTTCAACCCCCCGTCAACACTGTTTGGATCTGCCCCAGCCGCAATAGCCGCCATCTTCCTCATCTCACTGCCCCAAACCTCTAAGATCCTTGTGCTCCTTCCTCCCCTCGGACAAAACTTCACCTCCCACCCGCCGCCAGCAGGTACGACAAACGTACTCTCACGGTCATCGTACGCGTAGCTGTACGCGTCTGGACACACCTTCTTTGCTGCGATACTATACTGGCCTGGTTTGCATGTTTCCGGGCTACCGTATTGCGGTCCTACGCAGCAATCCTTTTCGGAGCGCGTTGCGCTGCATGCTGAGAGACAGGGGTCGAAGGCCGGTCGTTGAAGGCTATCGGTTTCAGGATAGGGATAGACTTCGTCTGGCGGGGTGGTTGGCGGGTTGAGTTGAAGGGGCCAGGGGCACCAGGTGGCCAGGCTAGGGTTTGTTTGGGTTGATTCGTAGGGGGGCTGTTCCGGAGTTGAGGTCGGGCTAGAAGATGTATTGAAAGATGGGAGAGGAGGGGAGGTAGGGGGGTCGGAGAGATAGCCTGGTGAGGCGATACAAGCACAGTTGGTCAGACGTGATGGGAGCCATGTTGTGTTCGGCGCTGGAAGGTAGTTCAGGCCAATCGGCAGGTTGTAACCGTCGACGAGGGAAATGTCATAGAATGTTTGCCGGTTGTTGATGCCACCGAGGAGGTTGAACTCGGCCAAAGTGGCCGGAACTTGGCCCTATCCGGCGTCAGTTTCCGCCCTCTTCTATCCTCAGCAGGGTCCGAAACTCACTGGCCCACGACAGTCCACCCGCCCGTTACAATCCCCCGTCAAGCACGCCTTCCCATTCCCATCCAAACCCCCCTTAACCCTCGGTCCACTCCCATCGTCGTTGAAACTGCAGTTCGTCCTCCCCCACACGCGGCCCTGCCAATCCGCACTGACGTACAATTTCTTCGACTTCCCTGGCGCCAGCTCAAACCCTCCTACTGTCGGACCCAGACCGTTCTGTGTTGCCAATCCCGGCCAAATAGTCTCATCGCAGTTGTTGGTAACCACCAGCGGGATCGGACGCAGGTCAGGCGGACGTTGGGACTTGGTGATGTTTACGTGGGGGTGGTGGCTCTTTGTGAAGTTGAGTTTGTCTGTCCCTACTCCACTGGGGATACTGGGTATGGGGTCATTGACGTCGACTATGTTGGAGAAGTCGAGGTCGAAGTTGAGCTGGCCAAGGTTATGTTGAAGGGCTGTTGTTTTTGTGCTGAAGATGGCGATGACTGAGACGAAGATGCCTGTCGCCATAGTCGTGACGGGAGGTCGATGAGACAGAGCTGCGGGACGAGAAGCTTGTGCTGTGGCCCTGTCCTAGAGGCCATGGAGGGCTGGCAGCGGTTTTGGTTGTGACATGATCTGGCAATGGGATGAATCGATAGGCATTGTTTCGGTAGTGATACTTCAATGATTTCTGCCTGGTAGTTAATGCAAAAGCGATGGGGAAAAGCAGAGAGTTTGACTAGGAGCTACGGATTTGAAGGATCATAACTCAGGGCCGGTTTGGAAGAGTACTTGGGACCAAAGGAGAGATGATGGCTGTGGGATGTCATTCAGGCCAAGTAGTGACAGTTTTAAGACGCCGCCGTTAGGTCCCGTGATGTGAGGCGTTTATGGCTGAGTGGAATACTCGGGAGCCCCTTAAGCAAGAATGGAAAGAGTGAAAAGACACAACCTGGAAGAGCCGTCCCAGTTGTTACCCCAGGTCTACCCAGGTCGGGCATCTCTTGTCTTGGGGAGGTGCGTGTCCAGCAATTGCCCCTCAAGTCCGCCTGTTACGTGATGGGGATCCCGCGAGCAACGAAATGCCGTTCCAGTCTTCCGGGTCGTACGCATACCCCCTTGATGGATTCCGTGGATGGACCGCCCGCAGTACCTGCGCCATCCCATAGCACAAGGTTGCACTAGACTTAAAATCGGATCACCGACTCTAGATGGGAATACTTGATTGGGTATTTGCCTACCTAAACTATCCTATCTCCAGAACGTTTGTGAATGGATAAGAGTACGGAATGTCATGATCGTGCTCCAGCAATAATGAACGAACGCAGCACTCGAGTTTCGAATGTATGCCTGATCAGAACTCCTGGGTCGTTTTGTCCCCATCTTTCTTCTACCCACAACTCCTCCATTTCCTCTGTCTGTACCAAGTCCTCCCCTCTTCTTCACATTGAAAAAACCAGGAAAAACAGGCTGCATCACTTTCCGGTTATGCTCATCAAAATAAAAAGAGAAACTCGCCATTTACTTCAAAGAGGTATCACTCAAGATGCGATGCTGTCGATGTAGCGGCGCAAGTGCAAGCATGAGTGCTGCGGGGGAGCGACACAGAAGAGACAGAAAAAAAGGAGGGGGGGGGGAATAACCAGCCGAAAAACCCGCGAGGACGCGGTACTTTCCACAATTTGTTGGCGTTGTTGTCGTAACAAGAACAACGAGCATAATATATGTAATAGCTCCGTCCTTACCCCTATCTCAAACGCCTTTCCCCTGCCATATTTTATCTGAACCGTGCCCTGCACCGTCCCATGACCTCGCCCTGGCATACCAACTCGGCACTGAACTCAGAGCCGTCCAACGTCAAGTAAATGTCGAAGTAGACCCGATAGAAGGTGCCCTGTGGTGTGTCCATACGCTCGAAGTCCTTTTCCAGGTTCTTACGCGACAGATCCGATGTGAGCGTGACGACCTCCTTGATTCCTGTTCAAGTCAGTTAGCTCCAATTCTAGCCAAATATCTAGATTCCTGGAAAAAACGTACTAGGATCCTTGGTGTACTCCGGGCACACATCATCGTCGCACGCATAAAGGATATCCTCATACATGAGCGTAGCGCCGGGAGCGACCTGCCGGAAGAACGACACCTTGACCGGCTCGCCAATCTTGACCTTCTGACCCTTGTGCACAAAGATCTGCCTAGTGAACTTGCAGCGGTCCTTTCCATCTAGCGACGGCACACGGTATGCCTCAGGATGATAGCCCTCCTTGAACGGCTGCAGCGTAGCCATGAGGTAGTGGCGACGAGCGATACGATGGGTGATAAACCTTTCCGTAATACCAGCGGTGACAGCACCCTTGACAATGGCAGCGACGGAGTCCATGGGCCGAACGACCTTAGACTGGAACTGCGGCGGCACGTGCAGCTTGATCTGCTGGAACAGATATTCGGACGCACCGAAACCACCGACGACCAAGATGTTTTGAAGCGTGCGGTTTTGTGCTTGGATAGCGATGATCTGGTTACGGACGAGTTCCAGGATACGGTTGACTACAGGCTCAAAGCACTGCAGAATCTCTTCGTTGGTGAAGGTCATGTAGCCTTCCTCAATGCCGGCCTCGGGGAACTCGGCCTCGATACCGACGTCGACAGCCCACTTCTGACCGTTATTCCGGAAATCGGCCTTGATGCGGTTCTCGAAGTCCATAATGCACTTGGCATACACACGGCCAGCCGTCTTAGACCCGTCGGGTAGCTTCATCTTGCGGATCTTGGTGCGCAGGATATTGCTGAAATTACGGTTCAGCGCCGTCGAACCGCAAGAGTCGCCTGAACCAGCCGTGCACTCGCACACAGTGAACGGATTCTCATCTTCGACTTCGTATGCGATCAAGTCGACGGTACCACCACCGCAGTCAACAATTAACACAGCGTCGTGAACCTTTAAGTTAAGCAGGCCGGTCTTGGAGCAGAACAGAGCCGCAGCCTCGGGTTCGCTGATCAGAGTCAAACGATTGTCGTTTTCGTCGCGCAAGAAACCGGCTTGGATGGCAGCGGCACGGGTAGCAGCCTTGCCAGCGTCGTTCCAGATGGCTGGGACGGTCAGGTAATACTTTATATTTCTCTCCTCACGGGTGAACACCTCGCCGAGTGTCTTCTGTAGTGACTGCCGCATGGCTTGGCGGAGCTTAAACAGATAGTCTGCGGCGACATCGATTTCGGACTTGCCGGGCGGCAGGGGGGGCAGGTTGATGGGATCAATGTACGTGTTACCCGACATCATCAGCTGAAGCTTGAACCATTCTACTTTCTGCACACCAGGCTTAGGATAGCCGGTTGGGGCGAGGGCGTCAGCGATATCCGGGCCCCAGCCGACGACCTTCTGGAACTGATCATAATAAAGTACGGTAGGGATCTAGACGAATCAGTACGGAACCTGCACATAATCTACGGCACGCGAACAGCAGCACAAGCACAACAAACCTTCTGTTTTGTGTATGAGCCGGCACCAGGCCACTCAGTGATGATATCTTCCTTGACTTCGTTGCCAGTGATAAAGGCAAAAGCAACGCCAGAGAACGTGGTACCCTACAAGCTAGTATTAGCAACAACTACACCCTCAAACCCAGCCAGGGAAAACTCCTTACAAAGTCAATGCCCACAATTAGCTGGGCCTTCTTCTTGTTGTCACCATCGACCTCCGCGGCATTGTTGGTCCGGTTGTACGGGGCCACGGGGCCAACCACAGGCTGCGGGGCCGGCGGCGGGTAGCCAGCATATCCCGGAGGAGCAGTCGTAACCGGCGGAGCTCCCGGATGGACACCAGGATGTGGAGGAGGATGACCCATAACTGGCGGCGGATACCCAGCAACCGGAGGGGCGCCCGTAGTAATGGGCGGCGGGCCGCCGACCATCTGAGTCGGTGGAGCCCGAGTCGGGCCTGGATTCGTCAGAGGGCTCGTGCGGCCCAGAGGGCCCGGGGGGCCCGGCGGGTAGTTGGGCGTGTAGCTGGGGGGTCGCGCGCCAGCTCCTGGATGGTTCATTGGGACTGCTGCGGCAGGATCGGTCGGAGGGGGGATACCCGGGCGCGGGGCTGGGTTGTAGAGCTGCGGCGGCGGTATTTGGGGAGCACCCGGAGGAGGGGTCTGGCTCTGGGACGAGACGCTGGGCCGCGAATCGTTGTTGGAGGTAGTGGGAGGAGTGCTCGCCGGTTGTGATTGAGGTTGGATGGCGGCGTTGGATTTGCGTTTGCCGAAACCGAAGCCCTTGAGGCCGGACTTCAGAGAGCTCATAAGGAAAAAGTGGAAAAATTGGAAGCGGCCAAAAAGAAGAGGAGAAGGAGAGGAGACAGAAGAGCGGGAGAGGTAGCAGCTCAGGGCTCAGCCGTTCGCCGGCGGCGGGGGGGTAGGGCGTAGAGACGGCAGAGGAGGGGGTGTCAAGAACCAAGGGTGCGCGAATGCGACGCCTCAGAGGGGTCCAGGGTAAAGCAAGCCAGAGCCTGAAGAGGAAGACCTGGGAGCGGAGTATGTAGGGGATGGTAGCCTGGACGCAAGAGGCGAGAGGCTGTGGGCGGCGGCGGCGTACTGCAACCTGTAACCCGAGAATGGAATGCTTAGGTAAAGGTTCAAAGGCCACTGATGCCGGTGCTGGCGCAGGCTCTGGTGCAGAGGTGCTGACAAGGTATGGCCGCAAGACTGCGAGTCTGCGACTGGTTGACGGAACTAAGGCTGGAAAATCGGAGAACGGGAACGGGGGGAGGATTGGGTGCTTGTTGCGACAGCGACAGACAAGGCTACGTGCCCAGACTCTGGGCAGACGTCCGACTCAGGTCAGCTCCAAGCAGCGTCAGGCGCGATTGCAGTGGGGACGCAGGGCAGTGATGAGCACTAGAGATCTCTGTCGATGGAGAACGCAACGAGGGAGAGCTGGGTTCGAGTGTCGATGGGACGTGAATTCAAGCAGTTGGAGGGAGACACCGCAGACGGTGCAGGGTTGCCGGGTGGCCAGGAAGGTGAGCGCAAAGAGAAGACACTAGGACAAACGGTTGCTGGCAGGAAGGCACAGAAGAGGTGAGGTTGCCTCGATTTGACTGGACGACGAGACTGCTGACTGGCGAGCGGAAGGTCCCTGATGATCTAGTGGATTCCTCCAGCTCATGCTGCGTCTTGTGCTGCGGCTGGCGGCGGGGAGAGGGGCTCAAATCCCACCTTGCCTGGCTGCGTCCAAAGCCAAGACTGGGCTGGGCTGGGCTGGGCCGCCTACGGTCTGCTTCCGAGCCGGCTCGTCTGAACTGTCTGAACTTAAATTATGAATGGACTCGGCTCTGCCGGTGCTGTCTAGGTTGATGCTTGCAATGCTTGTTGATGGCGATGCGATCTCTGAATTTGAAATCTGGAGCGGTCAACGGTCACGGTCAGCGCGGGAATGGCGCTCGCAATGATGCTCCGTTTTTTTTGTATGTGTGTGGTATCTGCAGCCGGCACGTTCCCGCATGCTAACCCGACCCTGGAATGGCCAAGCTTGTAAGGGGGGGTTATAAGGCTGAGCCGCTCGTTTTGGATAACGTTTAGCAGACGCGGGGGAGGGGAATGGAACCACGTTGTTGAAATTGGTTATGGTCCCAGCCAGGGTCTAAGAATTTCTAACCTTTCCGCAACGGCTGGCGCAGATACAATATTGCTCTGCTGCGCTAAGTATCCTGTGCCACTACAAGTTCAGACGTTTCTTACACAGTAATGCTAACACGATCCGCGATAGCAGCACATCAGCACATGTTTAACCTGGTGAGCCATTGAGATACACCATCAACCCACAAAACACAGAATCCGATACCACCCGGCCATAATGGTATCTAGTTCTAATAAGGCCCTTGATACGTACATCATGAGGTCTAAGACTCGATGCAATTCACGCCATCCTCAAGGGTTGGGCGGTGCTTAACTTGGAGCACCAGAATCATCGCCACACGCTTGCTCTGTATTAGCACCTCCACATCGTTTAAACTGTGGATCCACTCGGCACGCTGGACTGAGTCCAGCCTCCCAAGCTTCTGACATGCAGGGACTTGAGCTTCTCTGGACTAGCCGAATCCAACAGCCTACCACATCCCAAACAAGTTTTTCAGGACTGCTAGCTTCTACAACTGAATTCATGTAGCTTCCTATGTTTTCAAATGATGACCCGACTCAAAATACTTGAAAGTCAGGCACTTGACTGTCTGGGCTGGGGGAAATGATGTAGATGGAGGGGTTTCTTGCAGCCTGCAGGGGCCAGAGCCGGGGAGCTGGGTGACACAAACGAACCGCTGCCGCGGTGGAATCATCTTACGCTCCGTTTCTCTGGCTTACTTATCTGTCCCAACAAACTTTGATTTTGCTTCCACAAACGGACCCCTCGAGATGAAGGATTCATGTGCTCGCAACGCAGGCCACCGGAGGAGCTTTGTACTTAAATGGCAACTTCCGAGTTTTGTGTTGATTTTTCTCTCTGAACCAAACACCTCAGCGCCGGTATCCCCAGTGGCAGCCCGCTTTTCTTACTAACGATCCTTCCGGGTCCCATTCAAAACAGCGGAATGCAGTTCTCTTGGGCACTTACGCCAGGCGCCTGACCTATGCCGAAACAGGCCAGTAGGACGGGATGCTGCCGTTGGCGCTTCCGTAGGACCTCTCGTAGGACTTTCTGGCCGTTCTGCTGCTGGTCTGTGGCTGAGACCTGAGGCGCTGAGTTTAGCCGCTGGGCTCCACCAATCAAAATGCATACTATTCTGCACGTCTGATTGGCTGTCTCGAGCTTTGATCCTATGGCAAATTTCCTCCGCGTTATGTCGTCAACCCCCACGAGTCCAAGGTTCATGATGTCCGTTGTTATGGAACCTCGACCCCTCATACCGTAGGCATTATCTAATAATGCAATTTCGTCCAATTTTACTTCTCTCTTGATGTGAAATATTGTGTATAATGCTTCTATCTGCTGTCTGCAGGTTACCAAAAAATCGAGGATGTAAATATTAATTGCCTTCGAAAGAGAATGTTGTGGTATTGGGACCAACAGAATCTTCCCAATGTTTGAGCGATTCGAGGAATGCATATAGAACCAGTGACATTGTGATTTGCCGTTGACCTTCCACATGGTGTATTTTATCTTCTTATGGTTTCCAGTTGCAGTCACCAAGTATCTGGGTTCACGTGTCGTATCACGGGTTTTTGCCCTTTAGTGCCCGGTGCGGAAACTCGCGGGTCCTATTCTATCCGCCAGCGAGGACGGCGGGTTGCTCATAACCCGAGCCTGTTGGGCGCGATCGACAGATTGGCGGCGATGAGTGTGACGATACGGATCCGCCAGCTGCACACCCCGATCTTCAATTGACGGGGTTTTCAGCTCATCCGTGCACCCCATGCGCTTGACCCTCCGCTGCCGAAGTCCCGCTGCCGAAGTCCCGCTGCCGAAGTCCCGGGCTCCATGCCGCGAACGTCGCCGTTTTAGCTCGGTGATGTTGCTACCCGGTGATTTTCCCCGAACCTGTGCTCATCTTAACGTCCATATCTCTCCCATTCATGGTCTGTTGGAATTCTCCCACTTCCCAGGAATGTCTCTCGTCTCTCACATTACGACTCTCCCTCTTTATTAAGCTTACTATAATTGAAGATCTGGGCCTCGAGTTGACTCTGTTCAGCATCTCTTTAGCAGAGCTAGCTCAACCCAGTTGTCGAATATCCTTTGTCCAAGCTCTTAAGAAAGTGCGGATGTAGTTTTCTTACCAGCCTGTTGGTATAGGCCAACTCGGGATGGGTGCCAGTTTGTCAATACCGTTGAGGACCTGCGAACGGGTCGCCTCGTTTGTGCGAGATTCTCTACGAGCCTTGTTGGAGAGCTTTCTAATAGTTCTCAATGCAGAGCTAACTTGATACAGACCGCGTACTTTGGTTTGTCAAAGTCAGCTAAACCTTTACAACACTATCTTTCAACGAGCTCTCGAAGTGGATCAGTTCAAGGACTGAACGTTATGGTCCTCCAATGTTCAAAGTGGCTCAGCATACGACCTAAATGCTTTCAAATCTCCAATCAAGGGACTTTTCTCAACTCTCTATCCCTCTTCCTTCCCATTCGGTCATCCTACATCCAAGCATTCTTGGAGCTGCTACAGAATCGTAGCAGCAAGCTAGAAAAACTCGCAGATTCATCTGTCTAGCCCCAATAGCTCCGGTGACTACGCTAATCAAATTCAATCTTGAATCATTGTCTGGGGTAAAGGCAACCGGTTGTTGGATGTTTAGCTTGATCAACAAGTGTCTGCTCTCTCTCCTCAGACCTCGGATACTTGGAGATATTGCCAAGCCGACGGTAACATGCTCTTCCAGGTAACTTATTTGCATCGATATTATTGCAGGGTGACCACTAGCATAGCCCAGAGCTCATAGCTTTTGGACGGCCAGCGAAGCTTAAGAGTTAGCTACATATAGTGTTCCTTGGTGCCGGTATCTGACCTCGGCCGCATCCGAGGTGAGAACCCCGCGATGGACCCCCGCGGGCAGCGACGGTGAACCCCAATTCCCCCCAAACCCCACATCCAAATTCGTACTAGGTTCGTGGACATAACTTGACGACACGTGGTGCTCGTGACGCGAAGCCCCAAATGAACTTTCTGCTCATTGAAGCTTACAAGTGTCTTTTTTCAACAGAAACTCACCGGCCGCTCTGCGTCTCCTGCTGGCGGGTGAGGCTTGTTACATCCATAGAAAAGGCGGGAGCCCAGTTCTTTCGAGGTTTCTGGGCAGCCAAGACACCACGGTATCTTGCGCAATCAATCTGCGAAGATTGAACCTTGGGAAGTACACTTGGCGAGGGCAACGTCACTCGTGTCTCTTGCAGGTTGTTCAGAAGCACGGCTTCGGCCCCGTGTGCTACGTTCCGGCTCCCATCTGCGGCCTTGTGCATCGTGATCTCCCTTGGTTAATTCCTGGCGAGGAAGAGAAGGGGACACGAAAAGGGCCATAGCAAAAGTTTGCTGCAGGGGTATGAGACCCCGGTAATAAGGTGGAAGGTGCGTTCAGCCAGGAAGAGTACACACGAGTATCCAGAGATTTCCAAGACTCAAAAATTGCTTGAAGAGAAGCTGAACCCCAATTCCTATCTGCTGAGAGCCGCCAGATCCGAGCCTGGAACCCCCAACTTGCCCCCTGGATCCATGACATGGAATGCTGGTGCGCAACGCTAGACACCGCCGGTTTCTCTGACCATTGACTCCATCGATGGCCCATTGACGCTTGACAGCTTCGACGACCATATTCACAGCGGCGGCACTTGGATGAATTCGCAGTTCATCACGCAGCCACCGAACTAACCCCTATCGAATCTGCTGGCTCGAGCATTCCATCACCGTTCTAGCACAACTACGGCAACATTCTCCGGAGCTCGCATCGACCCTTCGGCGCGCAGTCACGCACCGTTCACACGACCTGGAAGTCTGATAAGGGCATAGAGCGCTAATTTTGAAGAGGGGGGTCAGCAGCTCCGAGGCCGCATCGGCAGGCTTGCACATCGACCCTAGAACGTTCCCAAGCGACCCCAGAGCGATTCAGAAGCTGGTGTTGGAGAGCGACTCTATTGGATCATTGGCATCCCAATCCGGGCCGTTTCCTCAGGGCTAGCAGGCTGCCGAGCAGACGCAGTTGCAGGTTGCCCCACTCTTGGCTGCGAGCGGCGGCGGCCGCTCGGGCAGAAGCCGCAGAACGGCCAGAGCTTCTAAGCTGTCCAGGGCGTGGGAAAGCTGCCAGCGCCAGGGCGCCACCGGAGTGACTACGCAGGACCCCACCATCGCGAGAAGCTCGATCAAGCGACGACAGACCGCGTCCGGGAGCCTTCCTCAGCAGCCGCCAAAACGTCATCCCAAAAGCTAAAAGGCGCCTCTTGGCGCGTTGCCCCCGGCTCCTCGCAGGGTGCCGCTGAGAGCCCGGAGACAGCGAGAAAAAAATCATCACTCTCTTTGCGCCGCCACTGGGGTTGTTTCTCGCCTTCATTGAGCACCATCCTGTGTCTCTGCTCTGCAGCTGTTATTGTAGTCACCATCGTAAGTGCCTGTAACCTGTGTGGCTTAGAACTTTTTTTTTTGGCTCTGTCATGGCTTTCCTGTCGCGGATGGAATCCAAGGGTATAGACTTTGGCTTTTCGAGCGGAGGGTCCCAGGGCGTGGAGAAGTGAGCCCGGCAGCTCTTTGCGTGCCGTCCCCAGAGACAGGGACTTTGGTGCCCCGCAATCGCCCTAGCTGGTCTATTGCCCCTCCATAAGCTCCACAACTTCCACACCCCCCACCAACAACACCCCCTCGCACCCCAATTACAATACTCCGGACTTCTTTCAGAAAACGTAGGGACTAGCTTGCTAAATCTACGCGAAACCCTACTTCAGCTCGCCCAATTCTTCTTTCCGACCACCAACTTTCGCTCCGATTTCCTCAACTACTCGCGCATCTCCTTTACACGCTCTCCACGTTTTCCACGTCTGTCCGAACTCTCTCAATTTTCCCATCGCCAACGCGCCTCGCACTCTCCGGCCGCGAGCACTGATAACATTCTTCGCGTCTGCGAAAACCCGTCGCCATTTCCCACGAGTGCGCCTGTGTCGAAACCGCTCACCATGTCACTCGAGGCCGAGACGAAGTCTGTTGTCGCTCAGTTCGACTTTACGGACGAGCAGGTCAACCAGGGCGTCAAGGAATTCATCCGCCAGATGGGTACGTATTTCTTCCGTGTTTGCCTGCCATTCCCTCATATCAACCAACTTTCCTGCGACCATAAAGGGCGTTTTCTAACCGTCGCGACTTGCTTTCTAGAGGAGGGCCTGGAGAAGGATGGAACAAGCCTGAGCCAGATTCCCACCTACGTTACGGCCGTGCCCAATGGCACTGAAAAGGTTGGTTTGATAGTCGCGCGATGCCTCTGTCACCCCCACGACTCGATCAACTGACTGGTCGTGTTCACATGACAGGGCCTGTATATGGCTGTTGACCTTGGCGGTACCAATTTCCGTGTCTGCTCGATCAAGCTTAATGGTGACAGCACCTTCAACCTCGCTTATAGCAAGGTGGCCATTCCCAAGGAGCTCATGGTGGCCAAGAAGGCCAGCGACCTCTTTGCGTTTCTGGCCCGGGAGATCAAGCACTTTCTTCAGCAGCACCATGGAGATCACTTCGAGCAGCATAGCCGCCGTCGCATGACCTCCAGCTCCCCTGATGGTTACAAGGATGAGCATGTCTTCCGCATGGGTTTCACTTTCAGCTTCCCCGTTCAGCAGATTGGTATCAACAAAGGCTACTTGATCCGCTGGACCAAGGGCTTCGACGTTCCCGACGCTATTGGCAAGGATGTGTGCGCCCTGCTGCAGGAGGAGATCGACAAACTGCATCTGCCCGTCAAGGTGGCTGCCTTGGTCAACGACACTGTCGGCACGCTCATGGCGCGCTCGTACACATCCCCCGGCAAGACCGGTGCCATCTTGGGTGCCATCTTCGGCACCGGCACCAATGGCGCTTACGTCGAGAAGTTGTCCAAGCTGAAGAAGCCCTTGGCTGGGGAGTATGATAACTCAACTGGCGAGATGGTCATCAACACCGAGTGGGGCTCGTTCGATAACCAGCTCAACGTGCTGCCTAACACTAAGTGGGATGATGCCCTCGACAAGAGTAGTGTTAACCCCGGCGTCCAAATGTACGAGAAGCGAGTCTCTGGCATGTTCCTCGGCGAGATTCTTCGCTTGGTTCTTGTCGACCTGATTAAGGATCCCAAGATCTCCCTCTTCCGCGATGAGAACTCGAACTCTAATGACTGGCATTCGACCACCACTATTGCTCAAAACTCCGGCATCTATCGCCAGTGGGGTCTCGATACTTCGATCATGTCAGTTGCTGCTGCTGACAACACCCCTGAGCTCTCGATCCTGCGGCAGGAGCTTGAGACTGTTCTTCAAATCTACGCTCCCTCACTTGAGGATGCCCAGGCCTTTAAGGCTATCGCCAACGCCATTGGTCGTCGTGCCGCTCGTCTCTCGGCTGTCGCCATCGCTGCCATCGTTCTCCACTCCGGCAAACTGTCTGACCCGGCCTACAAAGATGAGCCCATTGACATTGGTGTCGACGGAAGCCTAGTAGAGCATTACCCCTACTTCCGCGACATGATCTTCGAAGCTCTGCGCGCTGTCGAGGGCATTGGCGAGGAGGGCGCCAAGCGCATCCGCATTGGCATCGCCAAGGATGGCTCGGGTGTCGGCGCCGCCTTGATCGCGCTCATCGCGGCCGGCATGGAGAGCAAGTCGGCGGCTGCTACTGCTGCTACCGGCAAAAAGACCAACTCCCAGTTCATCGAGGAGCTGCGTTCCGAAGCTAGAAGCAAGGATATCCCGATGTTCACCATCAAGCGGGAGGACTCGGAGAAGGCAGAGACCACCACCGACGAGTAGAACTCGTTGATGATGAATCGCGAGCCTGCTCCTTGGCCGTTCCCCATTGACCAGGGCAATTGGTTTCAGCGCAAGATGCGTCGCTGCTGCAATATTATGTGAGATCGCAGCAACCTTACTTCCTCGAGAAAACCCGGAGCGGTCACCGGTTCGAGGACAGGAGTTTTTGACTTCCATGTGTGCTTTTCCATGACTTTACTTTTTTTTTCCTTCTTCGACATCGCCTTGTTTTTCTACCGTAGGCATTTTTTTTCTCGTGCGGTTTACGAAACAACGGGCGGACATGGTCGGTTTGGAATGAATTACGGAATAAATGATCGGTCGGGTGGCATGTTCTGTTCTGGCCGTTCGCCACTTACGAAAGGGAAGGGAATCTTATAGTGAAGGGAGGATCTCTGCCCAACAGTCACTTTTGTGGTCTGTTCTGAAGCCGATATAGTCACGGCTTCATGTTGCCCACTGCCCCTTTCATAGTTTTCTTTTCCTTGCTCAATCGGCTGTCATCTTCACTACTACTGGGTAGTCGATAGAAGGAACAGTGGGATTATTGAGTTTTCCCTTTTCTCTCTGTTCGGTCAGGAGAGAAAAGAAATAGCAAGGCACAGGATGGAATGGGATGATGATGGCTTTCGCTTGATCACGAGCTATCGTCGTCTTTCGAGAGCCAACACAGGGTCAGGCGTAACAGCTTTTTTTCTGCGGCTTGGCCTATGTTATGGTAGAATGATAGGGCTGGTTAGGAGATTTCTCTTTCAGCCGGCGAGATTAGGTAGCACGTACGTCATTAACGTACCTTAGGCAGTGACTTAATCAGGTCGCTTTGTGCGTCTTCTACTATCGCTGGTTCCCCCTATGCCATGCAGATGCGTATGTGAGGAGTGTGTTCGAGAGATCGGCCCTCCTAGCTGGCCGGTGTAGAAAGGTGAGGTGACCTTGGTAGAGTAGACCGTTGAGCCAGGAGTGTTTGGGGGGGGGGTTGTTGGGGAGGGATTCGGCCCGTTGGTTTCATCCAGGAAGCAGTTGTCAAACGTTCATCGACCCTTCCCGACAGGCGAAGGTTATGGCATCATTGGCCTCATGGGGAAACTTGCACATGCTTTCAACTTGTTGTCGTGAGGTTGTGCGGATGTCGGGTAACGACCCAAATTTATTATTAGCTTAAGGTATGCAAGTTTATGGTATGCTGTTGTCCTACTGTGAGGTACATAGTTCAAACCAACCCATCCATCCATCCCAAGGCCAGCCAGAAATCCCGGTCTAAGTTAGGTACCCTAACTAGACAGCACCCCAAGCGTTCTAGATTACTTCCCTACAGCGCTTCATCAATTTCTTTCTTGTCCTGTCCTCTCAGATGGCATGTATGCTTCCCGTACATTACTCACAAGCTCCATCTAGCCAAACAAACGCCGCCACTTCCATTCTCTCCTCTTAGCATAGGGAATCGACTAGGTAGGCAGGCATTTAATTCCCAAACGCCGCAGTAGGATAGTCCCGGCCCTTCCTCTTCTTCCCCGTCCCCGCAGCGGCACTAGCACTCCTTGAGCTCGCCCCAGACCCTGTGCCCGAACACCCATTTGCCGCTGGATCTGACGCAGCAGCAGCAGTAACTCGTCTTCCTCTTGCGGCAATGGGAGGGCCAGCGACCATGTCAGGAGGGATATCGTTCCATTCGGTTGGCGGGCGAGTGTTTTGGTAGGAGAGAGATGTTGCTGAGGAGGTTGAGGAGGAAGTTGAGCGCAGCGGTGGAGGGGGTCGGCTGGCGAGTGTAGAGGTGTTGCTTGTGGGAAGTTTGGAGCCCGTTGATGGTGGTGGTGGGGTCGAGGTGATCGGGGGGAGGTTGACCGCTGCGGCGAGCACTGATGTTGCGGTTGGGGCGATATCTACTGCCGGTTGTTGTTGAAGTTGTTGTTGTGGCTGAGGCTGAGGTTGCGACACAACATCATTCAGCTTCGCGCTCTCGCCAATGTGCCGTCTCACAATCCATGCTGTGTCCGGCCTCAGTTTGAAATAGTACCCCTTTACTGGCTCGCCCCCCTCTTTCACAAAACCCCTCGACTCATACCACTTCAATCCCTCCTCATTTTCTGTCCACACATGGGCATAAATCGTCCTTGCATCAATATTCGACCCAGCCGCGGGCAGCACCGCCGCAGTGGCAATGATATGATCCAATGCGGCCGCTGCAAGCCCAAGCGACCGGTACGGCGACAACAAAGCCAAACTCTGGATATAAATCGCATGAAACGGGGTATCCTTCGGCGCCTGTGGCGCACGCTGCGGCTGGTCAGCAGGCAACTGCACGGGTGTCGGCTCGCCAGTCACACTCAGAAAGGGGTTCGGCTCCAGCCGGCAGATCAGACCGCCGACCACCTTAGGCGGGTCGGCATTGGTGTCTTGCCAGAGAATTGCGCGCGAGAAGAGGCCTGATGCAAGCGGGTCCAGGGCCTTGTGGTAGAAGGAGTCGGGGTAGGCGACGGGCAGGAGCAGGGAGTTGATGCGTCGCAACGCGGGGATGTGTTCTTGCGCGAGGGGTACGATGCTTGCGCCAGAGGGGAGGGATGGCGGCGATGGAAGATTGGGGACGCCTCCTGGGGGTAAGCGCACCGAGATGGTTATGGGCTCGGGTGCGGCAGGTTGGTGAGAGGGAGGGGCAGGCGCGGGAGGAGGGACAGGCGGCGGTGTGGTGGTTTGAGTCGCGCGGTCTGTGGGAGGGGTTTTGGATGAGAATGTTGTGTTGTGCGTGGGCAGGCCACGCGGCTGAAAGAAGGACTTGATGGAGGCCTGGCGGGAGGCAGACATTGTGTCTGAAGGGACTGCAACGTTTTTGAAGGTAGGTATCTTAGTTACGGGTAAGTTGTAGAGCGAGGTGTGCTGGCGGGAGTCGTGGGTTCGGCGGGTTACCACATGAACGATAGGTCCGACCGCGGTCGTCGCAAGTAGGTGTTCAAGGGTTCCGGTTAAAGTTGGGGGGATTAAAAGGCGCGATCGCCCGGCGCAATAGAAGAAGCACTTTTTCTTATGCCCTTGGCCGCGTCCTTGACGCCTTTGTCCCCGAGTCGTTCACTTGTTGCCAGCCCGTGGGTTGCTGGCCAAAGTTGGCGATATCAGCCCCTGAGGCCCCTGCTGGTATCAGGGTTGGGGTCGGTAAAAGCTGTTGGCCTGCCCCACCATCCCTCCATTGTCCAGGGGCCACGGTCTACAGCTATGAGCCTTCCACGGACATGTCCAAGCGAACCGCGACTGTTCCGCGAACGGCGACGCGCCGGTTGGTCAGTGCCGTTGGAGGCTCGAGAGCACGAGGCTCGACACCAATGTTGTGCAGGATGCCTGACACCCACATGGGCAATCGCCACGAAGCTTCCTTCCAGAGCACTTATTGATCATGCTTGGTAATCTGCAAATTCTCAAATATTTTAGAATTACACCATCCTCCAGTTTCTTGGCCTATCATAGGAATTCAAGTATTTACAAAGGGCCTGAAGCGGCATCAATCGACAGACCCAAATCCCGAAAGATTCAGTGCAAAGCAGGCGTTGCGATGCGGGTCCGAGCCCTGGAAGACCTGATTGGTTGTCTTGGCTGTTGATGCCCGACTACTCCCACCGCCCTTTTTGATCCGGCAGAATTTACTCGATCCAGCTTGTCCGATCTGGCTATGCAACCACGATTCTTTCTGAGCATCACAAGAAGTGAATGGATGCTCCAAAGTGGGCTGATCGAAGTAATTGATTTTTCCTTCTATGCGATGTCATTATACCATTATTTCTGCTATTTTCGACCTTGAACTGAGGAGCTCGATTGGACCTTTTGACATGGCCAGTGCCAAACTGGAAGGCGGTCAGTGTAGCAAGTCCCCTGATGCTTCATGGTGGATCCACTGTCCGTCAATCCGTCAATGGGCCGCAATTGAATTGGTGAAAGTTGCAACGCCGCTCTCCACGCCCCCAGATTCCCCCAAACCTGAGCCGTGGCTTCGCTATTCAGGCGGTTGAGACAGCGTTCACCTCAATTTGAGAGCATCGTAGGCAATTGCCAGAGCTGCTATTCTGCGCAACCTATTGTATATTTGCATTCTGCGAACGCTCTCCCAACTATTGTTGTCGCCATTCGGACTTCCATTTGGGCACTTCGCATCTGACGACCATCAGCATTCTGGTCATCGGGCGGCAGCGCCAATAGCCAGTCGCCTGCGTTGTGTGCTGACTTTGCCCCAGACCAGCATTTACACAATACTCACCAACCCATCACGCATAGTCGCCTTCTACCATCTGTGCTCTCTTCTAATTCCCCCTTTATCTTTTTCTTTGATTCAACAGTCATCAGCCCTAGTTCCTGAACCAAGCAAACCCTGTGATCTGTCGACCGACTGCCCAATCCCCAGTTTCGCTGAAGCATCCACCAACCATCCTCTTTTGGGCGACGTTACTGCTTCATGCTTGCGACCTGTCCGCTTCACTCCACTTCTTTTCTGACCAACCCGTTTCTGTTACTGTCTTGCGCAGACAATGGCGTCAGAAAACGCTCCCGAGACGGGCAAGTGCGGCGTCATCGTCGCTCCCTCTGACGAGAGTCCTAAGGAGAGACTCGTAAGATTGCTGCTCTAGACTTTTGCTGTCGCTTACGCCAGAAAGCTAGCAGGAACTGACCCTTGCAGGCTCATGCCGTTCTTGATGACCTACTGTACAACATTCTTCATGATCTGCTGCTGAAGGTTCATCGCGACGAGAAAATCGCCCGTGCGAACACGGCTGCGATCAAGGTTGAGAAGCTTGCTCAGAACTCCGTCGACGGCGCAACCGATACCAAGCCAGATGTCGAGGTCGAAACCGAGGCTGCTGTCTACAAGGACGGCAAGGTTACCCTCAAGGGCAATCCCCTTAAGACGACCAAAGAGATCCTTTGTCCACGCTGCCATCTTCCGCGCCTTCTCTACCCGACCGATGGCAAAGGTGCGCGCAAGCCCGATCCCGGCGTCATATACTGCAAGAGACACCCGTACATCGAGAAGCCCGGCTATGATATCTACGGCCAGACTTGGGTTGCCCCCGGTCCGGGACGCGGCAAGAAGAAGCAGAAACCCGACCCGAACGATCCCAACTCGCCTATCACTGCCGACGTCAGCGCCAAGGACCGCCCTCCCAACGTTCTCAGCTTCCCCAGCGCTACCTGCTCCAAATGCAAGCGTTGCATTCTTGTTACTCGCTTGAACAATCACATGGGCGCCTGCATCGGCAACAGCGGCCGGACCGCTAGCCGGGCTGCTGCCCAAAAGATTAGCAATGGCAGCAATGTGGGTAGTCAGAACGATAACACTCCCCCCGGAAGTCAGAAGGGCACCCCGCTGCCGAGCAGCCGTGCGGCTAGTCCCCGCAAGCGCGATGCAGACGATATGGACAATGATGATGGCGATGAGGAGGATTCGTCTAAGCCCAAAAAGAAGGTCAAGGTTATCAACAAGAAGGTTATCATCAAGACCAACAAGAGTCCTGCCGGCACCCCCGGCTCCATTTCTGTCAAGAGCAAGGATAATAAGCCTAAGACCAGCTCCGGTCTCTCTGTTGAGCAGAAGCCCGATGAGCCAGCTACCGCCGACTCTGTCGTGGCCAAGCCTGACCCTTCGACCGTTCAGGTCGCCCCTAAGAAGACCATCAACCCCTCTTCAGGTACTTCTAAGAGCGCTTCCCCTGCGAAGAAGATTAAACTTGGTCCCGCAAAACCGTCTCTGCCCCCGCCGACGGCAGCCGCCGCGGCCGCTAAGAAAATCAAAAAGGAGAAGGACGAGAGCGAGTCTTCTGGCACCTTGTCGTCTCCTCTTCGCTGAGCTTGAGTAGTTTCAAACTTTTCTTCCGTGCAAATTGCGTTTAGGCTCGTACGTGCATGAATTGGTTTCTGCATCGGTCTAGGTCTGGGCGGCGTTTATGGGATTTAAGAACTCCACGAAAGACATGTGTCTCTGGTTTGCTGAGGGAACCAAAACTATGACTCGGCTACGGTAGGCGGAACGGCGTTGGGGGTGTCACTGGCATCACGGAGAGACCGGCGGGATCGTTGTATACAGGGGCCTGTATGATGGAGGCTTCCTTTCGGGTTGGCTCTGGATGATTTCTCTTCGTGGATACTTGAGGTATAGGCATGCTTGCTGCTGTCCTGTATGTACATAGCCCATGGGGCAGCATATCACGCCCTCTGGCGAAGACTTTGGAACGTCAACAATTGATATACATCATATCCCTTTCTTTCCCATATATTACATCTCTCTTGAATTAAACCAACTGCTTGTCGTCTTCCTCGCCCTCACCCACAACGTAAGCCCTTATGATCTTGATCTCCGTCTTAGGCCTGTCATCAGCATCTGTTGGCACCAGTCCCATACGCTGCAACACCCGGATACCCTTCTTCACCCGCCCGAAAATGGTATGCTTTCCATCCAGCCACGGCGTCGGTGCTAACGTAAGGAAGAACTGGCTGCCATTGGTGTTGGGTCCGGCATTGGCCATGCTGAGAATGCCCGCTCCCGTGTCTATCTCATATTACAACGTCAGCCTAAACTTCCCTTCTGTGCCAACAATCGGTAAACAAATAAAGAGAAGCGAGAATAAAAAAAAACGTACGCCTCAACCCAGGGTGAATCTCATCCTCAAACGTGTCGCCATAAATGCTGCGCCCGCCACGGCCTGTCCCTGTTGGGTCGCCGCCCTGCACCATGAAGTCTTTGATTACTCGGTGGAATATGGTCCCGTCGTAGTAGCCGCGAGCTGCCAGAGTCTTGAAGTTCTCACATGTGCGCGGTGCATGTTGGTTGTAGAGTTCTAGGATGATGGTTCCCTAAGGAAATGTTAGTAGTTGTGTAAGTAGGGAGCGCGGGATAAGAGTTTAGGTGAGGAGAGAGAGGATGAGGGTTGAGTGAACGGTGTGATAATGGGGAGGAGAAGGAGTGGACTCTAAAATTATGGGTACTTTTCTGATATCAATGATCATTCAAGTAACGTAATCAACATACCATTGTAGTCTCAAGGGCAACGTCAGTAGCCATGTTGATAATGGCTGGTTGAGTTAGTGAAAGTCTTGCTGATTGGCGGGGAAGAGCGCAGCTTCAAGCAATTCCTTATATGACATTAGTAAATTTAAGTTTTTTTTAGCTCTTTAAAAGTGTATACAAGACACTTACTGCTAGCTGATTATTAAATGTCGTGATTCACACAAAGTGGATGAATTGATGAGTGTATCTCAGAGTTGTTCTGGAAATGCTTAACGGCGCAGATTGGCGCGCGAAGGGGTTTACCTCCGTACACAGTGTGGTCAAGTCAGAGCCTGAAGTTCGCACAGTGAACGAACTTCGTCCTGTTCCTTAAGCTTTCTTCTGCCTTGAATAGGTCCCCTACCTTTCTCCTCTTACGTTAACAGTAGTTTTGCGAAGCTCTTTGATAAATATTATACTTTGCTTCCCAAAAGAACTGGAGCCCAAGTCTTATAACATCTCATCCTCGGATTTATCGATAACTGTTTGTGATCTCCCAGTTCTAGCAACTCCAAGATCTTCGTTTCTTTCTCTCTTGTTCCCTCCAACTGAAGCAGGGACTAAATCAATAGGAGCCTCGCTCTCAAAGTCTCTCATAGTCTTGTCCGCTCCACAGTTGTTGAGTAATACTCAACAAGTTCCAAGCTAGTAAGTTCAGCGGGCCGGTGCAGCACCATTCCGCCCCTTCTATCGAGATTCCAGATGCAACCAGGATCTGCTTCAATGAGAAGGACGTAAATATCTGGGTTGTCACTGTGAATTGCCCAGGATAGCGGGGTGCATCCTATATCGCAAACAGCTCTGGGATTCGCGCCATAATCCGATGGTCGTTTCAGTGTGATAAACATGTCCTTGTGGGTGACCTCATGAGTTCTCCTGACAGATCGGGCTCATCTATCATCGCTGCGGCAGATGCTCCAAGCTCAAATAGCTGCTTAACTTCGGCTACGTTGCGGTCATAACAAGCAATGAAAAGTTGGTCATCGAGGTTGTCCTACTCTTCCTTCAAAAGCTTCTTCGATCGCGGTGCTACTGGAGAACGTGCAGGTGCTTGGTACGTTTCAGGTATCACTGGAGCAACTGGCATAGATAATGGATGATGGCTCTCGGAATAGTCCTGGTGTAGCACGCCCTGTGTTGACACCGCTTGTATTGCTTTACCTGAGCAAGTGGTTGCTTAATTAGCGATGACACCTGAGCAACTGGTGCAACAATTTCCCTGACAATATCGGCCTTCACAACTTGCTAGACACCTGGTTGAGCCAGGATCTCTGGGTTTAATGGAAAGATTTTCCTCCCGACTGCAGGTATCTCTGCACAGAACGCTAGCTAACTTGCTGTTCTTCGTTCCAGGGGCTCTAACATGTATGAAAGATAATGTAGAATACGTAATTGAAAGTGGAGGGCTAACTGACCTTTCGTATTCTGTACAGCAATTGGTGCAGTATATATAGCTCTTCTCACGTGTTCCCAGATCACGAGAAAGCTTGACTACTTAGTCTAGACTTTGGTCGGTTGGACGCAAATGAGGGTCTAGTTGTAAGCATTGCTTGGTAAGGTTGCGAAGCTCCTCGAGATACTTTTGTGATATCTCTTTTGAGGGTTGAGGAAGGAAACGCCTTGGCACCTTTCAGTAAGAAAACGATCAAGATGGCCTCTCTGATCCTATTTTTTGACATTCTCTAACATATTCTTCGACACACATTGGAATTATGTAGTCAATTTCTGGAAACGGCACAAAAGGGGTCCGTCATGGAGACACCAGGATATTTTGCTCCAAAAACCCCGACGATTTCAGTGACTCCCGGATTTTCTGTTCGATCAAATCTAGCTATCAGTGTATTTGTGCAAGGAACCAATTGGATCCATACCATAACATATGTCACAGTCAGAGCCATAAGCTTTTGATTCAAACTCGTATCAAGTTTGTACAAGCTGCCTACCTTATCCTGTTGGGGCATGCCTTGCCACGTTGTCAGTACAACCGCTTGAAGGTCAGCTAAGAGCTTGTTTGTAATGGGCCACCGGAGCAACACTGTTTTGTTCTCCACCGAATTAACGTCATCCAAAAACCTGACTGAGAATCGAAGGCTTGACCCATCATTCTACGGCTTCAGATAACGATGGAGGATATCACGAGGGAAGAATGATGCCATGCCTGTTGCGATCTCGCAGCCATAATAAATAGCCAAAGCTGAAGCTGAGGGGGCAAAGTCAGCAACCATTCTTGCGGAGAGTCTTGCCGCCGACTTAGGGCCTAAGCATAGGGAGCGTAATTATATGTGTTTGTAGACATCGCGCGAAGTAACTCCAAAGATCTCCGCCTGCGTAGAGAACCCATCAAAGGTTATAATTACTCTGATCAAAGTCACAGCTTATGTCTCTTGACAGCAGAGCGATGTATCACACATCCCGGACCTGCTGAGTATTCACCTTGCCGCACCACATACATTACTGTACCATTGCCATGTTTACCATCTTTACACTTTCATGTCTTGCATACCTCCACCTGAAGATTCCAGCTGTCAGTAACAATAGCTTTGTCAAACGACACAGCTTCGCTCTTTGATTTACTTTTCCCCTGTCTCTTTCTTCCTAACTTTCGCTACCTCTCCAAACACGCCATTGCCCAGCTTTTGAACGATTTCGTAATTATATCTTTGCCATGAGTGCACCTGGCAACGATAGTGCCGATGCAGATACATTCTACGATTGAAGCGGCATGTCATCTATGATTTTCTTGAAAGACATACAGCAGATGGCGCTGGCATCTGGTCTTGGAGGCCGCTGGCACGACAGCAAATTCTAAGAGATGGCTGATATATCCAAAGTGCTAGAGACCTGTCATTGAATCTAACGTGATAGCAGGCAGAAGCTCCGTTAAGACAGTTTGAGACTCTGTCCCTCCATTAACAAAGCCCGCTGCAATGGGCCAAGACTTTTTTATCCCGGGTATAAGTGACCGGTCAATCTGTCTAGGTTTACACGGGAAAAGAGCTGCGCAGATAGGTAGGAAAGCAACCTGACTGTGCTGTGACACTTATTCGGCGTTTTCCATATAGAGTTATGTTATAATCAGAATCTATCGGGATCTGGGGGTGTAGCTTAGCGGATTGTTCAAACACCTCTGAGCCGTGCTATCAATCATCCGACATCTCCGTGTAATTGTTAAGGTTGCCAGGATGGTCATATGTGTCATTTCTCTTTCCATGCTAGCTCATGATAATACCCCCAGCATACTTGAATGACAATTAGAAGGCCCTTCCAGGCCATAGAAAACAGAAATCCCGAGTAAACTATGCAGTCTTTTCACCTTACACCGTGTGGGTAGATGCTAGAACAACCATAACTGGGCAGCTTCTCAGTCAAGTTTATCCCCTCTGAGGTACCTCGGATGCATGGTTCTTCTCGTTCCCGTCCTTCAATGCACTCCCGGCATGTGTCGTAGTCGCCGAATTCCTTGTCGTATGCGAAGCGGAATAGCTCTTGCATTTTGCTTCGCCTGCACTCTGTGCTTGGCCCAAAGCCGATAACGGGCAGTTCTGGAGAAGGCAGGGCGCAGCACTGGCACCGATGGCTGCTTTGCTTGGGCCACATTGACAGCTGATATCTGCGGGAGCGCATCCGACAGCACTCACGGCAGAGATGATGCAGGAGGTCTGGGTGTTGTAGTCGTCAGTTTGCAGAAGCAGAGTAATATGCATATACCCTTCTAGTTCGGTTGCCATACGGGGACTTACGGCACATGCTGGTTGACCAGAGAGATCTTGGGCCAATACAACTCCGGTCAGCGCAGGCACACACAATAAGGCGATCTTCATCTTGGCGTTATTTCAAGACACTTGCAGGTATATGATTGCAACGTGTTGATTTTCTGTGGGATCTGGTGCCAGTCAAGGATTCAAGTTTAAAGGTCGTGGACGATGTAAAACCGACGGCCAACTTTCGCTTTCCCTAGGGGTAACACCGCACAACTTACAACAGGAAAGTGCTTTTGACTCCAGAGAGCTAGAGGTATGTTTGGTATCCATTGTAAGTATCTCTTGAGGTTCTGGGGTGAACTGGAGTCAGGCAGCACTGACAATCAGAGGAGTGAACATAAGCTACTAAGGGAAGTACCTACCCTAGGCACACTACAGAGATGCTTACCTGCTGAAAGTCCTTCTCTTCTCTGAACTGCTGGCATTTCAAGCGAGGCAGGTACATCAACTCACCATACATTGGCTAGCCACCTCACCGAGAACAATGGTTTCAATAAACCATTGGATGTGCAGCTAACAAGATGGAACGATAAGACTTTTAGTGCAGACGAGGGTACGGCACGGAAAGTAGGACTCAACCTCGAACCATGATTCGGGAATCTGGCAACTCTGTCCCTGCCTATGGCACACGTTTCTCCTCTCCTTTACCCCTTGTGTCAGCAAACTTTCCAGGAACATGCTTGAGTCTTGATAAAGCGAGGCCAGAAAGGGATGAGGCTTAGACAAACATTGGTTGCCTTACATGATGAGGCGAAAAAAAGGGAATATATGGAGCGAAGATGCAGAAAATGCTGCGAATCAGAATATGGGATGCTAGAAGTAAGGAAGGGATGCGGTTGGGGTCGGAGGGGCGGTCCGGGGAAGCGAACCCGGGTTTTCTGCCGGATGGGGTCTAGTCTTCAGTATCAGAGAGTCGGTGTAGATATGCTTCCCGCTCCAGAGAAAAACACCAAAATTTGTAATCGATGCTCGAAACGCTTCATCGTGTTTGAGGACTACAAATTGGGGACCCTAGAGGCATAAAATGGACAGACACAAAAACTCATAAGGATAACCGAGGTAACAAATGAGCAAAAGGCAAAATAGGACTCCTCCGGGAAGGCTCGAACTTCCAACCTCCTGATTAACAGTCAGACGCGCTAGCCAATTGCGCCACAGAGGATCTCGTGACGCTCACTTCAATAACTTGGGATCATAACGACCCTCTCAGTTCACCACAAAGAAATTGAAAACACTTGGACGCTGATCATGACGTCCTCGTTGTTTGCACCAAAGCTCCAAGTTTCACACAATCAAATCGAATAAAAAGCGTCATTTTGAAATCGACCCACAGCACTAAGACCCTACAATTATCAAGCCCTACAACCATGACCTGACGTTCCAATAAACCGTCCATAGTCATTATCAATCATCAGTCATAAGCATGACTTCGTTTGCCATCATAATCCTGTGCCAGCCCTGACACCCATCCATTCATCCATCCAACCACATCTGCTTGGAATCATTACCGTCGTAAGACCCCCCTTATCTTGAAATGTTACACCATCCCCGCCCTTCAAATAAACCCCTTGGTCAAGCTCGGCACCCGACTAAGGCTGCTCTTCCGCTGCGGAATCTTGATATTCTCATCATTCACAAAGGTAACGGTCGGCCCATTGCGGCCGCGGACGCTACCCAGTACACTGCCAGCGACGGATCCGCCTGATATGCGTAGGTTCTTCCAGCCCTCAAGCTCGCGTTCCAGGCGGAGACACTTCTCACGTTCCTCACGCAACTCACGCTCGGCCCGGCGCAGTGATAGTTCGCTCTGGCTTTCGGATGCTTGCAGCTCCTCGATAGTCTTAAGCAGCTTGTCGACCTTGTCGCGTAGCCGCGTAATATCTTCGTTGAGCTGGGCGTTCTGCTTGTCCTTGCGTTCGACTTGGGCCTGCAGGTCTTTGACGATACGGTCCACGTTGCGCACCGACCGCTGCTCCTTTGTGCGCTCGTTCTCATGCTGCTCGAGCTGGGATTCGAGCTGGTGGAATATTAGCGTGCTGGCCACCATGGATAGTGGGATCAGTACCTCAGGAATCCAACTCACCTCTTGAATGCGCTTGTGAAGGAACTTTATATCGTTGCTGGCCGCCGAGAAACCCTTAGTTTCGAGATCAATAAATTTGAGCTGCATCTCGTTGAGCTGCTTCTCCAGCGCTGCCTTCTGTTTCTGCAGCTCTGCGCTGGCCTCCCTCTCAGCCACAATATCCTTCTGCATTTCCGCCGCCAAGGCCTCAGCACGTCGCATTTTCTCAACCGCCGCAGCAGCGATGTCCTCTTGCTGAGCAACAGCGGCCTTGAGCTCGAGAATTTCCTTGTCAATATTCGCAGCGTTTCGCATCGCGGGACTTTCACTCTTGGCCAGCGACTCGAGACCAGCCTTAGCCTCCTCCAGCCGAGACTCCAGGTTCCGCTTCTCACGCAGCAGGTTATCCCTTTCGGCAGTAATCTCATCCACAGACGTCCGCAGCTCCCGCACTTGCGACAGCAGTGACACAATCTTGCCCTGAGCCTCATTGTGCGCGCTAACTGCCTCGTCACGGGAAGCGACAACATCGGCAAGCGTCGCCTGCAGACGCGCCTTCTCCTTGGACCAAGTCGAGCTGTTGAGCACCTCGTCATCCCACTTGGAGCGCAGGTCCTCGAGTTCTTCACGCAGCCGCGTGATCTCGGCTTGTTTGAACAGCTTCTCCTCACGGGCAAGATCGAGTTCCTTGCTCAAAGCGGCAAACTCGGCCTGGTACTTCTTACGCAGCTGCTCCATGCTCGATTCCTTGTCCTCGATATCATTGGCCCGCTGATTGCGGTAATCTTCGAGTTCATGCTGTAGCCTCTTCTTGGCCTGCAGAGCCGCTTCCAGATCGGTCGATAAGTCTTCAACCTTCTCCTCAAGACGCTGAGTCTGTTGCTGAAGGTCCTCTATAGTTTCCTCTAGCCGCTTGCGCTCCGCCATCATTTCAGCACAGCTCTCCTCAGCCTCTTTGGCCTGCGACTTGGCGAACTGCTCAGCACGGGTTGCCTTGAGCACAGCAATCTCCGCTTGCTCAAGCTTGCTGAAGTACTCGTCGGCACGGCTCTTGTAGAGATTGAGACTGGCAGTGACATCGGCGAGCTTCGAAGACTCAGCATCCAAGCGGATTTGAAGATCGGCATATTCCTGCAGCAGCTGGTTCCGGCTGGCCGCTTCTTGGTCGCGGGCCAGGGTCATCTCCTGAAGGTCTGACCTAGCGTCACGGAGGTCCACCTCGAGTTGAGCGCGGTCATACCGGAGTTTCTCCAAGTGCCCTTTCAGATCAGCCAGCTCGGCAATGGCATCGTTGTGGCTGTTCAGGAGCTCACGGCGAGAATTCTCTTGGCTGTTGAGGAGGTCATAGAGCTCCTCATAGGATTTAGTCTGGATATCCCGTAGAGTGAGTTCGCCTTTGTGGAGGGCCTTCTCGAGCGCAGACACCTGCTGGGTCGACTTGTCGAGCATTGCATGCAGACGGGCGTTGGCCAGCTCCAGCTTCTGTAACCGGCTCTTGTCATCCATGTATGTCTCGGGCGGAGCCGACTTGGCCCTCTCAAGCTGGGCCTGCAAGTGCTTGTTCTGCATCTCTGCGAGCTGAAGCTGGTTCTGCAGCTGCTCAATCTCGGCCTTGAGATCCATATGATTGTTGAGGCTAACGATGTCCACAGTTTTGTCAGAAGGGATCGAGTCTTGCAGGATGTTGTCAAGTTCAGAGTTCGGTGTGGTTTTGCGGGCTGGAGTCGAAGTGCTATCATGGAGACGATCATTGAATCTCGTCCGCTTTTGCGTTGGCGAGGTGTTAAAGACATCCTTATTGATGGTTTCCTCGACAAGAGCTTTCCGAGTAGGAGACTCAGTTCGCGCTGCCTTCAACGCAGTCACCTCGGCCCTTAGGTCGGCCACCTGCGCCTCGGCATTTGCGCGAGCTGCTATCTGAACCTGAAGGTTTTGATGGAGATCCTCAATCTTCCTAACCAGATCGAAGTTCTTAGTAAGGAGCTTCTCATGAGTGCATTCGTTGTGCGACTGGATTGGCGGCGCCGAGTCGGGATCGACAGTTTTTAAAGCAGCCAACAACTGTCTTCTCAGCTCAGCAAGTTCCGCATCGCGAGCCTCAAGGGTTGATTGCAACGTGCGCACAGTGTTCTGGGCTTGGGTCCTGAGCTGACGTTCCGATTCGATAGTGCGATTGGCTTCAGCCAACTGAACGGTGAAGGTAGACTGGGCCTTCTCGGCACTCCGGCTGTTTTGTACCTCCCGGGCAACTTCGTGGTTGAGGTCTTCCAAGCTGAGCTGCAGTTTCTCAAGCCTCTTCTCCAAGGAAGCAATAGTGACCTGCGAATCGCCGAGTTGCTTGTTGAGCTTAGCATTTTGCTCCTCTAGCTTGGCCTTCTCGCGTTGCAATGCCTGGATCTGGGCACGGGATGCCTCACTAGCGCGAGAAGTTGACCGCGCAATCTCCAAACCCTTCTGCTGAAGCTTGTTAAGAAGGGCACGATTGTCATTTTCAGATGCGACCAGCCGACTCTTGACGGTATGAAGTTCGCGCTCAAGCCGTTCCTTCTCTTGATCGTTGCGGAGCCCGAATTCTCTAGATTCGATGATCACCTTGTTGAGGTCGTCAATTTCGCGGTTCAGCTTGGAGCATTCACCTTCGAACCAACGGAGCCGGTCATGTGCCGCATCGAGGTCCTTGCGCAGGCTTTCCTCACGTTCCCGGGCAATTTTGAAAGCAGCTCTCTCTCCCATAATCTCGGCTTCTCGACGGGCTTCCTCGGCCTGGATCATGGCAGCTCGGAGTTTACGAATCTCGTCCCGAGCCTCATCCCGCTCCCGTTCGGCCGTGGTCCGAGCATTGATGGTGCGGCGGAGAGTATCCTGTGCAGCATAGAGCTCTTTCTCGATGATGATTTTGGCCTCATTAAGGCGATCGTACTCCTCCTTCAGGGTGTTGTACTTGTGCTCCCCGAGCAACTGGACATCATCACGAGACTGGCGCTCTCTGCTGAGATCCTTCTGCGTCTGGTAAAGCTGCTCCTTCAAATCCTTAATCTGTGCCTCCAGGACCCGACGGTTTTGATCAGCCTGTGCGTCCTCAGAGAGGCGATCCTCGAGCAGACGCTTGGCATCCTCGGCTTCCCTCAACAGCTGCGCTTGCTCGGCCTTCATAGCTGCGAGCTCGGCTGAAACTTCGCGGAGCCGCTCGGTAGCCTTATCTCTCTCTGCCGTGAGATGCTTCTTCTCGTCCTCAAGGGTGCGACGCTCGGCCTCATACTTCTTATTGTCCGAGCGCAGAAGAGACAGCTCACTTTCTTTCTTACGGACCAGATCTTCGTAGTCGGTTGAGGTCTTGGACAGCTGTGCTAACTGTTGCTGGATCTCCCGGTTTTCTGCAGCAAGCTGTGAGTTCTTAGCCCGCGAGGCCTGCAGCTCCTTCTGGGCTGTCATCAGTTTGACCTCAAGGTCCTGATCCGTCTTAAGTAGTTTGGTCTCCAGATCGCGAACCTTGCGGTCCTTAAGCGCAAGCTGGCTCTGCAGCATCTTGATCTCCGCCTGCAAAGCGGCTTCTTGCTCGCTGCGCTCCGACTGGCTCTTCGTAATGTCATCAATAGCACGTTCAAGGTCGGCCACACGAGCCACAAGCTCATTCTTCTCCTTTTCTAGGCGCGCAATGAGACCTGCTGCCTGGTCAAGCTGGACGCGATAGCGCTCCACATCGGCTTCAGCCCGCTTCTTGGCCTCGAGGAGGGCGTCGAGCTGCTCTTCGAGCTTCTCCTGGTCCTCTAATGCACCAGCAAGCTTATCTTCAAGCTCCGCTTCGCGTAGCTGTAGCCGCTTGAATATTTCTTCCTTGTCAAGAGCCAGGGCGCGTTCGCTTTCAAGGGTTTGTTGAATGCGCATGAGTTCAGCATGGACGTTACGGCGCTCCTCTTCAAGCCTCTGGCGAACTTCAAGCTCTTTTGCCATCTTCTCGTTGAGCTGCTTGATCATCTCATCGCGTTTCTTGACTTCGGCTGCTGTGCGCGTCGCACCTAGCAGTGGCCTCATCCTAAGAAGCAGCTGCCACCAGGGGTTGTCGCAGAGCTTCAGGTAGACTTGGAAGTTCCGCTGTATGACTCTGGTTGCCTCGGCGCGGTACAGTCTCTTGTTCGCCAGTCGGCGTGCCATGTAGCCACGCGCAACGGCTTGGAACTTGGTCATGATTTCAGTGATCAATGCATCTCGCTTTTCTTCGAGCTCGGCAAGGACACCGGCCCGGAAGAATACCTTGGTCAGACCAATGCGGTAAAGGGATTTGTCCAGGCCGAACGTGTCCAACATGATCCGAGCAGCCTCTTGACCGTCCAGAATACCTTTTGGCATGTCTCTGCACAAGACCTCATACCGCTGGCGGAACTCGGAGAAAGGTAACCTGTTGGGGAAACCGGTTCGCGCAATTCTGATGCCTTCAAGCACACCGTTGCAGCGAAGCTGGTCCAAGACCAACGGGCCAACCCATTGTTTCGGCTTTTTGGCGTGGTTCGGCAGGATACACCGAACGAAGTGAGGATGTGTCATATGGAGTTGAGTCATGAGGCTTGAGAGCTGCTCCTTGTGCCTTTGAGCGACCGTCCGGAACAGACCCTTCTTGATCCTGCTCCGCATGCCGCCCGTCTCATCGTCCTGGTCCGCGCAATCGGCAAAGAGGTTTGCGATATGTGGATCGGTCGAAGCAGCCAGCAACCGGGTGAGGTTGTCGTTCAGAGGGTCCTTGTTCTTCTCCAGCCAGCCTTCAGTGTTGTACTCGACCTCGGCCGCATAGTGTGTGAGAATGAATCCCTGGCCCAACCGAGATGGCCGATACTTCGGTGACTTCTTATCCCACAACGAGTTCAGCTTCTCGGTGAAGGACTTGTCGGTAGCCTTGGGCATAACGCAGTCCTCATCGAGGCAGGAGAAGATACCGATGGGATTCGAGAGCTCAATCAAGTCAATGGTTGGCTGCAGATCCTTGCCAAAATCGATAAACTTCCAGTCGATCTTCTCCCTGGCATATTCTTCCTGCTCCAACACAAACATGTGGTGGTTGAAGAACTGCTGGAGCTTCTCATTGGTGTAATTGATACAAAGCTGCTCAAAGCTGTTGTGCTCGAAGATCTCGAAACCAGCGATATCCAACACACCGATGAACCGAGTATCATCGAGACCCATGCCTGGGCGATCGAGTTGCCGGTTGATGCGAGTGACGAGGTCGCCGAAACCCCGCTCGTAAATACCTTTTGCCAGGGCATCGAGACTGAAGCGGACTTGCTCCGGCGTTTGAACCTTTTCGACCCATTCTCTGCCAGCCTTCACCTTGGGGTGAAGCAACCCGCGCAGGAAGGGCTCGAGCGGTACACCCAGCAGATTGCACACTTTCTTAGCCACATCCGTACCCTCAGGAGTGAGGCGAGCCTGATCAGCAGACCGGCTTTCCTTGGCCACTGTGATGTTCCCAAGATGCAGGACAGCGGCAACAGTGCGCAGGATAGCAGATTGCTCTTCCTGCGTAAAGCCCATAACCGAGAAAGCCTCCATAAGAGATTCCCACTCATCCCGGTCGGACACGCCAATGATGCTGTCCTGCCCTTCCTTTGTGTAAGCAAAATCCTCAATGCTGAGACCATCCAGAAGCAGTTCCCTTTTCAGCCTAGAATCCGCGCCCTTAAGGAGCTGGTAAAAGATGTGGTAGTTACGCTCTTGAGGGTTGATGCGCACGACGCGGGACTTCTCTAGAAGGTACCAGTCAATGTATGCGCCGACGATGGCCCCATTGCGGTTGAACTCGATCCGAATAAACTTGCCAAATCGCGACGAGTTGTTATTTCGGACCGTTTGAGCGTTACCGAATGCCTCGAGAATCGGGTTTGCTCTAAGAATCTGGGCTGAAAGATTGGAATGCAGCTGCCCGCGCGCTCTCACAGGGGACTGGGGATTCGCAACAGCAGCCAAGTACTGAATGACCTTTTTGGTGTTCTCTGTCTTGCCAGCACCCGACTCGCCCGTGACCAGGATACTCTGATTCTCGTTCTCATCTACCAGATTACGGAAGGCCTCATCGGCGATGGCGAAGATGTGGGGTTTGTTTTCTTCCCTCCCACGACCCTTGTACATATTAATGTATTCATTTGTGTAAATGGGGAGGGGAGTGTAAGGGTTGACCGTCACCAAGAACAGGCCAGAGTAGGTGTATATCAAGTCTGCCATATATCTGGTGTGAAGATTATGGACGACGGAGGCCTCGTTCAAGTGTGTCAGCTCGGCCATATCGTTCGCCTTGTCGAACTTTGCCGGGTTAACTTTGTCGACGCTCTCAGCGTCCACCTCTCGTTGCTGTTCCCCTTGTCAGCAGAATTGGATCCTTACAATGGGTGCTCTGTCCCAGTAGGCAATACTGACCGAGCCGTCATCGCATTGAACCAGTATCTTGTTCTCCGGCAGCTCCTCCACCACCCATCCCTTGATGAAGGCTTTCTCTGGATCCTTAAGCCAGACATACTTCTTGCCGGAGAAATCGCTCTCGCCCTCTATGCCATTGACGATATCTGTTGGTTTGCGCAGGTCTTCTGTCTTGATGAAGGATGGCGCAAACGTGGTGGAGGCCGATGTCGGCTCCCGCGTGAGGCTACGGTTAGCAGAATGAATGCTGCGCAGAGACCCTAGCTGAGATGCTAGCTGAGGAGTCGAGGAAACATGGTGGAGGGACTGTGTCCGAGCATGCGAGGGCGGAGAGGGAGCTGCTTGCGAGATCGACGCAGAGGAAGACCCGAGAAAAGACTTGGGGCGGCCAACACCACTCGGACCGGCCGAAGGCGGCACATTGTTCCTAGTAAAGGGGTTGTTGCGAACTGACATGGCGCGGTGTGATGTAGAGAGAGGTCTTAGGAAGACTGGAGGGTCATGGAGCAATTGTAAATGGCGTCGCCAGCTCCTAGGTAATGGGTATCATGGAACACTGTCGTAATGCTGCTGCTGTTGCTGATCAAAGGCGAGCCCATATAAACACATTCAGGTAGGAGAATTGGTTGAAGGAGGGGTAATCAACAAAACAGGTGGAGGAACAGCAAATAATGACAGTGAGAGACAAAGTCAAGACCAAAACAACTTAAGCGCAAAAGCCAGAGTGCTTGGGGCTTTGGTTCTGTCTGACACAGCCAATTCCTGTCTTGACTGCTGGAGGAAATGAACTGTGAGGGTCTGAATGTCTAAATGGATGTAGGGACCAGGGAGCAGGGTGATGGAGCTTGAAGGGCTTAACACTGCCGCATCGCGCTTGTGATATGGTTGGGTGTCGGTTGCCCCGAACATCAAGTAAACACCATTGGGCAGGTCCGGTCATTGGCGCCACATCTGCCGCGGTCGCACTCACCGCGTAGCTGAAGCTGGCCCCACTCATGGTCCGTGCGTATGCGATTTTGCAAATCGAGACTAGTGTGGTCCCTCAAGGCTGCACTTTTCGACCTCAGCCGGACCCAAAACGCGTTCCCATTTGTTCATCAGTCCAGCTGCCCTGCATCATCCATCCATCGGCTGGGTTAAGCCTTCAAAGCACCACATATTTGCAGATCAAAAGACAGAATCCGGCCATCTGAAACTTCAGCAAACATAGATACCGTTGCTGACATCACAATTCACGACCATCATCCTCGCGCTCACAGCGCATCACCAACCCAGTAAATTCTGTCGATTTAAGGCTACGCGTCACCTTCTGCTGCAGGGATTTTCTGCGTCTGCTTTGTAACACCACCACCCGAGGCGAATTCTTGGGGATACCCTCGTGCTCTACCCTGTCACCGAAGTTTGTAATCCTCGAGAGACCCACGCAACGTTCATCGGACTCGAAATGCTTCGATTCTAGCACCAGCATCCAGAGAACCAATTTTAAGATGTCTCAATATCCGCCGCCACCATCTTTCGGCTATGGCCTTCCTCAGCAGGGCCAGCAGTCTTCTCAACCAGCTTTCCCTCACAATCCCTATGTTTACCCTGGCTACCACGCTTCGCCCTATCCTTCTGCATTCGCTTCTCCTGCTCAGCCGTTTACTCAACAGCCTGTACAGGTGTCGCAAGCATCGCAAGCATTACAGGCGTCCTTCGCTTATAATGCGACTCACATTCCAGGACTTGGAATGGCAAATGCCCCGCATGGAGTTGCGGCATTCAACCCTTGGACTCAGGCTGCCCCGATTCCTCCTCCTGTGACGAGTACTTCAACTGCTCAAGCTTCTCCATCGACTTCGTTTATCTCTCAACAGTCCGAAACCATGCAATCAGCACCAGCGGTCAGTGCACTAAGCAACCAGCCCGCGAAGCCTTCCAACCCAGCTACACCTGTGCCGCCAGTGTCGACCAGTCGTATTGCTTACGAGGTTGAGATCGAAGAGGGCGAACTGAGTGAAGGCCAGTTTGAGGATTTGTACGAGCCTCAAGAATCTGGTCCCAAGCCTACACAATCTACCCCCAAGCTGTCTCGGACAGTTAATCCAAGCCAGCCGACGAGCGCTGTGGACACTCCCGATGGCGGCTTCTATTCCTCCTCTGATGAAGATGATGGACCCAAAGCTGCAGAGCTTGCTGCTGAAAGTATGATTCTCTCCTTGTCACAGTCGATCACAAGAGACACATACTTACCAACAAATAATAGATCGTGATCGGTCAGCGTCCTATTCCCCATTCCTTTCTCCGCGCGAGGGCAGCCGAGCTTCAACCTCTCAACCTCCTCTTATCAAAGAGACTGTAGCGAACGGGAACCATGCTGCTCCAAGCGGGGAAGCTTGTGAGTCCTGGAATGCGAAACACAACTCACAGCCGTCTGTAAACTTTTCTGAGAGTCAATCTGGTCAGAATGCTCCCGCTACCTACTTGAACTCTTTTGGGTCCTTGCAAGAAGCCAGAAAAGCAGCTCAGAAGGCGCTTTTAAGGCTTCGGCCATTGGGCCTCAGTTTCAAAACTTACATCGAGGAAGGATTTGACGAGCAAGTCATCCGAAACCTCTTTCGCGACCTCCAATTTAAAACGGATGAGGATTTGACAGGTGTTCAGCCCACTCCTGCCCAGCAGCAAAATGAGGGTTCGAAGGCGACAAAGCCCGGTCAGGCTGTCGCAACACTGCAACCAACTTTTGGTTCCAAGGTTGCTACCGCACAACAGACACAGGATCAGGCTACGAAGGGCGAAGAACGAAAGGATCGCATTGCGCGTCTTCTCGCAGAAAAGGCTGCGAAAGGCTCTGCGAAATCGGTCACAGCATCGCCGTCGGCACCAGTCAAGCCTACTACCGCAGAAACCAAACCCCAAACGCAACAAGGATCCATGCCAACTGCTACACCGCCTACTGGCCCCAAAGGTAGGGTCTGGGGCGAGAAAGAACGAATCCTTCAGCAGAAGATCCTTGCGCTGCAGAAGTCTCGAGAAGCTCAAGCAGCTCAGAAGTCTACTCCTAGCAAAGCTGAACCTGCGCCCGCTCAAGGAAGTCAGAACGGATCCCCTGTCCCTCCGCAGCAATGGCCAAATGCTCCCAGCGGCCCATCTTCCACGACTATTCCTACCGGTCCCCGTGCCAGTTCTGCTCAGAGCCTGGTTGGTATCCAAACTGCGCCGGCGCCGTCCCAAGCTCCTCCTTCTCTTCCTGGTCTGGCCACCCCCACCAACACCCAGCCCAATCCGGCTGCTCAGCGCAAGCGTCCTGTTGCAGCAGACTTCGTGGACTACTCGGCCTCATCCAAGCGTCCCTATGGGCACGTGCGCAACGACAACTCGTTCATCATCGACGTAAGCGATGCTTCTGATGACGAGGAGATGGATATGGATATGGGTTCTCCGGTCGAAGAGGCACCGCCCTCACAACCTGTTGCCAACCGCGGCCCATCTATGCGCGAATTCCCCCCTCGTACAGAGACCTTCACTCACCGGCAAATTTCGAGCCCTGTTCCATCCCTCACTCCTTCCGGTTTGAATAACAAGCGGCGCGAGACCGAACTGGACCTAAAAGAAAAGGCCATTCAGGAAATGAAGAAGAAGATTGCCCTTGCAGAGGCCAGACGCAAGGCCAAGCAGGCTGTTAGTGGCTCTGCTACGCCAAACCAAGTCGGTGTGGGCACACCGTCGTCTGAGAAGACGTCGGAGTCGTCTTCAACAAGCCTCTCCAAGTCTTCCGATGCTGCCAAAGTCGATTCTGAGCAACAAGTGGACCGTCGGGGTCAGATTAGGAACATTGACCTCCCGCGTGTCGAGTCATCCCTCGAGGAGAAGCTTCGTAGGCTGAGGCAACTACGCGAGGAGGAGGCTCAGCTGCAAGCTGAAATTAATAAAGCACTTGCCGAAAAGAAGCAGTTGGCAGATGAGCTAGAGCATCTCGAAAAGCGCCGTGAGGCTACCCCTCAATTGACTACCTCTGAGTCATCAGTGGATTCAGGTAGTTCTTTTTCCAATTCCATCATGTCGACAAGCACGACACATCCACTAACATGTAGCAGGTTTAAATAAGGGGCAGTCCAATGGTCACCCAAGCAATGACCGAAAGACTGGATACAACGCCAGGCCCCCGGCTGAGGGTCTGCCCACAGGTGCTACCACCACTGCCCCCCAGCCAGCTCCGGAAACCTCTGCTGGCGGCGATGAGGCCGTCACGCCTACGGCTGCTGCCCGGTCTGACCGCGCCGAGTCAAACGCTCCTGTTACGGCGGACAGCTCCGTCGGTGGCAGCACCCTGGTGGCAGCAGCCGCTGCAGAAGCTGAGGTCGCTTCGACCCTGGCACCGGCGGCCTCAGCGGGCGGAGATGACTCTTCGCCCGGCACCAGCCAGCCCAACCACGAGGGGCGGGCTGACGAAACCGAGTCCATGGACTTGGAGTCTAGGTCTTCAAGTCCAACAACCGCTTCCGTCGACCAAGCAGTGCAGAGGGAAGCTAGTGGGGCCGGGGAAAATTCTGGTTCTGTTCCCCAGCAGATTTCGGTCGCTGCTCAGCCGCGCGAAGAGGCTCAAGAGTTGGAGGTTGACACTGCAGGCGAAGTAAAGGTCGTTTCTCGCGGCGGAGTGGACACTGATCAACTGACGGATCACCAGGTTTCTGACGAACGCGGCTCGAAACAAGACAACACTGCCTTGTCTTACTCCAGCCCTCTACGCTTTTTCCGGAACTTCCGATTCCATCCAGAGTTCACGCGGCTCGTGGCCGGTGGTTGGAGGTCTCTGACTTACAGCAGCAGGATTGATCCTGACAAAGAGATGTGCCCATATGAGCTGGAGGGGACACAGTGCCCTTCTGGGTGCTCCTTCCAGCACTTTGTTGACATCACTCCTGCTGGTAAGTGTTTTTAGATATTAGACGTGCTGCTAACATCGGGATCTTCTATCTCTCCCTCTTGCGTCGCTGACTCCCGACCGTGGTTGAAGCAGATGAAAGGATCCTCCTGGAACTGTCCAATTCGGACATGTTCGACGGAGAAGACAAGGTCCGTTTCGTTGAAGGGCTCCGGGCTCTTCTTCATCGGTTCAAAGCCGACAAGATTAGAGACTTCGAAACTATCGCCCGCGGCATCATTGAATACCGCTTCCAGCACATTGGCGACAGGTCCAAGCTGCTCCCCTTGGATGGGGTGTCCATCTAAGACGGTATATACTATTACCTATAAGCTACTGACGGCGGATTGCCCCTTCAGCCCATAGCCGTTCCTTCCAGTTCGTGCAACCTATTCTCGGCAGTAGCCTTTTAGGCGTTTTTCTTTTCCCGTTATCCCCCCTTCTGCATCGGTGTGTGGTGTTCTGTCCTTTTTTTCTCCCTTTCAGCAGCATCCTCGTTTTGCATGGGTTAATTTACTCCTGAACGAATCATGCCACCTAGCCAGTGTGAGCGGGTCGGCCTAATTACGACACTTAAGGGAGTTAGTGTTCCATGGGAAGCAGGATACGGCGTTATAGGGATATAATTGTAGGGCTACGATACCCAAGCTCGTCGATACTTGTAAGAGACGTGGCAGAACGGGTTTGTTGAAGGCATGGAAAGTATGGGAATGGAAAACAAGATATATCTGAAAAGAGGAGGACGAAGCGCGAGATGGAGTATCCAGGTCGTTGGGCCTTCATTGATACAGTCCTCTTTGGAGGAGGAAAAGAGGAGGGTACTGTAGGGGTTGCTGTTCTTGGAGGCTTGACGGATTGACACCCGGCTGCAGAAGGTGCCCGGCTATAACCCGTAGGTATCATGAGAGCAGGAAGAAACTGTTCTCGGACTAGAGTTGTCCGCTACCACATTGCTCTTCTGCAATAGCCAAGGATTCCGGTTTCGCGTTTCCTACAATACAATGTGATCTTTCTCCTCACTTATGAATCCAATTGATGCCAATGCATGTTGATTTGTGAACCAGAGTTCAACTGCTATGTCATGTGTGCATGCTGCAGCTGTGTTGTGACCAGACTAAGACACCACATAAATTAATCAAGATACTATATCATTTTGTATATTGTCAATATGATTATCATCTACTTTGACAAGCAGCACCATCCTCCTATGCACCAATGCCGCCCATGGGTGACTGGAAAATATCGTATGTACTCAAAAAAACACATGCATAGTTGGTACATGATTTCGAACCAAATCCGAGCATAATTGCACAAGTTCCAGGGAACAAAAACCGGACTCATGCTACAGCTTGGGCTCACCGGCTTTGACCTTTGGTTCGTTGCTCTTGCTGGTATTGGGTTTCTTAAGGCGGATAAGGCCCTGATATGATAATTAGCTCGCTGAAAATACCAATTGAACGCCAACAATTCATTAAAGGGGGAACCTACCTCCTGCACGCAAGTCGCCAGCAGCGTGCCATCTTTGCTGAAAATCTTCTGCGTCACCACGGCCCTCTCATCACCGGCCCACGGGCTGTCCATCTCACTCAACATCCACTCATCGGCGCGCACCTTACCCGGGTTGTGGAAATAGATGGTGTGGTCCAAGCTGACCATCATACCGATTTCCGGACGTCCAATCATCTCACGCGGGTCGCTGCCCATGCCCTCCCACTCGTGCAATGCCCGAACCTTCTCCTGCAACCGCGGCGACAGGTCCTCAAACTCCTCCGCACGGAAGGGAAACCGCCAAAGCTTATGGATGCGCGTGATAGTCCCGATGAAGTAACTATCCGAGACGTAGGCGAGGGCCTCGAGATGCGCCGCCATACCGCCCGTGATTTTGCCGCGCGCACGGATCCATTGCCGCGTCTTCTTGTCGCACGGGTTGGGTGAGTCTTCGTTGACCATCTCGATCTTGGTGCCCTGGAACGGGCCCTGAGACACAACCTCCGGCTCGTCAGTATAGTCGTCCGGTGGCGGCTTGAGCGGCGCGTTGTCAGGCCCGGCCCGGGGAAGCTCAGATGAGTGCCGCACATGTGTGTCGGGTGAGACTGTGGCCGGGTCCAGGCGCACAAAGGAAATAGTGGTGGTAAAGATGCAACGGCCGCGCTGGCGGGCCTGGACCGTGCGGGTCGCGAAGGAGCGGCCATCGCGGACCTGCTCGACGTGAAAGAGGATAGGCAGCTCGGATGAGCCGGCCAGCAGGAAGTAACAATGGCAACTGTGTACGACGAAGTCAGGGGCCACGGTTCGTTGGGCGGCTGCGAGACACATGGCGATCACTGCGCCGCCGTAGATGCCTCGCGCTCCTGGAGGATGCCATGGTTGCCTAGTATTGGTGAAGATATTCTAAAAGGACATCAGCGGCTGAATTCAGCAAAGAATGTGAGGAGCATATAAAGAAGCCGTTTGTCAGGAGGAATGAGGCACAGGGGGCAGAGGGAAGCTACTTACTGGACCGAGAACCGCCATCTCGGTTACTTCGAGCGCATTTTCAATGGGAGCTTTATTAGGATCCTCAGGCGGCGGCCTGAGGAGAGTGGGACGACCAGACATGACGAGCCGTTTCTTTGGTCTTAAGCAGTTGGCTGAAGTATGCGATTGCCGCGCGCTTGCGTTGGTCTGAGTCGATGATTGTTGAGAGAGAGTAAATCCGGTTGCCTTGTCACAGGCAGACCAAACACTCAAAAGGCCCAGCAAAGCAACAACCCCGAGCTTCAAAGAAAGCAAGCAGAAAGTAGAAAAAAGGAAGCTGGGAACACAACAGGCTTTTTGCTATCATTCTGAAGCGTCAAACAGGATTGAACTTGTAGGTCTAACAGTGAAGTACCTCGGCTTAATCCGGCTCGGGCTCTGGACGCCTGGCACTAGTGGATCGGCCTCAAGTGCCGGGCCTTGGGCTTGTCAAGGGCTGCGCTGAGCAAACGTAACTTACCCCGCGACATTTCGTATCTTACGAGAAGCTGGAAAAGAAATCTGTCCAAGCCTGACCTATGCTGAATTACTATCTTGCCTGGCTGTTACTTTGCTGTTACTTTATATGAACTGTGCCTGCTGATCAGGCAAGGCGTTGGCCTACATGTAAAACCTTTCAGGATTCCATGTGACCGGAGATGGAATCTCTTCAAGCGCCTTCTTGCTTAGAACTCCATCCATCTGATGCTCGCCCAGGTCAACATAACGACTACCCCCATCATGTTTCAACATGCGAAATCCATACACCAACTGAAACAGCAAATCATAGGCGCCATCCCAGAGTTAGCGGGGTCCAGCTCGGCCTGTCGACCGGACCTGTCCCAAAACAGCTATCCATATCGGGGACAATGTCATCACCCTTCTTGTAGCCATTTCCAAGGGACAGCAGACTGTGAGTGTTACCGTGTCAACCTAGCAACCAACCTGGTCTTTACTTTCGGTGTGCTGTGGTCATGACTTCTAAGTGCAGCGATACCGTGCACGCTTGGCCACCCCAACAGCTCCTCCCCACCCTGAGACACTGAGTCGAGTGACAAGCCAAGCCAAGAGTCATAGGTCCACCCAGCCTGGAGCCCTCCATCACCGCCCGGCTCAGCTTCAACAACTGCGATTCTTCCCCACGTCACCCTGTCCGCGGTCTGCTCGCTACGTTTGATCGATTCTCAAATATCGCTTCTTTCATTGATCTTTAACATCAAATAATATCAGCATCATCTGCGCTGTTGCACGCGAGTTTGGGCATTCCTCGATTTCCCCAAACCCCATCCGCGACAACGAGGACCAGCCGTTGTTCTGGGTCTCTCAGAACAAAGCCAGCCTGGCTGTCCGTTTGACACGCTTCTCTGTGCGCGTACCGGCAGCTACCCGATCCTGTCATGTCTGACACAGGGGAAAGCGGGAGGTATGATACCTGGTTGCCTGTGAACTCTGAACTGTTGCACGTCTGTTGGGCACTGATTCACGTGCAACATGACACCTCGCTGTTCTATCATAGCTGGCCCATGATGCAGCATTGTGACATTGAACTGACTTTGCCTCGTCCGACAGTTCACACCGCCGAACCAAATCTTCTGCCCTGTCGCTGCTGCGCAGGAAGGGCAGCGACGACGATGCATCGGCCGCCGACGAGGTTCCCTCTATCAACGTGAGCACCTCCACACAACCCACAGAGGCTACAACATCTCAGCCTTCTGGCACCACAATAGCTTCCCAGTCGGTAAAGGGCCACAGTTCTAAGCTGTCTATTTCTGGCGGCACCATGGGACGTACTTCTTCTTCGAACACCCCCTCCATCGCGGGGTCCCGGTCTCCCAACCCCCTGGAGAGGGGCCCCTCTCTGGAATCGTCCGTCAGAAAGTTCCGCATTGTCGAGGCTCTGCGCAACGGCGACACAGCTTTTATTTCCAAGGCAATCCGGGAGAGTTCGAGCAACAGCCCTCGCATGAGCACTTCGTCGTTCTCCAATTTTGGTGCTCTTGAAGACACCACCATCCTGCACTTAGCCATACAGTGTGCCGAGCAGCCCGTCGTGGAGTATGTCCTTTCGGATGGCGCGGGTACTCTTGATGTCAATGCGCGGGACAAAGATGGCAATACGCCGCTCCACATTGCTGCCTCCCAGGGTCGCAGCCAGATTGTCCGTATGCTGCTTGACAACAAGGATATCAACGATGCCATCGCAAACCATCAGGGCCGTCTACCCATCGATGTCGCACGGACGCCCGAAGTATTTCAACAGCTGCAACTGGCGAGATCAATCTTTGCCGAAAACAAAGTGAGACAAGTGCAGGATTTGATTCTCCATGGCGACCTCAAGGTCCTCGAGCAGGTGCTGGAGGAGCCGCGATTCAAGGCCGTCCTCGACATTAACAGCCCTGAGTTTGCTTCTGACCCTGCCACTGTTGAAACCGGTGGTACACTGCTGCACGAAGCGGCCAGGCGTAAGAACACACGCCTGATCCAAGTCCTCTTGCTTCATGGTGCCGACCCCTTCCGTCGTGACCGCAAAGGAAAATTGCCGCAGGATGTCACGAAGGACGAGATAACGCGCGCTATGCTGAAGAAGTCACCTGCCGCTGTCGCTGCCCAGCGGGGTATCCAGGAGAAAGCCGTCTTGGGTTCCATGGCCCAAGGCGCTACCACTCTGAACCCCAATGATCCCCTCGCTGGCCGGGAGGCCCGTGAAATGAGGGGTTACTTGAAGAAGTGGACCAATTACCGAAAGGGTTACCAGCTGCGCTGGTTCGTCTTAGAAGATGGCGTTTTAAGCTACTACAAACACCAAGATGATGCTGGCTCGGCTTGTCGCGGTGCTATCAACATGAGAATTGCTAAACTTCATATGAGCCCTGATGAGAAGACCAAGTTTGAGATCATTGGAAAGTCGTCGGTGAAATACACTCTCAAAGCTAATCACGAGGTCGAAGCGAAGAGGTGGTTCTGGGCTCTGAACAACTCAATTCAATGGTGCAAGGATCAGGCAAGGGAAGAAGAGAGACAACGCCAACGGAATGCTGAGCTTCTTCGACAGGCAAAGGCTGAAGCGCAGGCCCTCTCTGAGGCAGCGAGCGAGAATGCTAGTGTCACCGAACATCCCCGCAACAGTATTCAGCTCACGCGTTTGCATTCAGGTCAACGTACGGGTGGAGCTGCCTCGACTGGTAATGAGGAAGAGGAATTCGTCGATGCCGCCACAGACGCTGTGAAGGATCGGTCTGGCGGCACTGTTCCTGAGGATGCTGACGATGAAGACGAGTACGGCGACGGTTCGAGTGACCGTGTTGCTCCTCCGGCGACTAAGGACGCTTTCAACATCACGGCACAATCAGCAAAGCTCCAACTCGATACTATGGCTAGCGTCACAGCCGCCTTGATTGCCGAGTCGACAAAAACCCCAGCCCTGACACTGTCCGACTCTAAAATCTCTCAGGCCCTTTCAACCTACGATGCCGCCATACGTTCGCTTAACGGCTTGATTGGCGATCTTCTTCGTATTGCAAAGGATCGCGATGCCTACTGGCAGTACCGGTTGGACCGTGAATCTGAGATGCGGCGGATGTGGGAAGAAAGCATGGCACAGGTTGCCAAGGAGCAGGAGGAGTTGCAAGCTCGCCTTCACGAAGCCGAGCTTAAGCGCAAGATGACCAAGCGCGCGCTCAAGGAAGCTGCTGAAAGTGGCATGCTAGAAACAAGCCAGCTTTCGGCTACTACTGCTCTTGAGGCGCCGAAAGCTGCCGAAGAAAGGACGGAGGCCGTTGAGCAGGTACCCGCTGAAGCTGCAGCCACCAAGCCGTCCACCCTGTCACGGCGTCAAACCGCTCTCAATCAGCTGGCCCAGATTTCGGATTCTGAGTCTGAAGACGATGAATTCTTTGACGCTGTTGATGCTGGAGAGGTCGAGGTCGAGCCACTGCCTCCTGCGGAGGCGACGCCTGCTGCGGAAGAAGCCAAGGTAACCGTACCGCAATCTGATGTTCTTGACATCAGCTCCTCGTTCAAGGGTTATGAAAATGGTATTCGTACACGTTTGAAGCTGGATGCGGATAACCGGCCCAAGATTAGTCTTTGGGTAAGTAGTAATGAAGTATGAATATACTCGGGTATCTGCCGTACTAACTCCAATATCAGGGTATCCTCAAATCGATGGTTGGCAAAGACATGACGAAGATGACGCTCCCTGTGTCTTTTAATGAGCCAACTTCTTTGCTTCATCGTTGCGGCGAAGATATGGAATACGCAGACCTGCTTGACCTCGCCTGCGAAAGGGCAGACTCTTTGGAAAGATTGCTCTACGTTGCCGCCTTTGCCGCCAGTGAGTATGCGTCCACTATTGGTCGTGTTGCGAAGCCCTTCAACCCGCTTCTGGGCGAGACCTTCGAGTATGTTCGTCCGGATAAGAACTATCGCTTCTTTGTCGAGCAAGTCAGCCATCACCCCCCTATCGGTGCGGCCTGGGCTGAGTCGCCGAGGTGGACTTACTACGGAGAGTCGGCCGTCAAGTCCAAGTTCTATGGCCGGAGTTTCGACGTGAATCCTCTTGGTACTTGGTTTTTGAGGCTCCGCCCGAACCACGGCGGCAAGGAAGACTTTTACACGTGGAAAAAGGTCACATCTTCGGTCATTGGTATCATTACGGGCAACCCCATGGTGGACAATTATGGGCCGATGGAAATCAAGAACTGGACTACGAACGAGGTCTGCCATCTTGAATTCAAGCCTCGTGGCTGGAAAGCCTCTAGTGCCTACCAGCTTACAGGTAAGGTCCTCGATGCCAACGGTCGTGTGCGTTTCAGCATTGGCGGCCGCTGGAACTCAAAAATATATGCTCGCCTCACACCCGGCTACGAGGCCCAGGGTATGGATGATTTCTCCGGCCCGGCAGAAGCCCCGCCTGGCGGCTCCATCACCGATCCAAACAAGGCCTTCCTCATCTGGCAGGCCAACCCTCGCCCTGAGGGCATTCCCTTCAATCTTACTCCTTTCGTGATTACCTTCAACCACATCGACGATAACCTGCGTCCGTGGCTCGCGCCGACGGACAGCCGGTTTCGGCCGGATCAGAGGGCAATGGAAGAGGGAGAGTACGATTTTGCCGCAACGGAAAAGACCCGGTTGGAGGAGGCGCAGCGTGCCCGGAGACGGGCGCGCGAGGCCAAGGGCGAGGAATTTGTGCCCGCATGGTTCTATCGGGCTAAGTGTCCGATCACTGGGGAAGAGTATTGGCAATTCAATGGCGAATACTGGAAAAGGCGCGAGCGGGCGGGACCGAATGGCGATCCCCATGTGTGGGATGGGTTGGAGCCTATCTTTGAGTGAAGGGTGAGATTTGAGGATGTTTGTTTTGGGCGTTGGATAGGGTCGGGATCGACTAATGTTGTCATGATGAATGTGGAAAAGGCAAAATGGTTTGGGGATGTTAGTTTCATGAGTGGATCAATGGTGGCCAAATGGATGGGAGCAGAGACTTAGGGGCACGGAGAACCGCATAGGCTGGACTCGCGGTGTCTTACGGAATGGGGGCATCGCGCTGTTTTTGAGGTTGCCGCTATTGTTGCTGCTGCTGTCGTCAGGATAGGTAGCTGGCTGGCGGGTAAACTTTAGTTTTTTTGGTCTTAATAAGTAAGGTTTAATAGACGTCCATTTGGTTGTAACATGCTCCAGGTGATTGTGTCGTTTTTACTCGAAACTCAAAAAATCACTCGGATAAAAAAAGCGCTTTACGCAAATGTCTGTTCGTATAGGAGAAAAAACGAAGGACTTGACTGGTCGCCATTTCGATCCCTGTCTTTTCCCACAACTCCTCCGGGAAGGCTCGAACTTCCAACCTCCTGATTAACAGTCAGACGCGCTGGCCAATTGCGCCACAGAGGATATTCTAGTGGGATGTGCTGGAAGCAACTCGTGGTTGTCGGACTCACCAGGCAGGCTAATACGGCCCTGAATTCCGGAGGGCACTGAGACTGGTGGAGATGCTCGCTTGTCCCTGGGCCTCTTTTGGAGGGTGGGTCTCAGCCTCTCAGGCCTTGAGCTGTGACCCACTTAGACGTTGCTGCTGCAACAAGGGGGAGTAAGTAAATAAATAGAACCCCATAAGTTTTTGACTCATTGCTCATCATGTTATCATTAATTGACCCAGTCCAAGATGATTCTTTCCCCCACTTTGTGCGCTTTAGCTTCTGGGATGGATACATCTAGCGCCCTGATCTTTCAAGAAATACTGATTTGTGCAGGGATGGTAGCATTCATTATTGGGTCGCAAGTACGTTGTTTAGTGATTCACGAGCGCTGTTGAATCGTAGGACCAAAATTGTTCGAAGTTCAGAAGTGATATTCCAATATGTCCCCTGCACCGAGGAACTCTTAGCTTCACCCAAAGTTTCTTAATCACATTGCCGCTGACCACTACCACATGAGATTCTGCTGAGAGATTTTATTTGCCAATATCGCGTTGAGATCCATGAATGGGAGTCCATAGAGGATTTTTTCCTCCAGAGTTAAACGATGAAATCACGCTCGCCGCTTTTAGCAAACACGTTTTGCTGCCATAACTCCATATCAATTAAGCACCTGAGCTGATGGTTTGGTGGACCCACTGGCAATGGTTGCCTTGCACAAGTTACCAACATAGTGACGTGCTTTCTAGATTTAGTGACCAGACCCTAACCAGAAAAGAACATTGGTCTAAATAGTCAACCAAATATTGGAGAATAATACCACTATTTAGGAAATCCAGCCTGACACAAAGAACCGTAAACTGCTTGGTCCCTTGCAAGCTGGGCAAAATGGCAGTGACTGATTTTGGTGCCTTTCCTAAAACATCTTAGATGAATCCGATGTTGACTGTTGAACGTTGAATGGGCATGGCATGAATGTTCCAGGGTACTTTTTTGAACTAGTTGGTGATTTACAACATATCATAGGTACTGTTTCTGACACTTTTACCTAATCATGGTTCAAGAATGGTGAAGGTTTCCGCCTAGGAAGACCTCCTGGCTCCTGATCTTCGCAGGTGAAAAGGAGCAAAGCTCAAGAGACTATTGTGCATTGCCATACAGTGCTTAACGAAAGCTTAGCTAAATCGTTCTTGCGCTTGTCCAAGGATCACAAATCGTTTGTCAGCAATTTATCAGATTCACTGTGGCTCTCATTGTTGACATTAAACAAATGGTGCAAGTGACTTTACAGACTCTACTCAACATCAAGAAAGTTTGGCCCTTTCTCAACATAACACCTAACATATATCAATACCAACAATCCAATTGTTACGCTCTAGTCCTCACCTCGGCTGCATGGTAACACATGGAACTACCTGGATGAATCGTTTGCAGGTATGTGCTTTGTACATAAAGATGGTACAATGAAAGAGTCTTGGGATCGGTGGTACACAGAGACATTCTAAATATCAACTGAACAACAGAGGCTATTCTTGTGTACATCTTTATGCAAGTAGGGAGCAGAAACCAAGCAAAATCAAATCAAAAACAAAAAATGAGACTGTGCGGATAGATATTAGGTCTCTTGCAATGATGGAGGATATGACAGAGCCATGAGATCCTCTTGGAGGCTAGAATCACTTTTGGAGATTATGGTAGTGCATTAACTATTGATATCTTAACAGGTTCCCACAAGCAAATCACATGCAAGTGTTCACAAAACCAACTTCTACTGCAGCTCGTCTCATAGCCCATAACACCACAGCCTTGATGAATTTGGAACAATTTCCTTTCCCAAGCTGCCGGAAAGGCTGGTGCTTAACTATTCATAACCATCACTTTACCCATCCCAATCTGTACATGAACACTAGCTAGCCGATCTCTTGAACAATACGTAGCGCTAATGGGCCACTTACAACACACAATTGCATATTGCAATGCATGTGTGCAAGGCAACCAACACGCTTGATATACTTGATGAAGGCAGCAAATAGGACCTTTCTGTCCTCTTCTGCAACAGAATGTCTTCTATCTGCTAGCTTCAGAATTTTCAGCAGCAAAATTGGTCCACATAACGCAACCCAGTTTCTCCAGCTTCTATAAACAATTGGGCATAAATATTTGCGCTACAAAGTCAGGATGCCAGCCACGTAGATGATGGATAGATGCCTCGTGCTTCATGCAGTGAAGTACACACTCGGTAGTTAGCGTATTGGTCCCCAGCGTGCTGCATGAGCTATGCACGCACCTGCTCAAACACTAACCTCCACAAGTTATCCTGCTTGCTAATTTAGAAGTAATGTAGCTATAGCCTTGGATTAGATTTAGCCAATGACTGGGACTCCTTAATACATAGTTTTGCCCCCGTTTGACCGCGTTGTGCGGATTCCGGTACGTTTAGCAGAGAAGAATTTTCGCTGATTTTAACCTTATGGGGTTGTGATCATATTAGGACTATTGAATAATAAATCAGGTAACAGCAAGACTCTGAACAGCAACAGCACATTATGTATAGAAATCGAACCTATCTTACTGGAAAAAGAGTTAAGTTGTCCATCTGTTGCTGTGTTGTATACTGCTCGATGGGTTACAAGCCTGACTAGTACAGTATAGTTTTATTCTTATTGTGGCACAATGATGGATCTTCTGCCTTGTGTCCGGACGCATTATAGAAAACTTGATCAACAAGTGTTCACTAAACGGCGATCCATTTCTGTTGAAGCTTCTTCCACAAATTGCTTCCGGCGACGATCGCGGCGGCTACATTCATTTCCTTATACGTGGGCAGGCAATGCAATTTAGTTTTGTAGTATTCTTCGCGGGGTGACTCTTGGGACCGCCCTCAACTATAGTTGCTTTTACAGAGTTACCACTGGTATTTACAGTGGCTCGGCCAGTTACACAAAGCTAAGTGATACTCAACAGAAGTTTCCATAATTTCTGTTGGATTAACAATTTATTCCTCGAATAAAATTGGAGACTTAGCTAACAAGTTATCAGTAGAGGGCTGACACAGGAAGAAAGCGCGACCAACCAACTGGGAGATAAGGAGGGCCAACGATCCTTCTAAACAATATTCTTTGTTGAGAAAATGCGCAATGAAGGCCAAAGGATGTCTAGTAATATACCCAGCTTGCATGCTTATTGATGGAGAAAGCTGGCGAACCACGAGGAGCGTGCCTTCGAAGTGAATGTAGATAAAACATAAGGATACAAGCCGAGCATATCAACCGGCCCTCGGCTTGCGTCCTGAATTTCAGGTACTTACTGTCACGACCAACAATGACTCTATCTGGGAGAGTAGCTTCCGTGCAACTCACTGATCGGAGTAGAAGGGAGTTGTGACCCATCAGACTCGGATATCCGTCCCCAACAACCGAACATTGGAAAAGTGTTCCTCAATACCCAAGAATGTTGACTCTCAACAGTCTCTGCTGTTGAGGAAGAAGCCACAAGAGTGCATGAGATGTATATAGATTACAAGTAGGGCCATCTGGCCCAAGAAACTCTCTAGTCAGCAATACAAACAGTTGCTTACCAACTGGTGACCACAACGGTCACTTTGGTTGTGTGAGAACTCCTGTCTCTCAATCCAGCAACCTGGGAACTATCGAACCCATCTCAGGAGGTCTGTCTGGATCGTTACACTTACGCTATCAAGAACATAACGACATAATCATTTTCCTACTAGATACTGATGATTAAGAGCGCGATAATAATACGAATTACATCGAAGCTGTCTTCTCGAGCTGCAGACTGTTTTCCCCAAACTGTACATCTTATGTTGCAGCCTGACGAGCACCTGAACTGTTATCAACAAAACCAAGTATATTCCGCGCCCCGCATCTGTCTTTCGTGTGACGATCCGGACAGGCCTCCTGATATGGGTTCAAGAGGTACCTGGCCACTGGACCTGAGAGACGGAGCTTTCACACAGTTGGAATGATAGCTGCGGTCACCGTTGAGTAGATAACTGTTTGTATTGCTGACTGAAGAACTTCTTCGGCCATATGGCCCTACCCGGAATCCATCTACATCTTATATACCTTTGTGGCTTCCTTTGCTCCCCTACTCAAGGGCATAGCATGTTGAGGGTCAACATCTTTGGTGTTGAGCATCAAAGCCTCTCTTGTCATCGAGGAACGCTTCCTGGATTCGGTTGGTCACGACACCCTTTGCTCTAATTGATTGGCTGCGTGGGACTCCCTTCTCCCCAGGTCAAGCCCTTGTCAGTCATAACATTTCGGACCTTGAGGTAGGTTACCCAAGCCAAATGCCCTGTAAGTTGACCTTCCGAACTGCAGGTTATGTGAAAATTAAAGTGAGCTCTGCTTCTTGTATTTTATTGAGTTTAAGTGTTATCTATAATTGAAGTTTGAGGAGATGCGGCTTACAGTCCAAGGATGCAGGAACTTGAAGGTATATAGAGCACCACATCGCAGGCAACTTTTGCGTCGCATCTTTCCCCTCTTCCTTTGAGTGTGATCTTATTGCTGCTCTCCTTGCATCACCCACCTCGTTAGAGCAGGCTGTTCGTCGGTCAGGCAAGGCTTTGGCGTACCGAAGTCAGGCGGAGGAGGCTCTTAAAGCGTGGTGCGCGCACTAAGGTTGCCTGAGTCTGCCGCGCACCATGACGGTAGGCTACAAAATAACTCACATACCCTGAGAACTGTGATCCAAGTAATTAGTTGCAAATCCTGAAAGAACAACACGTCTTGTCGATGTTAAGCATTTGCATTCAATGGCTAGTGCTCACATATATTTGCGTGGCCTTTAAAACAGTTTTTGCCACCTCTTCTTTTAAGGCAGCCAACAGTGAATCCATACTGTCCGAACGTTTGTTGCACAAAGTCAGATACTCAGTGGGTTCCGCCTTCATTGAATGTCACGTGACCGAGGTAGTGCGCCTACTGACAGTTGGCGGCAGATTCAATGTGGTGACAAAACTTTGACCACTGGACAACATTTCATACTGCAATCAGCTGTTTTGCAGCCTTTTTTCTACGTTAAGCTTGACAAAGTAGAGCACTATCGCTAGAAAGTTTGCCTCGGAAAGAATGGAGGACCTTGATGTTAAGTACAAAAAATATTTGAGAGAGCAATCTCGGAAAACCAAGCTCGGAGCTCATCCACGACATAACGATTCTCTATCCGAAGGCCAGCCCTTAGATTCGAATACAGCAGACATGGATCGACTTAAAACATTGGAACAACAAAGTCCACCCGGTGTGAGCCAATTAGCAACAGTGGAGAATACTTGTCTGCCCAAGAGTTCCTCACCAAGTATCAAGAGAGAGGGCTCGAGATCTCGATCCCGAAGCAGGAGTTGTTCTCCCCCAAAGCGTGCAAAAGCTCGACCTACATCTGGCAAAGCCGATGACAGTTATGACGACTTTACTCGACCTTCTTACACAGGAGAACTTTGGAAGCCTGGGGATGATTCGACAGTACCTTCTCGCCTGCGATCAACCGATAAGCCCAATGTAACGACGCATCATCGGCAGCACCCTTCATCTGCTTCACGTTCTAAGACACATCTTCGTCAAATGCAAGCACCACCAGTAACATTCTCGACGGAAACTTCTGCTCGATCTTCTAATAGTAACAACGAAATACTCAGGCAACCTGAGACCAAGGCTATCACTGCAGAACAACTCGTGACAGAAGTGAAGGGGATCTATGCAGGCTTGGTCATGGTTGAAAGCAAATGCATCGAGGTTGATAATGCACAAAACGCCGCACATAATGACCTGTCGAACAAACTTAGCGATGAGCAATGGCAAGCTCTCATCGCACTTCACCGCACTTACCTGAACGAGCATCATGACTTCTTCTTGGCTTCCCAGCACCCAGCTGCAACTCCAGCACTGCGCAGACTACCCGCAAAATATGCCATGCCAGCTCGTATGTGGCGGCATGGCATTCACAGCTTTCTGGAGGTCCTAAGACATCGCCTTCCTGCCAGCTATGAACACATGATTTCGTTCATTTATCTCGCATATTCCATGATTGCTCTTCTCTTTGAGACTGTTCCCGCATTCGAGGAAACTTGGATGGAGTGTCTTGGTGACTTGGCACGGTATCGCATGGCAATTGAGGATGATGACATCAGAGACCGAGAGATTTGGGCTGGTGTCTCGCGTCAATGGTATTCCAAAGCATCTGACAAGTCCCCAACAACTGGGCGTCTATATCATCATCTCGCCATTCTCGCTCGCCCCAATGCAGTTCAACAGCTGTTCTACTATTCGAAATCGTTGTGTGTTGAGATCCCTTTTGTGGCTGCTCGGGAGAGCATCATGACTTTGTTTGACCCGATCATGTCCCCCACGCCAAACCCCCAACAAATGAAGCTTGCACGCCCTGAGCTCCTCTTTGTCAGGACGCATGGCATTCTTTTCTGCATGCTTGCGGGTAAGCAGCCTCGCGAAGATCCAGAGGCGCCGATGAGCGAGATGCTCCAATGGCTTGATTCGCATATTGCACGGTCAACACTTAGCTGGCGCTCGACTGGGTAAGTACCATGTACAATACACTTACAGAGTCATGAAGTCTTTACTGCTCCCTCATTCTTTTCTGATGATGAGATGTGAATGCTGATATTGAAAGGTATCACATGGGTCTTGCCAATATTTGCGCAATCATGGGCTATGGGTTTGATGGCAACCCGATTTCCAAGGCGCTCAAGGACCAACCCCCTACCAGTACTTCCGAGATTCAAAACAAGTCAAATGACAGCACACAAAGATCCGAAGTCATGGGTATCACTTTAAAACTTTATAGTGAGACATGCAAAATCGTTTTGCGACGGTTCGGCGATCCGAACATCCTCTCTTTCTTTCATGTCAATCTCGTCTTTCTTTATCACTTGACTTTTCGACCTGACGCGATGCAATATGTTGCATCCTCTTTCCCTTGGGAGTTGGCAGTTCAGATGTTGAATACGTTACTCAATTCTTACCAATCTGATCAGGCTCGTTCTGATCTAATTGCATGCATGGAAAGCGATAAGTTCCCACCCGCTACACCGAAATCAGCCTCGCAATCGGCCGCAACTGTCATTGTTCTCCCACGTCCATTACCTGATGACTATGCGCTCCGCGGTTTCCCTTGGGTTGAGCACTATTTCCCAAGAAACAATGAGGACCGTTCAAAAGATTGGTTCGCCAATGATCGGATCGATGACGACGAAAAGTACTTTGAGATGCCATCTACAACAGAAGAGCGCAAGGAGCGTTGCTTGTGGCTTGGTCACAAGATAGCCAAGAGAGGGGACAATAAGTGGTTGCAGTACAATTCTGAGTCCCATACATTCAGTGTTGGCTTGGGTGTAGACGAGCACCGAAGTTCGACTTCTCATCACCAGCACACTCCATTGAGTTCTCCGAAGAATCCTGGTCATCTTGAGCTAGAAGAACTTCCAGACGCGACTCCAGGGGCTCCCTAGCCTGGGCCGCAATTTTGAACGGTCCGCCTTGGATGTTCCTCGAAGATCTCTGGGATGATGCCAAGATGTCAACATCTACTGATATCCAATATCCCAGCGGGGGTGTTCCAAGGTCTTTAACCGTTCAAAATTGCGGCCGCATGGGGTGATGTAAGGGGCGAACTCATACCTGGTTATTGGGTGGCCCTCAAACAGCTCCATGCCTGGCTATGGGGCATGGCAGGCTCTTTCATACGTTTTCTGCTGAGCGCGCCTCTATGTTGAGAGCTTTCTAGGAATAAAAACACGCAATCTATGAAGTTGTGGTGTTCCTGATTTCCGATTTTCATGGTGCTTTATTTCATTTCTGTTGAAGATTGCTTGTGCTGCCACGGGGAGTTCAGCCAGCATCTTTGAGTTAAGCTGTCAAAATTGTTTGGTAAGTTGTCGAACCGCAACAGTTCTACTATAGTCTTAGCTATACCACAGAAGGCGCTTTAGCTGGTGTGCTTGGTCTGTGAGTTGGGCAATTTGATCCCCCATACTGTTGGTTATGAAACAAAGGTAATGCCGGTATCGCTCAGGAACCAATTACACCTTAGCACTCTCTGAACTAACATATATCCAACACTTAATATTAAATCCTTCACTCACTTCCACATAGTTATATGCAAACTTGGTTCAACTGGAACATGGTGCTCAAGAACTGCCATACATAGTTCGAGGTTCCCTTGCTCAGATTTGTTCGTAATTTTACCACCTCTTATGGGGAATATATGAAACTTTGTGGCCGTTCATAGAAGAAAAGGCTGCAGCCATAAAAAGGCACTGTTTTATCATTAAGAACGTGCTCGTGTTTCGGGTTAGCTATGATTTTTAGAATCGCTTAAAACGAACTGTTTATGTTATATTGCCGTTGGCCGACAATCGTATCTAAGAACCCGATTGTGTCTCAGGCCTTTGAGATTCAACCCACTCTAAGCCCACCCCCATTGTCCCTAGTAACATATTTTTGTTTCCGGATAGGCACTAGAGGAATAAACATTTTTCTAGATAAACTCGTTCTTATGAGTGCGATAAGTGAGGATAGTACTTAAATTACACTTTCAGGTCAGATCCTTCAATTCTTCATAGACCGGACTACAAGTTTTGGAATAAACTTGGGCCATAATTATAGGAAATGGGACAAAATGCCACATCGTACACCAGAAAGTATCTGTAATGTCAATGTTCAAGCTTGTGTATACCGTCCTAAGCACTCGGATCACTTACCAGAGCCAGCTAATTGGACAACCGCTTTGGGAGAGCCGATGAGTACTAACATGCCTTCCCTTTGGCCCAGAGCTTACGGTCTGAAAATATCGTCCTGTATGGGTTAGCAAAAGAAACTTGGTTGTTTCTGCTATGCGGTTGCCTTGGTGCCTTGCATATCAGGAGCGCCGTCTGAGGGAATTTTAATAAAACATTTCTAAACTGCAGTCGCTTTGGTACATCCTTATCGTCTAAAAGACCACTTTTAGAATGTTTCCCGAAATGACTATCCCCAATACTGAACCCTAGGAAATACCGCACACATTCGGTGTGGATACGGCTGGAGAGCTTCCCATTCATCGGTGTCCAGGTGGGCAATTGATCCCAAAGCCAAGAAGCCCCTAACAACTCTAACGCTTTTTCGCTGGTTTCTGTTCACCCACACGGAGGGAGTTCAATTTCAGGGGCTTCAAGGATAAGGACTTATAGAACATAAAAGAACTCTCTACAATCCTCACTAACTCCGCGTCATTGCAATGTGTTTAACATCAACTGTCAGCAGCCAGAAGAAAACTGAAGCAGCGCTCTCTTCCATGTCAATTGATCCTATCCCTGAAAGCTACTATTGAATATATAGCTTGGCTAAGTTGGAAGTCAATGATCAGCATGCCTCCAAGTACAAGGCATATCACAGGCCTTCCATTGATAGACTTCAGCAACTACACAGGCTTTAATGTAAAAAAAATTTGATTATCCACCACCTGCCTGGACAAAAAGACCAAGATGCATTGAACTTGGAAAACGAGAGGGCACGTGCATGATGCATGCAGCTCACTTCTGGATCGTTCATGGAGTTCCGGGCAAAGAGGGCGAGAGGCCCTGCAGGAAGTTGGGTGGGGGAGCGGGGTGCTTGGGGACTCACTCGGTCCACCCACCATTTCCGTGACAGTTGGAGATCCCACAGCGAGACGCCAAGTCAGGCGTGTCGGGTAAACAAAATTCATCTAGGGATGAAAGGCTTCTGTATCTACCAGAGACACCTACCGCACTATATGCTAGGCTATTGATGGTCTCCAAGTTTGATGTGTTTCCAAGCCTTGACAGCGAGGCATTTGAAGCCCGGCATCAGCCCCGTTACGGAGGACAGAGTCCCGGGTTTAGCCGCAGCCTTGCTGTTCAGAGGGCATCCATGATGCTCTGTGGGGATTCATAATTACTGTCATTAAAATAGATATGCTTGGCTTGCTTACTGGCATTGACCCGAAGCATGATTATAGCTCAAGTTGGCTTAAGTCCTCCCAATATCACGTTCACTTTCACAAGCCTTCCACTTCACCAGTGAAAGGGCTGAAGCTGGGGCGTTAAGGGTGCAAGGCTCTGCCATAATAAGAGCCCGTATGATCTTCTCCTTACTACCACCCGATTACCTTCGCTGGAACTGGGCAACTATATTCAGGTTGATATGGACAACCCACAAATGCTGAAAAAAGCTTAAAGACAGCCTCACATTTTGATTAATGTGGCGCTTTGAGTGGGCGATTGACAAAAGAGGTATACGAAATCTGCAGTGCGTTTTGCATTTGTAATGCCTCAAGATCCCATGACACGCATCTCAGAAACACTCAGTGAATGCCTATTGATTTGTGCCCGAAAAGTCCATAAATCGACATCATTTAATAAGCAGAGGGGCAACAGAAGGCAACCAAGAAGAGAGGCAACAAAATCGAGACACATGCCTTACATGACTCCAGGAAGGCTTACTTGGCTGATACACATGATTGTCATCTAATTTTCTTGATATGATCGCCCTCGTTGGGGAACCCGTATGCCTGCGTATCCTTCTATCTTTGAGCAGTGTTCAGTTTGTATGCTGAGACTTGAACTGCAGTGAGTGGCGCGCGCTTGGAGGATCAACAGGGTACACTTACATCATCAAGAAAAAGGCCCCGATGATCATTGATGTCCACTCCTGGAAGTCTTTGGACAAGAAAACACTCTGTCGTTAGATAACATCATAAATCAACTGGAGAGCAAGAGCAAAATTGCACGGCAAACAGAGCTGACAATGAGATCCCGATTAAGATGACGAGGACAGTGAGAACGAAGAGAGAAATGTTAGGGCTGAGGTTTGCTGAAGGATCCGGAAAAGGTCTGTCACTATCTGGCCCGTTTTCGATTGTTTCTAGCAAATGCTGATGTCCGTAGCGGCCAGTTTGGTTCCGAGCCGAAGAAGTTGGCATGGTGGCTTGGTCATCAACAGCTTCGGGGATGTCTGTTGTGAATTGGGCCGATATGTTTTGACACAGAGCAAAAGCTGCTGCTGCCGATTCGGACAAGCTGGATTCCCAGTCACTTTGGGAGTATAAGAGTGCTCCATCGTTCGGCAAGCTGCCAAACTGACTTTGACTAGATGCTGATTGTTCTGTCTGCTCCAGGTCTTTTGGCGAAGAAAGTCGTCCAATGCTATCTCGAATCTCACCATCTCGAACACCCTTAGACGAGGTGTAGACAGTCCATGGATGAGTAGGTCGATCGAGCCGCAGCATGCTTTGTGAATGCATGGCCAAAATTTCTTGGGGGAGTTCTTCCTCTGCATATGTAGGGAGAGAAACTTCTTCGCCCTCATCAAGTTTCTCCTTGATTGCGGCAAGAACGTCAATAATTGGTGTAAAGTACGTCAAACGAATCCGTCTAGGATTAAAAGGGCTACCATAATCGTGATTGCGAGCCCAAACTAGACCGATAACAGCATTGTCTCTGCGTCGTATCAACCACGCCCCCGAATCACCAGGAACTCCAATGCCGCCAGTCACCCATTCCTCCGTAGTCTGCCATGGTGGG